AGGTTTGAATTAACTAACTCTATTTGTTCAATAATTTTCTGCTTTCTGTGGGATCACGGGAATATCAGTTAAATTCTTAAAATGTCGATGTAAAGGTCAAAAAGTGTGTCTAATGGTCAGGAAGCAAAACTCGTTAAACTCAGCTTCCGCTTAATTGCCGGCTAATATTTTATATTTACCTTTCCCTTATTTGGAGAAGTGTGTCGCTAATAATTCAGCTCGCTAATTTATAGGAGTTCTTCACAATTATATCTGAAAATACCTCAGGAAAATATAAGGAAAGGTTAATGACAAGTCAACTGCTGAAGAAATAAATAATGAATGAACATTAATAGCGATTTTTGCTCTCGAGTATTCAAGTATTATCTCGGATAGCCGGGTGGCACTTGCAAATTTGAATTCTCAGGCTTAGAAATGCTGCTTGATTTGTACTAATAGAGCTGCTTCGGGCTCATTAAGCCTGTTAGAGTTACGAGACTTAAGTGGCTTATAACAGTTGGAAACTGACAAATTAACCGGTCGCAAAGTGACTTGGACGCGCTTAATAATAATGTTGTCACGCCAGCATTTAGCCAGAGCGAAACTAATATGTCCATCCATCGCCATCCAAATCTAATGCGTCCCTGAAAACGGTTTGATTAGCGGAAATTCGAGCATCGATAGATGATTGTAATTATAACTGGAGTGCAAACACTGGAGCGCTCGAAGCTTTACGGTAATTCTCCCTGCTAGAATGATCATGTAAAACGCATTAAAGCGCGCCGGTTATTCCAGTAATAATGCAAGTGATAGAATGGAGGGAACGTCGTTTATATTCGAATTGAATTTGAATAAAATTCATGAGGATCAACGCTATCTCAAGATGAAGCTACCTCAGATGCCGATATGATGCTCATACACCTTGAGGCAGTCCACTTATCTCTTCGACCTTGTGCACGCTGTGCTTCATCGTCGTGATCAACATTGCTTCACGCGAGCAAGCAGGTTTTCCTTCTGCTCTGATATTTGTCTCATCAAGATAATAACTAGGCCGCCTTAACACATTTTCGGCCACTCCTAAGCAGACTCACCATGGCACTTTTCAAACTGCCATGCCCTAGTTACGACCGAGTCATCTAATAGTGCATTCATACGGTGATTTTTGCAAAATTGCTGAGAGATTAATATCACACGTGCAGGAATTCCTCTCGGAAAGTTCGCGCTGCATTAGGAACTTATTACACCGTCTCATCTATATGCTATGAAGTAAATGAGCTAATCTAAATTCGGGCAAGACTTTACGAACTATCGGCCTTTGTATTATTTATTCGTTGAGAGCTGAAGAACGACTCAACTACTGATAAATCAGACGGATTCAAACGGAACGGATGAAGCGCCATACCAACGTATACTAACTCGGCTGCTGGAGTGCAAACAGACTGATTACTGTTGGGTTAACTCTACCGCGTGTAAATCCCAGATAGCCACGATGATTATATTGCGGCCGCAAACATAGTGTGCTGAATAGTCAAAGCCGAATACCGTTATTTCACTGTCGCCGACGCTATCACGTCGGTAGCGGCAGGATAGGACAAGTGAGAGGTGACAATCGCGTAATGTAAGTACAGCGAGGATTTCTGTATTTTATGCAAACAATCGGCCCATTAGTTGAATAACGTAAGCTTCAGAAGGAGAACTTCCCGAAAGGATTGCAGCTACTGCTCTCTGTCTCTTGACGTTCGAGCGCGGAACGAAGGAAATCTAGCTGCAAAGCAGTGTAGTTCAGTAAGACAATTAACCCTTTGCAGAAGCTTCAGGAGGAGCTTGGATCAGGTGTCGAGCAATTTGAGTAGAAATTCATGTCGTACACGTGGTTCGATCGTTTGTTATCCTTAAACTGCGAATTCATAGTACACTAAGCCACGCAGGGGCGAGGGTGCTGTTATCTTGCAAGTATCGATCCATACTCGGGCCATTCATTGTCTCCGAACCGCGAATTGTATCGCTTGTCTTTCTTCTCCTATCTTGAAAAGCGTCGGACTTGAAAATATCGAAATTTATTGTCTCGTTGTCTTCAACCATTGTTGACTTCACTTACTTGATAACTCATCTTGGAATAAAAATACGTTAAACCCCTAAAAGCTGTCACCACCTCAGAAATTTCATCCCAGTATACTTTTTATTTTAGAAGTAAAAAAAAATGCGCAATTAAATGTTTCATTATTATTAAATATTAGATGGAAGTAGAAAAGTTATTATTCGCAGCGAGGATAATTTAACATTTAATAAAATGAAAACAAAATTCGAGTAAAATTTCATCCGTGGTAGCCTTTAAGGTTAACTGAACATTCCTAAATTCATCTACTTCTATCCACCTACATGTATATCCTCTTGTTAATTTTATTTATTTCGGACGAATCTGACAAATTATATATAAAAATGAATTTTTTCTCAAAAAGTTATCGTCCCAAAGAAAATCACGTTAATGCTATCATGAGTGAAATCACATCCTAGTAAAGATTTTTTTATTTCAGGAATAAAAAAATCAAACTAACGCAATTAAATGTTGCATTATTATTGGATATTAGATGAAAAGTAGAAAATTTATTTATTTGCAAAGAGAATAATTTAACATTTAATAGGATCAAAACAAAATTCACGTGGAGTGAAATTTTACTCACACCAAGGGTTAACTGAGAAATTCTAAATTCACCTATTATTATCCACCTGCATGTATATTCCTTTGTTAATTTCATTTGTTACAGACAAATCTGATAAATTATATATAAAAATGTATTTTTTCTCTAAAAGTTATCGTCCCAAAGAAAATCACGTTAATGCTATCATGAGTGAAATCACATCCTAGTAAAGATCTTTTTATTTCAGGAATAAAAAAATCAAACTAAGGCAATTAAATGTTGCATTATTATTGGATATTAGATAAAAAGTAAAAAATTTATTTATTTGCCGAGAGAATAATTTAATATTTAATAGGATCAAAACAAAATTCACGTGGAGTGAAATTTTACTCACGATAAGAGTTAACTGAGAAACTCTAAATTCACCTATTATTATCCACCTGTATGTATATCCGCTTGTTAATTTCATTTGTTACAGGCAAATCTGATAAATTATATATAAATATATTCTTTTCTCAGAATCCTTATAAAAATGATCTTTTCGTATTTAACATTTACAGTTAATATTGTACTTTTCATTATATTTATCGAGATATTTTATTTCATTGTGCTTGCACCGTTTGTACTATACCCGTTCTTTAATGCTATGCAATAGCGTTCGCTTGTAACCCGTCTAGCTAAGTAAACTTTATGGTAAGTGTAACTAAGGAAGAGAATAGAACGGGGTTACAGGATCAAATATAAATTCGGGCTAAGTTAATTATCAAGCCCTGAAATTCAGTCGATTCCGTCCATCAAGCCGCACGGGGCCGTTTCTTTGCTATTCAAAAAGCTCGGCGTGGCTATATTAAACGCCAACATGTCGCACCGATATCAAGGAAAAACTAATTGAATTTCCGTCCAGCTGTCAATCTTCCTGTGATGTATCGAGCTGATTAAGGTCTGTTTACCTCACGAGACATATCGCGATAAGGTTTTACCAGAGAAACCTTCCATGTATTGTGTAAACAGCATATCACCGAGTGTAAATCAAAAGGCATAGAACATAAGCGAAGCGAGAGAGGCGATAACATTGTGTCCGTTAATGACTATCTAGCAATAGAATAGAGATTTTACAACAGAGAAGAGATTGCGTCTGCGATTGAGCGAGAAACGAGGCAAATCTGTAACATCGTATAATAAAGTATAAAATTGTGAGAATAAAAAACCGCGTGATTTTTCTTAATTTAAATTTATATATATTTTCACTTCCGTTTATTTTCCTTCGCAGTTTCAAGCGAAACAGAAAAATATTGCCGCGCTGAAATAATAAAATAAATTTTCAACTAACATAATAACCCAGGAAAACCAGCATCATTAAAATCCGTTTGTCTGTGTTTATCAGCATTCCGACGGATAAATAAATCAGTTGTCAATTTCCCGGAGAGAACTGCTGAAATGCTCATATATGCAGGAGACTGCGAAATAGTCTCTTACTACGCAACGGAAGTTGCATATAAAGACAAAGAGAAGTTTCCGCTTGCCTTTCCATGGTAACTCGTGTTTCTTACGCTCTTCCTTAGACTTTCTATCTATATTAGATGAGAAATTTCAACTTGTTATATACAAACAAGAAAATTTTACTACTTTTTTTACTGCAGTGCGCGAGATGCGCTCGCGAAAGCGCTATAAGGAACATGTTTTCAAATGAATATTTTCCTTCTTTCCTACGTCAACCCCGGCATCTTTACTTAACATTGATGGCAACGGCCTGCGCGATACAAGATTGGGTTGTATCTTATGTATCTTTTCTTCCATCTTTCTTCTTTTCTTTATCTCCTTCCGTCACGCGTCCTTTTCGTCTGTTTTTTTTTATCTTTTCTCTCCCCGGCGATATCTGCGCGTGGAAGGGACAAGCAAAAATGGCAACCAGGGTAAACTTGCCGTGAAAACGACGTCGTGTTAATGGCAATACACCGTGCTGTGCTCGGAGGAAGGGGAAGAGCGAACGAGAGGGAAAGAGGAAAATTTTGTTACGCTTTCGCATACCGAGTCTAGCCGAGTCGAACCGAGCCAGGTAAATCAAATAATGTCGTTAAGTACCAGCGCGATTCCGCTCGTCATCCCTCGAAAAAATTTATATCGCTCGAGGGAAAAGAGAGTAAGGAGGTAACAACGACGCTATATAACGTTGCGCTGAAAAATCTATGTGCAACGTTGGATCTCACCGTGGAGATACAGCGGTTGAGATTGAAAACGAAGTCATATATGGGATCGATTGAAACCTCGCTAGAAACAATCCTCGAACACATCCTCGAATGTACAGGATATCGCAGCGGAAGAGCTTATTGCGAAGATATTGCGAGTACATGAGCGAGAAAGAAAGAAAAAATGATTTCTTACCTAAAGAATATCGCCAGTACTGGCAGCTCTCGTAGTCTTCGTCGCTGGTCCCAGCCGATTGTTCGACTCCGGCCGCGGCCTGCAATAGATGATCTTCCGGAAGGCTTTGCGAAAATTGTCGCTGAGGAAGGCGTAGAGGAAAGGGTTAACGCAGCTGTTGGTATATGCAAGGATGTGACTGGCTATTTGCAGCATTATCGTTGCCGTCGTGAGCGGAAACATATCGACAGACTTGGTCACTAGTATCACCTGTAACGTGACGTTGCGAACGACATCGCGACATGAGGAAATGCTAAAACAGAGATTGCTCTCCCTCTCCCTCTCCCTCTCTCTTTCTCTCTGCTTATAGGGAGACCTTTACCTGTATAGGACACCAACAAACGGCAAAGACACCTACGACGACGAGGACGAGCCTGGTGACTCGCCTCCTCCCGCGTCGGCTTTCGGCGCTAATGCGCGCGCCACGCCACAGTTTGATCAGCATGCACACGTAAAAAATACATATCAGCTTCAGCGGCAGCACATAGCTCGTCAGAAAGAAGGAGACCTGGAAGAAGGACCAGTCGTACTGCTCTAGGATCCGACAAGCCGTCAGATTTTCCGACGACGAGCCGTCCACCTCCTGGAACACGTAGCGAATCTACGTACACGAGGTACATAAGGGAGTGAAGGCTGGATCGAAGGAATGTGGAGCATCGTTCGCGACGTACTTACCTCGCCGTGTATCACGAGCGCGGGGGTGGATATCGCCAAGATCACCGCCCAGGTGACGCAGATCGCGAGGATCGCGTGATTCTCCGTCCGCCAGGACATCGAGGCGATCGGGTGGACCACCGCTAAGTACCTGCGAGCAATATTTTATTTTGACTCTCCCCTCGTGCTGAAGAAACTTTACCATTAACACGGCTTGAATTGCTAATGCGGAAGCATGGTCCGAGGGGTTAAGCCCCTATTAGCAAAGTTTTATAGAATTTTGTAACTCCGGCCCGCCCCTCTGCAGAATTGGGAACATTTTCTATTTTCGTTTCGTTCAAACCAGCATAAAGTTTGCGAACAAGTCTGTAAATTGCCCGAAAATGAGTCCTTAATCTGGGAATTAATTTTGTCCAACGACATAAACCTTGTCTCGTATATAATATTTACTTTAACGGAAGATCAGAGAGAATGGTGAAAGAGGAGCTTCCTAAGCTCCTTTAAGGTAGTTCACTTCTCCTAGCTCCTAAATGATTGAAAGCAGAATACGTAAAATTGACCAAGTATTTTGCACATGAACGTTTAATTTTGTTGCTGCTATTGCAAAGTTCAGTCGAGAAACATTTCCGTTGGATGAACATTGGCGGGATATTTAGTAACGTTCGTACCCCTAACAAGTTTCCAGGCATATTTAAAGGCACGTACGCCAGGGTAGGTGACTGTAATCACTGGCCTTAGCGGATTCTTAACAACAAGTGACAGTCACCTTTCGTACCGAAAGATTGAACTCGACGATATCGGTGAATAAGCCAATGCGAGGGATGTGACGAGAGAATGATGAGAACTCCTTATGTAAAGCGCGGAACCATTTCGAAGAATTTGTCGATACATGTCGTTTCATGGTTATTTCGAAGAAAACATCGCTCTTGGCTGAACGCTACGTCATCGATATGATCCAGTCGATCATAAATTGCATTATTCAACAACGCCATTCATCGAAATTACGCTTTGCATACGCAGTCGTTCGTTTCCGTGATACAAAAGGGGACCATAAATACTGTCAGCAAGCCCTTGCAACTTGTAGTTTATCGTGTCCACTTAATATTCGAGTGGCGCTAACGGTATTCATGCAACGTTATATATGATATATAGCTCCCTGTTCACTGAGTCACTCTGTATACTTACTCTGTATAATTACTTACTGTTCTTATATAGGGTGCACGATTTATCTGAAGACATTGAAATATCTCGAGAACTATGCATTGGATAAAAAAAAGTGGTTAATGAAAGTTGTTAGTCTCGAAGGGGGACATCCAATGATACCAAACTCGACCTCCCACCCCACCCCCTGGGGATGGGGTTGGGGGCAACTTTGAAATCTTAAATGGAAACCCCAATTTTTTATTGCAGATACGGATTCTACGCCACAAAATACGTAAATTTTGTCCGAAACTTTTTTTTTGATTCGTGATAGATGGCGCTGTAATCGCAAAAAATTATATTTTCCGCAATTCTCCAGAAATGATCATTGGATTGAGAAATAAAAAATACCTGTTCAATATTTTTAAAGAACATAATAAAAGTTATCCCCCCCATCCTCTCGGGGTAGGGTGGGTGGTAACGTTCAAATCTCAAATGGGAACCCGAATCGAAGAGGGAACTGCTTGACGCGCCACTGTGGGTGTATGGCGAACTACGGCTTATTATAAAAGGCAGTGCAATGCGGTAATTATAATGGTCGGTGGATTGGCAGAGGTGGGCCGATTAATTGGCCTGCTAGGTCGCCTGATTTGACATCGCCGGATTTCTTTCTGTGGGGTTACCTAAAAGATAAGGTTTATCAACAAGTGCCAACAACTCGTGAAAACATGGTAGAACGCATAAGAAACGCTTGCGCTGAAACTCCCGCAGATATGCTTCTATCCTGTGTACAGTCATTTGAAAAAAGGATCAATAAGTGTATTGAAGTTGAAGGTAAAAATTTCGAACATTTACTCTATAATTAATTGAACAGTGAGAGGCAAGGGGACTCACATTAAAAAAGCACCCTGATCTGTGAGAGGCAAGGGGACTCACATTAAAAAAGCATCCGAAGGGAACATAAAACTACTACGTCCTCGTCGTTGTTCCTGTGTAACACTAAAAGTAGTTTCTCGGAAAAATTCAACGCTATCACGAATGAAAAAAATTGTTTCAATAAAAATTTCACGTACAATCTAATTCTGCAATGAAAAATGTGGGTCCCCATTTGAAATTTGAACGTTATCACCCACCCTACCCCGAGAGGATGGGGGGGGGGAATAACTTTTATTATGTTCTTTAAAAATATTGAACAGGTATTTTCTATTTCTCAATCCAATGATCATTTCTGGAGAATTGCGGAAAATATAATTTTTTGCGATTACAGCGCCATCTATCATGAATCAAAAAAAAAGTTTCGGACAAAATTTACGTATTTTGTGGCGTGGAATCCGTATCTGCAATAAAAAATGGGGGTTTCCATTTAAGATTTCAAAGTTGCCCCCAACCCCCATCCCCAGGGGGTGGGGTGGGAGGTCGAGTTTGGTATCATTGGATGTCCCCCTTCGAGACTAACAACTTTCATTAACCACTTTTTTTTATCCAATACATAGTTCTCGAGATATTTCAATGTCTTCAGATAAATCGTGCACCCTGTATATACGCTGCTTTGGTCATTAATTAAAATGTATCCTTATCTTGAATATAATACTTTTTATTAATCAAATTTATATATGTATATTAGATGTATGCAAAAGTCTTGGTCTTTTTCTTCAGTCCTCTAATACAATTGTATTAAATTAAAATATTTTCCCGCCGTTTTTTGTATTTCTGTAAGATTGGTATCGAACTTTCTAAAACGCCATTTATGATTCATTGGTGCACATAACCTTAAGAATAACAGTTGGTATAGCGAGCGATAAAAGACTCTACATTCGACTTAACTTATATGCTATACTTTCCATTCGATATGAATTCTAGCAAAGAAAAATGTTGCAAAAGCATGTGAGTTTATTTGTTCTGTTCTTGGGGAAATATTGGTTTCGTCACTTTAAAGACGGTGATTTTGACGTGATTGATCATCCGTACTTTGGAGCGCCACCAAAGCTTGAGGCCGACATTTGGAAGCATTGTTGAATGAAAATTCGTCCCAAACGCAAATAGAACTTGCTCGAATAACTCGAAGTTCAGCAACAGTTCCAAAGCGATACATGAAATGCGAAAAATTCTGAAGCACGGAAAGGACTAGAACTTTTGCATACATCTAATATAAAATGCATATGGTTTATTTTTTATTAGACTTATATTTTCAATAGCACAAAATATATATATAAAAATATATAAAAAATACATATGATTTATTTTTTATTAGACTTATATTTTCAATAGTACAAAATATATAAAAAAGTATATATAAAGATTAATTCATATATTTTGTTTTATTAAGTTTTGCAAAATTTAGCATTTTTCTTTCTTTAATTTTTTGGTCCATTTTTCTCTCATGATTTATTTTATTTATATAATGTGCGACAAAAAATTTTATAATTTATTGATGCAAAATTTCATGTAAATCTCAATCTTGCAAACTATATTTTACGCGTTTTATTCTTAGCTTCATACAGTTCGAACGCATATAGAATAGGTAATATCTCGTTATTTCTTAAAAATTCATATATGCGCTGTGTAATTTCATATGAATTAATATGCACATTAAGACTCAATCTTCATTATATCTTCGACTTTTTGGATTTGCATATTTTGCAGCTCCCATTATTTCTATTGCGTACATTTGATTTTCAAAAATATTCCTCTTCCTTAATTAATCTCTCTTCAATAGTCTTTTCTTCCGATACTTCTTTAACTTTAGCCATACAATTCATTAATTCACTTTTTAATCTCTTCGCTATATAGTTCGATCTTCGCCTGACTTCTCCTGCTTCATAATATTTTTTCCACGATAGCTCGTCGGGATATCAACAAAATTATAAGTCGGAATATTACGGGCGTTGAAAGCAAGCCTCACTCTTCATCAGTCTCTACGTCTCCAAACAAGTTTCTTGCGAGATCATTTAATATGTTTGAATTTTTACCTCTGGAGAAGAACGAAGGAGCTAGCTTATTTTTTTTCACGGAATAATCATACAGGAATTAAAAGAAGTACAAGCAAGTTTTCCATGAAGATTACAAGTATATTTGACCAACATGAACATTTTCAACGCTTATTGCAATAATAAAAAGATCAGTTCTAAATTTTCTGACTTGTAATTTTTTGGTGTATCCCGACAAAGCGGTTAAATTTTCAAAACATATTCTGATATAAAAGTGATTAAACTCATTGAGTCTATCTATGGAGTAACTGAAATATACCTCTTCGTATAAAAAAAAAAAAAATTTGTCCCTTTTTTGGTGTGAAAAATCTCGACACTCGAAGTCACCAAAGTATATTCTACTTGTCCCACAATTTTCACCATAAATGTCTTCCTCTGTCTCTAACCTTTCTGGCGAAAAACATGGCAAACTTTTTGCCAGACTTTGCGAGCTTATGTGGCTCGTGTCAGGGCGCTAGTAATCGATGTAATGGACTGCGTTTCTGCAACCGGAGATGGAATAATCAAAATTGAACCAGCTGATTTAATCGAGCTTGTGCAACGTATGATGAAAGACATATTGTTGCTGGGTATTGGAGTTAGGCAACGATCGTCTACAATAGTCGCTAGAACAGGATACGTTTGAATTGGCTGAAACGAATATTTCAAACGAATGTATGCTTCACAAACTGTCTCATGGGTCACTATTCAACCAGGAATCACCAAATCCAGTGTCGAAGCTTTTTGTGAGAATACGAGAAACGCACGTTTCATTCGGATTGGATGCTTGCGGATATCCTAGCACGGGAAATTCAAAAACATGATCGTACACGATTCCCGATATATTTCTTCTTTAGCGATTTACTTGTTAATTAGCAAATTACTTGTTAATTATAAATATATAATTGAGAAAAATCCCATAAAGAAACGCGAATATATATTTCTTTATGTATAAATATTTTAATTAATCAATATTATCATGTATGTTATTATATTATTATATTTCATTTAATTTCGACGAGAGCAAGCTTGCAACATATCTTATGAATAATCAAAATCGTTCAATCGAAAGATTTCGAGGAAAAAGCGTCGAGCGAAAACGAGACTCGATCATTTCTTTGCACAAACAAGCCCGAAGAATTCAATCCTAATCCTGTAATAGGATCGACGCGCCTTCAAATTAAATCGAGGTTGTCTTTCGTGACACTGCTTTCTGTACGATACGCGGGGTGTTTTAAGTAAAAGGGTTTAAGGATAGTATTCACAAAATGGAGGAAAAATAGTTTTGCATGGGTCGAAAAATTAATATCGTCGGAATTATGAACAATTATTTATTTTAATTCAAGCAAGTGACTTGCTCGCTTCTGGAGCATAGCCATACACGAAATGCACTTCTGCCATTTCTTGATCAGATATATGGACACACGATGTCATTCTTACTGTGAAGACCTTCTGGTAGCTCTCTGCAACTGTTCACTATTCACGAAGATGTGCAACAATTGCTTGATACAATGTGTGTATAAATGAGAAGAAAATATATATGTTGGTTCACATTCCGAACAAGAGCAAAGAGACTTTTTTTAGGGATTCCTTAAAGCACTCTAACAGAATTTTATTACTGGCTGTGATAAATTGGCCAATAATAATAAGTAAGTATTTTATTATTCGTACGAATAATTTTATTACTCATATGAGTAATAAAATTACTTATTATCACTAGCCAATTTATTACAGTCAGTAATAAATTTCTGTTAGGCCATGGTACTCTCTTTATCAATAAATTATATAGACATCAGAGAATACAAAAGCACCAGAAGCGAGTAAGTCGCTCGCTTGGATTAAAATAAATAATTATTCATAACAAATAATAATAATTCATAACTCCGACAATATTAATTTTTCGATTTGTTTATTAGGACCCTTGTTTATCAGGATTTTTTTCCTCTTTCATTACGTGAATACTACGTATCTGCCCTTAAAGTCCTGAATCCTTTTTTCTGACACTCTACACATGTGTATATATACCCAGTAAGCAAATTGTGCGCAAATTTGATCAAAAACCCATTTTTGGCGTCAAGGCCTCCTGTCGGCAATTTGCAGCAAAAACCGCGCAAACCTTGCTGCGCATAACGCTAACGTTAGGTGTTACGCGTAGCAAGATTTGCGCAAGGTTTTTGCTGCAAGTTGCCCGGCAGCAAGCTCCGTTGCATATTTGAGTTTGGCAGTTTGGCAGCAAAATTTGATAACATAGATCCTGCATTAAATTTGCTACTTATCTGCCATCAAAAATTGATGGCAAACTCTGCTCGAAATTTGCTCGCGCACACTTGGCTATCTGGCTACGTACAAACATACTCGCTTCATCTAGATTTCACTTGCCGTGTAGCGGTTGGCACTTAACTAGCGCGCGTGATGTTATCTTGGAATACGCTTCTCGTTTCTCAGTTACGCAGGAAATGGTTTGAGATCTGTTGTTTACCGCTGCACTACCTCCTGGTAACCTCCTTTTTTCTCTCTTCAGCACGTTTCAAATATATAGCCGTTCCATTTCAAGTTTCATTTCAGCGAGAAATGCAGCACAGCACATCAGTAAAGAAAGGGAGGAATTAAAGCGTTGAAGTATTTTTGTAACGTTTATACGGAATATTGTCCTAACACTCTAATGTAGTGCGGCAGTGCCACATCCTTACAATAGCCCCGCTCAAAGTTATATCGCTACTTGTAAAGTTTCAGTATTACTGTAATATAGCTAAAAGCTTTTATAAGAGTGCCCATTATTGTACGCTTCATTCTGCACTATCGGTTGCACGCGGGAAAAGTCTATAACTTCTGGATACTTCACAGGGTGGCGGCAACACGGTGTGAAACACGGTATGATATCGCACAACGCGGAGGAACTTCAGGAACGGCCAATCCCGAGCAATAAAATCAATCATAACCAGTAGTAAAATGTAGCTATACCATCTTGATGTACTTACAGAGCCTCGAAATGAAATATGGCTCCGCGAAGGCGAGCTTAGCACGTGCTTACCACGAACTATCCCCGAGTACGAAACAATCGCTGGCAGTGAGCAGAAAAAAGGGAAGAGAAGACGACTGTGTGTTACGATTTCCAGGTAGAAGGGAACAAGTGTTGATAAAAATTACTGGCGCTGAAGAAATCATATTCTGAGTGATGCATCGGACTCGTATGCTTCAGTTGCCGGCGCAGAAGCTGAATTGAATTTCCAGTCAACACGCGATAGCTATAATGCGATAACGTATCGGTCTGTTTTCCCTGGCGAAAATATTTCTACAAGAAACTACAAGAAACTGCGTGAATTGGAATACTTTCAAAGAAAGTAAGAAATCATTTCAGACTCTGTAAGAATTCGAGAAAGTGCGTTTCTATGAAATTCTTTATTCATTGCCCGAGTAATTATGCAATTTCTTTCTTTTCTCTAAACATTTACCTTGAAATACTGAAATGTTCCTAGAAATAAAAAATGAAGAGTGGCAAATATGGAGAAAAGGGACCACCCTTCCAATGTTATAAATAATTTTCATATTTGTCATCAAGGTCATTACCCCCATTAATGTTACGAAGATTAACATATTGTTATAAACAATAAGCGCAAGCTATAATCTTATATTATATCTTATATTATAGCTTGCGCTTATTGTTTATAACAATATGTTAATCTTCATAACATTAAGGGGGGTAATGACCTTGATGACAAATATGAAAATTATTTATAACATTGGAAGGGTGGTCCCTTTTCTCCATATTTACCACTCTTCATTTTTTATTTCTAGGAACATTTCAGTATTTCAAGGTAAATTCAAGGTTTAGAGAAAAGAAAGAAATTGCATAATTACTCAGGCAATGAATAAAGAATCTCGTAGAAACGCAGTTTTCCGAATTCTTACAGAGTCTGAAATGATTTCTTACTTTCTTTGAAAGTGTTCCAATTCACGCAGTTTCTTGTAGTTTCTTGTAGAAATATTTTCGCCAGGGTTGCCACACTCGCAATATTAGTCATCATCAAGCAACCACCTCTCCATAGACTCGATCGCCCCCTGTGATTTCACACTCTTCTCTTATCTAAAGCTCGAGGGACACAAATTTACCAACGAGGAGAGGCTCATTGCCCTCTGAGAAGAAGCCCTGTGAACTGGAAAGGTATAAGTGGGGATTTTTGGTTAATGACCACGTGGAATGTGGAAGAGAGAGAGAGAGAGCGCGCGTATCGAAAAGGACGGATCGATGTCGCTGGAGACTGTAAATAGATAAAATCAAGTCCACCGAAAATATTTTTAACTTTTGCGTACGAATAGAAAGCAGAACGAGCATTTTCATTTATCGAGGATGGCGTACGTCGAAAAAGGATCGGGATAAAAATGTCTGACCACTTATATTGAGCTTACTATTTATACTGCACATATAAAGCGCATTGCTTTTCGAGCGGGCGCTTGTAACAAACGTTATGGAAATGTATGGAATAAATAAGTCGCTCTCTGACCGTGCTGCAAAAAGAGCACCTTCTGTCTCCGTGAAAACAGATATTTTTTTTCAAAAGCATGGCCGTCGGTAACTTTTGCTCCACACACGTCTCGAATCTACTGACATTTATTTTTATGCATTTTGTAGCATAAAATTACAGACATATTATATCGCGTAAATGTCGTATCATAGTTCTTCGTGCACGTTACTGTTTATGTAACTGTACGATTAATCCTCTGACGTAACAGCGAGACGACGAATAACATTTACAAGCCAACCCTTTTTTAGAGAGAAAAACATCGTATGAGACATAACGAGCTCTTATTTCGTGGCCTGACTTTAAAACAAGATATCAAAACTTGTTCCTGCTTTCAACAGCTGTTCATTTCATTCGTACACATTTTATTCATACTATGCACTGCACGTGTTTCACACTTGTTGATTTATAAACTTAATAACTGCCATATAAATACAGCTAGCTGTTTTGCATTAAATTTTACAAGAATACTTAACGCATGGTCGGGTCTTTGTAATAAAACAAAAAGTTGTAGATATCAATCGAAGTTACTCTTCGTTTCTTTTTCGATCGTTATTTAATTATCAGGCATCGTCGATCATGACTTCAATGTGATATCCTAACCTAAGAATAATCTCTCAACATGTACCGACCTGTCGAGGCTCATGAGGACAAGGGTGTAGACGCTCGCGTAGGCAGTGACGATGATCAAATACTGAACGATCTTGCACCAGACGTTGCCGAACGGCCAGTATGGCAATACGAAATCGGTAGCCGTAAAGGGGATACAAAATATGACGAAAAGCAGATCTGCCACAGCGAGATTGATGATGAGGATGTTCGTGGTCGACCTCATTCCAGGATTCGCCGCCACCACCACGACGACCAGCGAATTCCCGACCAAGCCGAGGATGCCGATCATGCCGAAGAACAATGGCACTACCACCACCACGATACTTTCTACTAGCTCACGATCGAAGCCAAATTCAAATCTCTCGCAAGCCGCCACTCCATTCGCCAGCGAAGTGAATTGCGAGCTGCAGTTGACGAGGTCATGGCTCGCATTCGCGGGATTCGTGAGTGTCGACTCCATCCTCGCGGCGGAATTTGCGATCGATCGGCGTTTCGTAGATCAAATCTCTTCGGCTGCGTTACGGCGAGTTAGGCCGAGGAGTTTATCGTGATCGACAGGAACTATGTGTAACGATACGTTACGTTGATGACAAAATTGACGCAAGCGGCCTCAACGAGATTCCAGTCTTCTCGCGGAGGTCCTCCGGTTCTCCCTTGTGCATGGCCGAGAAAACCGCAGATATCTTCTCTCCTGATGAAGCGCATTCCCGCCATACGATGTTATGCGCCCGCAATCGACGTTTCTCCGGCGCATTGCTCGTCCTTCCTTCACGCTGCCATTTCTCACGGTTTTTCCAGCGGAGTCTGAGAAATTTTAGGAATCGAAATGACGACCCCGTAATGATGAATTTCAGCAATTGGACTCTTTCTTCCCTTCTGCCTCTTTGCACCGAGGAATGTTATTAATGCAACAGACCTTACTTTCATACAGTTGAATTCTCTAAATTAAATTATGAAAACAATTGAAAATGATCTCATAATCGCATCTATTCGTTTCTCGTCATCACATTTCTTTCGCCATCGAGCTCTCTAGCGAAGACAAATTTAGAGGTTGTTCCATCGTTCCTACTGGTTTTTCAGTCACATCGGCGAACATCGTGCTAAGAGCTTCGTACAAGCAATGATACAACAATTGGCTGCTAAATGTTGCAACTTAGCTCGTAAACTCTAGTCATCATTGTCGGACCGTTGAACTGTTTATTGCCGCGCAATTGACTTGGCAACCTGCAGTTCTCGCTACGCATGCCATGCTCGTCTCTCTCTCTTTCTCTCTCTCTCTCGCCGACGCAACGATGATTTCTTCGTAAAAATTGTTCGTTTGAACCGAACCGAGTAATCACAATACGTACATGGTGAGTCGCAGCTTCACACACAGTGCTCAAAATACAACGTCATTTCTGTTACTCGAACGTTGTATTGAAAATTGATTTATAGTCGTGCGCGATCATCGATCATCTTTTACATTCGTTCTACTCTTACGGTTCCATACGGTAGCGAGTATTTAAGTACTTTTCACGATTCTACGTCAAACAAAATTTGGAAACACTGCACTGGACACTCCCGATGAAACGTCAAATTAACGTAAAATTACCGGGCTTTGAACAGGCAACTTTGAGTTTCGCATTTTGCACGTTCGACCGCGCTTACCGCCAAACGCTCGAACTTTGCGAACTGAAGTTTTTCGTCGATCATCCCACGTTCTCTTTCATCGCCGACACGACGATCCGCTCGTTGTTTGCCGAATCTGTGATCACAGCACACACAGCTTTCAAGAAAATAATCCCTCTCGTCTGTGTCATCGATCGCTAAAACGTTCAATCATCGCGTACATAACGCGACGCGCTAAAATGTGATCACGAAAACATCGCGAGAAACAAAATTTAAAAAATCAAGCCTCTTGTTTCACACGAAATGAGCGATCTTCATGAGGATATTTATACAAATCGTCGTTGGAATTTGCACTTCCGACGCAGTCCATCGATAAAAATATTAGGAGCGAATTAACGTGGATTCAGTCTCCGTAAAGTACTCTAGCGCGTGTCATCATATACTTTGATAATACCAGCTCCGGGGGTGGTTTTGTACTGAGAAACCCCCGATAGTCGACGGCGCCGCGCGCGGCTAGAAATGCTTGGGGTTAAGTATATACGCGCGAGAAAGAGACCGGGGGTACTCGCGACGCCATCTACCGTACGCACGTGCGAATGCCGAAGTAAAGAGGCTTGCATGTCGTACGCAACACGGACTTGCTCTTTTTACCTTTGCATTCTTTGCAGCGCGAAGGTCAATTCCCGTAACGGCACATTCTATAAAATCCACTTTCCAGTGGGAACCCCCGGGCCATAACGAGCGAGTTATCAACGCGTTATCAATCTCGGTGATCACGAGAGCTCCCACTGCTATCTCGGTAGCGATTACTTCATCGATAAGCCATCGAGAGGTGCGTCAGCTCTTTCTCTGTAAATCTATCTTTACTACTTTCCGCAAAATCATCAAAGCGTACTTTCTGCAGGAAGAGCCAGTTGGCGTTCTCTTCAATGTTTCATACTTACCCTCTTATTGATGGAAGGTATCCGTCATGAGGCAGGCTCCTGGAAAGTACTTGGAAAATAACATTATAAATTACAAGTCGCTGAAAAGACTCACTCCGCAATTTGCGAAATCTGTTCAAAGAATACTATCGGTGTCTCTGTTATATATTTATTTTCTGAACATTAGCTCTTAAAACTCTATCGCTACTCTACGATACCCGCATCTCTCGGTACGTCTTCACGGATAATAAATGAATTTACACATATGTACTCTCTCGCATTCTCAGTTTATAAAATTTTATGTCGCTTCACAAATAATTACGAAAGTGTAATAACAATACTTTGTGCGTGTTCGCAAGGTATCGAAGTGGTCGGATCGGTTCCTGTCAGTAAAGCGTAGCCGCTTGCCTGATGCTACAGTACTTTCTTCCCTCCATAATATAAACAAACTTTCATTCGAATTATTTCCTATAAATCTCGATAAACGCCATACAAGAGTTACTCAATCCGTACAAACTAGTCTCTGCGTTAACCGTATAAACGCGCACACAAGTTCGATCGTAATGTAGCGCAAAGTATTCGATAATTTGTATCAAAGGATCCGTACGACTTTTTCTTCAGTAAGGCTGAGAATACTCTACGATACTCTAAAACAGTCGACTCTTTACACAGCGCCTACACGTGCGAGAAATTATACATGTATGTACAAATCAATTTTTACACAAAGTGCCTTAATCGTTTGAGTGTTACGCAGCGCGCGATTACATTGCGATTACGTCCCATCTCGAAAGAGAGCGATGGACGAAAATGCCCTCTGAAAGTACGCCCCTCTAAAAGTCAATGTTCTCTAGCGTCTTTTGCTCGTGCCACTCAAGCAATTAACACATATACGATAAATCATTAATACTATACATATTGCAACGCATGCAACAGACAAAAAGCTGTTGGTACAACATTTCGTTCTTACGAGTGAGACGGGTAATTTTGATTGTCAGTTGTAACGTAACTTCTAAGCAGGAACAGTAACTGAATCCCGTGTGAATCCATTAAACACGGAAGAAAGAAGCCATCAACGCAGCAGAAAAAATCTCATGAAAACACGATTAGAGTTTGTTCGACTTACACTTAATACTTTGCTTAATACAAACAGCCAATTTCACCTTTCGTTTCATTACTTTCGTCGTTAGATATATCCTTATATCTCGTAAAGCCGATTATACACACGGACATCATACATATAGATGCATTATGGACTAACGCTAGTTTCATAGTGAGGGGCTGATGTTAGGTGTACTAGTAACTTTTTCGCTTGTGTGTTACACATATACTATATAAATGCCCTGGTAGGTCTTGAACACCCAACTTATTCTACTAGTTAAATCGCAACTTATTGAACTACGACGACATTGACACGATAGGCTTGGTAAGTAAAAGCAGTTCTTTGACTTGGCTGAATTTCTCATTCGGCCATGAAAAAAAAAATATATATATATATATGTATGTATACGTAATCCATCTTTAAAACTTCCTAATCAGGATTTTTCTATGACATCATACACACACCTCACTTCTTTGTTTTAAAAAATTTGGCAGTGATCAAAAAGTCTTTCGTTAGGCCAAAAGTTACAGAAGCGAGTTTGTACAAGAGTTCGTCTTGTCCTGCATGGAGAAATAGTTCGAGCTCGAAAAGCTCTTAAACGTATCACACTAGAAAAGAATATTGACGACAAATTGAAGTCCATTGAATAGACAATTTAATATTGACTTAGGCTGTACTACTGTGGTTGTTGGCGCCACTGATGACACTAAATAGAGCAGCGCTGTTACGTTTGAAGCTTCCTACTTGCTCGTCTGGCCATATTGGTTCTCCGAGCAAGGATGACAGACTCTGGCACAATTTCTGATAGTTCTCGCGCAATACTTCTTGGTACTCGTGTTGGTCCGGCGTGATTAGTTTGCTATTAATTTGCAATGCTGTGTAACATATCTTGACAAATTCTCTGAAATTACAATATAACCACCATAAGCACCTGTATAAGCGTGCCGTACAAAAGGGAAAAGAAACATACCTAAAGACATCTTTCAGTTCCTCTACTTTATCGTCAGGATATTGCGGAGACAGTGCAGGATCCAGAAATGCCGAGGCATAGGCCAGAGGACCAGCATTTACCGTCACACAAATACTGCCTTGAAGACGTAACTGTAATTTCTTTACGTCGGTCGGTCCGATCAAAGCCACGTCTTCCAATTCTTGCACACGTTGCCTCATTTCATCCAGAGCAACTTCGATAGGACTGAGTTCCACTATTCGTTTCTCGGCGATTCCGATACGTTTCTTCACGTACGGGAAGGAATATTGCGCTGCGGAAAAAATAAATCGTGCAGCCTCTACATTTGCCTCTCTCTCTCTCTCTCTCTCTCTCTCTCTCTTAAGAAGTCAAAATCTTGGATGAACGAACAAATAACTCGAATTAACGCAATTTAATTTGACCGTACTTGTAAGAATGGTTCTACGCTTCCATTGATCCTCCGGACTACCTCTTGCTTTACCCTCTTTCGTGAACGGCGTTTCGAACATAAAACAGGATACGTTATGATTCTGCTCGAACTCGGTCTGCCGCACTTCCAACTCGGGCTTTTCAAAGTACGGAGTTACGTGCGTGACTTGAATATATGCTATCTTGGGATCCAACTCGCTCACATCGACTGGTACAGAATCCATTATCATCTTAACATTCTCAGATCCGAACTTTTCATTGTACAAACGTAACAAACGTTCCGATATTTCAGACAACGACGTTACTTTCGGTTCCTTATAGATGTACTCTTGGCCGGTTTCCTCTTCAAAATATGCCTAGATAACGATATGCATATATCAAATTGATTACTTGAATTATTTGATCACGTTGACTGTTGAACTGTGTGACGCTTCGAACTCAGATGATAAATCAGCCTATGTAGACCAGATTTTTAGATCATAAAGATGCAGATCCAACCAACGACATATCTTACCGTGCCGAAAAACGCTACTCTGTAAAATCTGCCGAGCAATCTCTTCCCAGTTCGGGTAACTTCCACGATCTTATTGCACGCTTGAGCCAAGTGTGAGTAGCAATTTGCCAAAGCTTCGTAATTCCGTTTCTCTTCGTACATAGGAACTATCAAACGATACAAATGGCCAAGCAACTCGAAGCGTTCGGCTTTCTCCAACGTGTCAGCACAAACTTCCAGTTGCTCGAGAAGCAAGCATTCATTATAATGAATATCTTGGACACCTGAAAGACAATTCTTGTGTTTATTTGAGAACACGCTCGCGGATCGAGGTTATCTCCCCCATTCGCATGCACATTTAACACAACGAAGACGATAACGAAAACACAATAAAACAAACATACAAATCTCACCAGCATCGAGCTTAAGGTTACACTCGTCCTTCGAAATGTTTACAGAAATTTGATCGAAAGCTTCCGCGCCCCATGAATGGACCTTCCGCAATTTCAGATATTCAGCCATTAGTGCCGCGATATGTAGTTGACAACAAGCAGCCTCGAGAACAAAAAGATAGATGTACTATTGTGAAATACATTCAAGTTCGAATATATTATTTATATTTACACACACATATATCTGCGATTAATGCTTTCGTCAGGCTCTTTTGGCTTCGACAGTAAGGTCTTACGTATGTGACACTAGTGTGCACTTTGTGGATATGTAATTTTGATGCAAATTGTAAATACCTCTGAAAAGTTGCCATCTCTGGCATGATTTCTGGCCATTGTTTCCAGCCAAGTATGCCTCAGTTCGGGCGTGCTAGCGTAGGAGTTGGCTAAGCTATGTTGCAAATCAACCAGCATTTCAGGATCATTATTATGTTCCCGCATTTGAGCGGTGGCCATTAAAACCGTTCGGATTCTCTTGTTGAGGTCTTTGACTTCGACTGGGAAGCCTGTTCCTTTCATAACTTTGTCCGAGGAGGCATAACTGTTGATCAAGGATAGCGATTCTTGAAATCGCGAATTATTCAAGCCGATTACATTCCCCAGCATTTGAGAAACTGAGATTATCACCTGCAATGCGCGATGAACGCACCTTATAAATGCTGTACACGTCAAAAATTGCTCAAATTATGGTTGACATGGACGCAGAGAGAACTTTTGCGGGACTAGACCGGTCTCTAACTTAGCGGACTTGATGTATTGTATTCTATATAAATGAACACCTCACCTGCAAGTGGACTCTGGTTAATCCTTTCCGACTTGTAAATTCGAAATTACTTCGCATCAGCAAATATAGCAAAGCACAGGACTCCTGTCGTATAGAGCTCAGCTTGCTGTTGCAACAACGCAGCAACTCGTAACACAAGCGTCCGCACAGCACAGCGTTGCCTACAAGGGCAAGATATTTTGTTCAAGCTTTCATGCACATTTTTCACGCAAGTTGTCGGCCTATAACGAACACTTTATCTACGTTTCTGATGTTGAAGTATGAATTTTAGCGTCAAGATGCGCCGAATCAAGGACCACAATCGGTCCGGAACAAGTGCGAGATACTAATTAGAAAATTCCACTTAAAGTTAACAAACATTTTTATTCTACTTTTTATAAACAAGATTCAGTTATGAAAATATCCTCAAAAATCAACAGTACCTTGGAAAAGCGCGATGGAATAGTTGTTTAGGAAGGCTCTAAATCCAGCGAAAACATGACGCAATAGTGTTTCCGACTGTCCGACTTGGAGAAACGATAAATAAATATTGAATAGCTTTTGCATAACTGGATTCTCACCCTCGTTCGCTAAAAGAATATCCTGCGAAAGATCAGACGTATTAATATCCACATCAACAGTCTACTGTTTGAACACTACAAAGAAGTTAGAAAAATACAACATTCATAAGTTTAAGATACGTACTTTAAAATGAATACAAAAAAGTCCCAAGCAATCCAGCGCAATGAGGCCAACTTCCGTCGCCATGTTAGCTTCTAGTAGAGCTTGATACACCTTGCCGCTGTCATTTTCAACTAGATTTTCTCTAGTGATCGTATTGTGAGGTTGTAATGTGCTGGTGGCCGCACTTTCGGTGGTAAAATCTGGGGGCGCCATCCTGGCGGGCAGAGTCATCGCTTTGACAGTACGGGGTTTCCCTAAAGAGCTTGCAGCGTTAGCGACTATTTGTCTCTTACCGATATATTTGAAATGATGCAAGCTCATCCTAAACAAAAAGCAACACTATTCGTGCATATTCTCTCGTTGGATCAACAAGTGCTTACCGCATCATCTCTATTCTACTCACTCGATCACCGTGAAGAAGCTCAATATTTCTGAGTCGTTGCATTGCTGCCACCAAGCGATGACTTGATGGTCACCCAAATACTTGACAACAAACAGGAAACAGAGCAGTATATCCTTCACTTCCGACGGTTGCAACTTGTCGCATCTGGGCAATGATTGCGTTACGCTCAAGGTGCGCGAGTGTCTCTTCCTCTCGCCCGTTCCATTTTCCGTCAACTCCCTGACAATGGTAGTTTCCTGGGAAACGTTAGACTGAGATGCGCCAGACACGGTTGACGTGTCTGATTCGACGCTGGTGCAAGAGTATCCATTTACTAATCCTTGACCCGCGATGGCAGCAAAGTAAGTAGAATCCCGAAGGTGTATGGATGTTCTTACGGGTGACTGGGAGTCCAGATGAAGAGTCAATCTGCGCAACACATTGTAACTTCCCCTTAACTTTCAACTGATTAATAATCAACCAACATGTCGTTCCATTGGCACTAGAATTTACCTGTGGAGAGACTTGGGTGTACCTGAGCTTGTGGCATTAAGTGAGATAGTGTCTTTTGCTGTCAAAAACGAACTGCTGGTTGACACTCTGTTTGTACCGTTCTGTTTGGCATCCGTTTTAATCTCATCCTGTGTTGATTGCAGTCGATGTAAATTTTCCAATACAACGCCCAGCCACGGTATGTAAATCGATGCTATTCTGCTCAGTTGACCCTGTAGTAAGAAAGTGTATCCTTCTTCGAAAGCGGTTCTTTGAAAATAATAATAAATAACGTTAAATGTACTCATTAGCGAACTATTGAAATTCACACCTTGTTCTGATATCTGTCGTCCAATTCGTGCTTCGCCAGCAAATCTCGCAAAGTACCTGTAGCCACTTTGCGAATCTGCACGATTTCATTGAGAGAGGTCCTGACTTCTTGCATCAGAAGACCAACCAGGAAGTGGTGCTTGCAGAATTCCTCCGTGAGGCAATACTCGTTCATCAAATCTGTCATCAGAAATAAAGCACCTCAGTTTTATCCATCGTCATGATATTCATTGTCCAATGCAAATGCGATTATAATAATGTGTAGAATAATAAATGTTTTGCAAACACAAATAATTAAATACATATGTGGATTTGTGGTGCGTAATCCTGTAAAAATATGAATGTTGCATCTGCAAACCTAAATTTGTCAAGGGAACAATGATTATCAAATTAATAGTGCCCTAAAAAAAAACATTTCATCAATTAAAAACATCCAACTCACGCTAATTCTAACTATAAACAAGGAAATATGTAACAGGCATCCATGTATGACTGTAGTTATAAACATACCCTCGCATTCTGGTTCTCTCTCAGCGTCATTGTCAGTATCTTCCAAACAAGACGCGAAACAATCGAGTTAGTTCATTAAGTTGGTAGATTTTTACCGCAATCTTCCTCGCATATATCAACGATATGTGTAAGAACTTACCTCTAGAGGCAAGGCGCGACTGCATCATTGGCAGATTGAAAGACACGTAGTGCTCGTGAGAGCAGATAATCTGCAGGAAAGTAAACTTGAAGTCGTGCAGCGTGCGTTGATCGCCGGGTGAGAAGTTGTTCAGGTAGGAATTGATGAGGCGGAACACAAAGCCTCGGTCCATAAATGTGAGACATCGCTACGCACATGGCGAAGTAATGAAAATTAATATGACACGAAGAGATACACACGTTACATATGGACGCAACAATCGTACGAAATTGTATACCTTCAAAAATTGTGCGAGACTTTTGTTCAATTCGTGTGTCTCCACTGGCATTTCTTTGTACTTGGTCATTAGATATGGCATAATCACTTCCAACAACGTCCTAATCTTCTCGTGATAATCTTTCGAAAATCGTTCGTTTCTGTGCATCTAAATAACAATCAACAATTGCCTTTTATCTGGTCTATCGGCGCTAATGACGCCGGTTCATAAATTATAAGATCACAAACACCAGGAGCTTACTTTGATCCTGCCGGTACTCAGCAGATACTGCACCATACTTTTGATCATGATTTCGAAGAAAAAGTTTGAGTGATGCATGAACTTGTTCACAACCAGAAAATCGGTGTTGCTCGGGTGCAGCAAAGTCGGCAAGTACTTCGCTAGTTGTTCGTGTACCGTGGAGTTTCCGTTTCGCAGCGGAGGCAGCACGAATACAAACTACGAGTAAAGTAGTTACAGACCGATTAGAAAATGGAACGAAATTTCCAGATTCCAAGGATGTATAAAAAAATCGAGATCTAACATTCCAAAGATACTCTGGATTTTACCTTGATGTACGCTTGCAGAATCTCTTTGCGACCAGCCTCGTGCACCATGTTTATAAAGTGTATCAGGACCCTGATCACGTACAGTCCGATCTCTTGACTAGTATTGTACGTCAATAGCACGAATAACTGATTCAGTATAGTAGGTAGAAATGTGATGACGGTGACTAGTTGAACCGCGTGTGCCGCCTTGAGGATTTTGCACGTCTCCGAGTCCGAAGGCGTCGCTGAGGGTTTGGTGTCCAGGATGCGTTCGGCGTGGACGAAGAGATTGTGCAGGTGAAGGTCCCTTGTAAATACCGTCGAGATTAATTGGAAAGATACCGTGAAGATTGGTCGTTGCAAATCGATCCAGGTGATGTCTGGTCCCGCGTTCTGCGAAAATACACGTAGAAGTTGACTTTGCTTTCTGTCTGCTCGTATCAAAAAGCTCGCACCAAAGCAGTTTGGTCCGCAATTACGTAAAACGAATGCAATAGCAGACATCGATAAATAATATTGTTAATCGATCTTACTCTTACCCCTTTCCCCAGTCCAAGGGGTTGTATGGAAAGGTATCCCGCTGGCAAATGCGTCGCTACAGGCAACACTTGGATATTTGATTCTATATCCACGTTCAGTCTGCGCAAATACGGAATCTCGAAACATTATTTGCGAGATTGCTCACTCTTATGTCGCTAGTACTACGATCAAATGTAGTGAGATGCGCTAACAAAATTGTAACTTATCACCTTACCTACCTTCCTTTATGCAGCAGAGGCGCCCAAGAGTAACCGACGCAATTTTCAACGCCGTTCTCCTTCTTCTTGTTCATGTCGCAGCTGATATGATAAAAGGAGAATAGTATGTGATGCTTCGCGTGCAGTTTCGTGGGTAGCTTCATCTTAATCTCTTCGTACCAAGAAGGCACTGCGTTATGATGCAAGACTGCGCACGACGCTCGCAGACATAACAGCGGTGAACCTGGTCTCCCATAAATCGCCTGTTAGAAATTGTAAGATAGAAAGATGATCCTACGTAGATACAATTGTTGAGCGACTAAGGATGCGTCTATTACATACTCGCAAAGGCACAACATTTTCATTGTCGTCGTCGCGGAGCTCCACGATGCACGCTATATTCCTAGCTCGAGTGAACATTTTCTGAGCGTCAAAGCAAAGCGTCTGCGGGTACACATAAAGATGATTGATATATGTCGTATATGGGTGCACTTCCCTCTCGGAAGTGCTCTCGAACTCTGCGACCTCGATCGTCGGTTCCGTCGTTGGAGGAATCGGAAATGGCTTTAACGGCGCTAGGCATGTTGACAACGTATCTAGAAATCATATTTTATGTATCGTATACGTGGAATCGTTCAGAACTATTGACTACACTTTCTTTTTCTCTTGTTTGGACAGATTAGTAAGAGAATCATCGAAAGTTGCATCATTACGAGAAGAATTAAGAGTTATTTAGAGAGAAAGACAGAGTCACAAAGATTGTTTGACCTTCTTTGTAGTATCGTTGGATTTCATAGTTTTAAGTCTCAAGACTTTTTTCTATAAACCTTTTGCCCTAAAGTATACTTTAGAATATTATTTGTGAAAGTTATCGCACAAGGAGATCACGAAAACGAAACTTTGTAACAGCCTCTTATTTAAATACGCACTTTCAGGGATGTCCGTAATAGGCTCGATTTTAATTTTCAGCCAACCAGGTATCACAGTCAATTTGCTAAGTTTCTCAGGCCTGTAAGCAAAGGTTTCCTTACTGATATAATGTTTATACATTAATATAGATAGAATTAAGTTTTGTATAATAAAAATATTACACACTTTCTGTATTCCGAAAGGAGTTTCAACAATTCTTCATCCTTTATCTTGTTGCCATCCTGTCTGTATATTGCTGGAAAATCCGAGGATGTGTCCAGCTCGTTGCTGTACAACCTAAATAATGGTCTTGCAGCCCACGCGAATGGCATTCTATAATTTCCTAGCCTAAGAAGAAAAAATTCAGTAAGGTCCTCTCTTCTATAATCGTCGTTTCGCAAGCTTTTTATCCGCACTCGATATTATAATACAAAGGCACACGAACTTACAATCCTACCTTTGGCAACAAGCTCGAACTTGTTTATGTACCTTCAAGCCCAATCTCGGATCCTTGGTAGCTCTTAAATATGGTTCTGATGTCTGATATATATTCCCCTGAAGTACTTTATCTATTCTTACGACGAGAAATATGTCCGGGTGAGGATTGCTAATGTTAAATATAGCCTGCAACAGCAACATATTTTTAAATATTCAAGTTTTTACAAATCTTTATCTAATATTTGAACATTTATACTTATAGAAATGCACATGTATATATGAGAAAATTCTGATTGTTACTTCTGATCTACCACTCTTGTCTCTCTCTCTCTCTCTCTCTCTCTTTCAACCAAGATTGTCACGTTAGTCACCTGTTTCGGATATTTGATCCATTCCGAAGGAATGCTTTTCAATTCTCCGGAAGGAGTAATATCCTCAGTCTCCGTCATGATCCCCGCGGGACTCAGTTCTCTCATCATGTCACGAACAATTTCATGATTAACATCAAAATGAAAATTCTCCGTGAGCTTTCTGCCATGTCGCGCATCGAAGAAGCTCAATGTCGTGTGATAGGGTTCCACTTGACAGAGAGATTCCTTCTCATCGATCGGTGCTTGCAATCTGAATTTAAGGCTTTCGCACTTGACAAAGATCCTATGACCAAACTGTTCCTTATAAGGATCCACGTTATGATCGGCGGATGGACTTGTTTGGGCCTTGATGTGGGCCATATGAGGATACACACTGAACAGTCTTTTTCTGTTCTCTCTCCTCGCCAAAGCAATGCTGGTGTCAGTCTCTCTGGAGTACTTTATCAGTTGTGGATTCATACTTTGTTCCAGTCCTTTCAATGTGCCATAAACCTGAATTGAAAGATTGTACTTTCGATTAAATTGTCATAAGATCGCGGTTTCTCGACGAATTAGTACTTCTGTATAATAAATAACGAATTAATATAAAAGTTTAAAGTATTCTTAAAAGTAAAATAATGACTGTACTACCTGCATCGGCTGCGGGGATGGCGGAGGTGTATTACAAGCTCTTTCTAACGAAGCAGCACGTTTTTCTTCTTGCTGTTTGTAATGTTGTAACACAGAATTAAGCTTCAATATCCAATCTTGCATATCAGCCTCATTTTCAGAGGCCAATGTATAAGATTTGTGAGTGCCACTCATTCGAAGCTCAAAGCTGTATTTACCACGTTTTGAGTTTCTGACAACTTCTGTGCAAAAATCCATCACTATTGTCAATTTGGCCTCTCCTTTCCTTTCATCTTTGAAAAATTCAAGTATGTAAGTTCCATCAACTTCTTGCCTGAGGTGACAGAAGCGTCTCTTAAATGATTTTGAGCCTATATGAGCGAACATTCTATCTGTACTACCAATCTCAGGACCTTTCAACAAATAGCCTTCCTTCGTTATACCATCATTTTTTGTCAAATCCTATGGAAACACAAACAATTACATTCAGCTTTAAATATGTGATAAAATTACAATTTCTAAGGTAACTAAAATATAAAATCTAAATAATTTATAATTTTAGAGATACAAAATATCGATATTAATATGCAAGCTTTCAAGAAAGAAAAAAGAAATAATTACCTCATCAACTTGATCTACTTCAGTGTCGATTTCATATACTTCATCTTTCAAATCATCTGCTTTAGCTATTCTGTAAGTTTGTGAAATTAAAATATCTCTCAAAAGTATCTAAAACATAATTTTCATTGTTTTGCATGAATCTTTGTACAATGATCAAAATTGTGTACCTTGGCAATTCGAGATAAGTTCCGCTATATGTTGAGTATTTATAATGAACAAGATTCCAATTAGATGTATAACTACGTAAACATTCTTTTGTCAGAAGATTTTCTGCTCCTTCATCACATTCTGTAATGTGTTGAGCTGTTGGTACAACGCTACGGTATCTTCTCGGCAAAACCACTTGCTGCAGAGAAAACTTTATTTATTAATAACAGTGTAATAACCATTGTTTTGAAAAATTAATGTTTTAAATTTATCTATAAAGAGATTATGTTACATATGCTAATAAAATAGTATAATATATAAGGATATTATGATATATGCCATAACTTTATCTCATATCCTGTCAGAGATTGATTAGCTTATCTACGAATAAAACGGATGTGAATAATATGCTGACAAATGTATAAAAAAAGTATTATTAGAATTATAACTCACAGAAATATCGTCCTGGGGATATAGTAGCAGTTCTCGTTGAGGATCATTTTGCAACAATGTTTTATTCTTTAGAACAAAGCTCTCAAAGTCAATAGGCTCAACCAGATGTGGTTTATTCTGTGAAAAGATATATATAAATTTTCAGAAATAAAGAATTCATATAACTTTCAAGCGCAACATTTAAAATATAATGAAATGTTTATTCCTTTTTAAACTTTAAGATTTTTAATCCTTTGTATGTTATTTAATCAATAAAAATTGTTCTAATATATCAGAAAATACCTATATTTTTCTTTAATTCTTAAATTTTTATTTAAGTGTAGAAAGGATATCAGAAAATACCTATATTTTTCTTTAATTCTTAAATTTTTATTCAAGTGTAGAAAGGATATGGGAAGGATACAAAAAGGATATGAAAAGGATATAGAAAGGATATAAAAAAGATATGTAAAGAATATGTTACTGTGGTATTTCTTATAAAAATATATAAAATATATTTAATACAAAAAGTCATTGCATCTTTCGGTAAGCTAACACATAGTAAACAAAAAACAATTCTAGATCTTTGTTGTTTAATTATATCTTGAATTTATTTTGCATCAAATATTTTCAATCTCTAGATATAGAATTAGATAATTATATTGTGATACTCCGTCATCCGCAAGCATTAATTCAACTGTTTCTGCTCTTGCTCTTTCATACTCTATGAAACTTCTTATCTCTTGTAAATACTTAAAATTTCACTAATGATAAGCAACTTTCTGCGTTCTTTAAATTTCCGCAGAATGCTATCACATAATTAAGATTTTTCAACATATATGCGGTAAAATGCAATCAGTTACCGACGTAGGTCAGCAATAAATAGTCTCACCTGCACGGTGCTTTCTCGAACGACCTGCGATACAGTTTCCCGTAACTGAGCCGCCATGCCGGGCTTGCCCAGGCCGCGGGTAAACTTCCTCTCGCTCATTCTCGCCAATACTAATCGATGTCAGTCGAGCTAAATCGGCTGCCTGATGCCGCCGCATCAATGGCCTCGTTAGGCCGCCGCATAGATCACCGTTCCCAGCTAGAGCTAGGATTAAGTTGGAAAACAATCAAAGACATCACGCGCTATGATCCGCGACCACTGTGACAATCGATGGAGAATGTTAACAATAAGGGTGCGGGTCTGTCGGAGCTTCAAATGCCCCCCAGATGCGTTTATCAAGCGATATAGTTACATTTCGTCAAGTAACGCAATATGCTTTCCAGCAAGAAGAACACGACTGTTTTATTGGCAACATAGTATCTTAAGATGGGAGCTTTCATCTTAAGATAATGCGCAGCCAATTAGATGATTGTGTGTTCATTATTTAATAGTATCTTTAATATATTATATGCTAGAATAAATTTGCTTAAAGCTCAGATTATATGATATTTTTTTTGCACGATTGGCTATACATGAAGCATTTCGTGCTCTTTTTCTCACATGCACGAAGCGATATATTATGAGCAATGTATCGACTGATTGTTACTGCTTTGAGCTATACGTGCAGCTTTATAGGTTGCGTATTATCTTAAGATGATGATGTAACCAATGGAACACCTGCATTTTTTCTTACGAAGTATCCTGAACTGTTCAAAAGTGCAGTTTCTTGTACTTTCAGGCGCTGTAATATTACTGACTATACGTGATGTGTGTGTATATATATATATATAGATGGTGTGTGTAATGCGTGGTGTGTATTAGAGTACCCTGTTGTGCCACACGCTCCGAAGATTTGTGTATCAGCAGGAACAAGTGGCGTTTAAAGTCGTACAAGACTTAATCAGGAAGACAGAAGTTGTGTAAAAATTGCAATTTGATTGAATAGTGTGTGAAAATATGACAACGGTAGCAAGACCAACTTTTGAGCCTGCTAGAGGAGGACAAGGACGAGGTGAGAAAGACCTGAGTGCAATTTCGAAGCAATACAGCAGTAGAGACTTACCATCGCACACAAAGCTTAAGTACAGGTAATTGCACAGTCGTAAATTTGCTTATTGTGACTAACAATTTGGATGTTGTATGACTCATAACAGTTATGTATAAATTCACAAAATTTCAAGTTTCAAAAAAATTACATTGCGTTTGATGTAGGTTTACTTTATTTCACGGTTATGATGATGTAAAGTCAAAGTTTTCACTCATCCTTATTTTTCCAAATGAGATATTTCTGCATGAAAATTAACTGAAATGAGTTATAGATATATTAAGATAGATAGATATTTGTTCACTTATTTCAGTCACATCTTGCATAAAAATCTTGCATACAAAATTTATAAATCAAGCGTCATTCATGATATACATTTGTAATAATTAAATAATGTGTAATTGATATTTGATATCATTTTTATTTACAGGGAACATGGTCAAGGAACAATAGAAGAATTACGCAACCGTGACTTCAGAAAGGAATTGGAAGAAAGAGAACGAGGGGAAAAAGAAAAAGGATCAAGTCGCCGTGCCATTGAACCTTCCAGAGAGCAAACTGCATCCAGTGCAAAAAGGCAGAAATTAGATCAAGTTCCTGCAGCTAGCTTAGATGCAGATGATCCACTTGATGATGATGAGTCAGATTCTGATAGTGACGAAGATGATACTGTAGCACTTTTAGCTGAACTGCAAAGAATTAAAAAGGAACGAGCAGCAGAACAAGCTAAGAAGGTAAGTGCTATATTGTCAATAACATGTGGTGTTTAAAAAGTAAGAAAATATTTTTTGAATATTGTTTTATATATTGCAGGAGATGGAAAAACGTCAAGAGGAAGAAAGAATACGCATGGAAAATATTCTCTCAGGTAATCCTTTGCTAAATTATTCCTCTCAAAGTGGAAGAGTAGATATGAAAGTACGAAGACGATGGGATGATGATGTAGTCTTCAAAAATTGTGCACGTTCCGAGCCAAAGAAGAAACATGATGTATTTATCAACGATTCATTGCGAAGTGAATTTCATCGTAAATTTATGGAAAAATATGTGAAATAATTTATCATCTATGCGACACTTCTGTACATACTTTTTTATTGAATCTTACTGAAAGAAGACTTTCTGTCTACATGTATGTTATCAATCATAATTAATGGTATGTGAAACTGTGATCAGATTACTAAAATCAGATTCTTAAGATCTTTAAAGATTTGTACTACAAGCTATGTAGTCCCTAGAAAACTACATTTTTAACACATGCAATTACTTAGTAAGTATCAAATTAACATATTACTGAAAACCATACTAAATATACAGATATATTCTCTAAGTAGGAATATTATACATGCTAAGTCTTTAGTTATCATATATTATGTTATATCACTTTGAAATTTGCATAAGAATAAATATTCCTAGAGTTTATAAGACAAAACGTCTTTACTATCTTGTATCTTATATCTCAGTTGAGAAAATGTGCTTACCTGTTCTTGCTATTTATTCTGTTCTTTTTCGTTCAAGCATTTGATCTCTAATTACAGAGAGAATGCTTGGAAATATTAGATTAGATCTTATTGTCAAATATTTATGTAGAACAATACGATTCTCTTATAAAATTAGCTATCAGACCATAATGTTATTTTAATATAAAAACTATTATATTTCACACGATGATCATGATGATCATAATGATGATGATGCTGAAGATGATGATGATAATAATAATGATGCTGATTATAATGATGATGATGAAGATGATGATGCTAACGAAGACGATGATGATCGTAACGATGCGATCATACTATGTTTCCGTTTCATCTCCTACGATACCGATCAATGGATCGGTAATCTGACTGATCTCTTAATCTGTGTGACATTGTCTTCATGAATTATTGATCTCATGGATAAACACCTGATAGGGCTTTAAGAGAATAGGAATCTCGCTTCCGTAGATCTTTGGTTCCGTAACTGCTTAGAGCTCGCAAATGGTTGAGTAATAAACAGAGTATCCTTGGTAGCTCATCTGCATAATGGCATCTCTCGTTCCACGAAGTTTTATATCCCCGACTGAATTCCTGCCAATCCACTCCTCCTTTCTCCTCCTACACCACTCCTACAACCGTTCCTGATCTGTACCTGTGCGTTCCGTACGCGCCTTCAGGCCGTGCGGTGTACGTGTTTCGGTAGCAACGCGCAATCCGGTCTCGGACGGCGCACAACGAACCGCGCGCTGGGTCAAGTATAACCGGTCCCAGAAGCCCCACAGGGCCCGTCGCGCGCAGGCAGCAGGCAGTCTACCGGTGCAGCTGGTTATCGCCGGTAGACTTCTTGGCACCAACTTGACACCAACATGGCCAACTAACTTAACGTACCCAGCCGTCCAGCTAAGAGCATACCTGAATTAAGACAGATCGACAGGAATTTATCTGACAAATTCGAAATTGAATTTGAAACATTTTAATTGATTTCTCTCTTCCCCCTTCTCTCTCTCTCTCTCTCTCTATATATATATATATACATATATATATATATATATATATATATATATGTATATACATGTATATATTTCTTTCAGTTCACTTGGTGAATCAAACACAGGACAATTTAATTATTTAATTAGAACATGGACTATTTTCCATATTTATATATAACGATTACATCACGTTAAAGTACACTCAAATTAAACACTTAAAAAGACTCACAAGTGAAAATCTAATTTGTATAATTTTCGGATCGAGGATTTTATGAAAGTTGAATGAATTTAGCGAAGAATTCGCTAATTTAGCGAAGAACTCATTGGCGAAAAAAATAATGATTGTGATGGCAATAAAAAATAGGCATAGAGATAATTAGTTAATAGTATAAATAAGGAATCGAAAGGTTTCGAGAGAGGGATCGAAGCTTTTTGAATGAATTCCGCGATATTGTTCAGTAATTTATACAGAAAGTGAAAAATCTCTTTATTTATACAAATTTCTTTTCTATGTCTTTAGCGAAAGGCTGAAGTAGTGGAACAGAAAGAGTGTGGTGTAAGGGAATTTCCTTGGTGAACGCACCTTCTGGTGCAATTGATGTGCGTGAAGAATTCGCCTCGAGGCATCTCTATCTGCTCGCATTCCCATCTGCCTCCGTATATTTTATTTATGCCTTCTATGTACTCGTAAAACAAGTCGTGATAAAACTTTAATCAAATAAGAAAGTTACTTTTCGAAATGATTAAAGTCAACACAGCTAATTATTTTATCTAATGATATTTTATCTAATCTGATGTATCTCGAATAATAAATGAAGTAACTGTCGATGTAATTTGCTTCAATGCTAATTTTTTGTAAGTCATTTTTGTTGAACTCTTATGTTCTTCATATAATACATCTTTCTTTTCAACTTCGTAATCAATTTATTCTCCACAGTTTACGTTTACTTTGAGAACATGTATTGTTTTTTGCAAGTGTTATTAAACTAAAGTTCTGCTTGTGTGATATAGTAACCATATAAAATACGTTACTTCGTTAACAGAAGTTGTTATTCATGATCCAATTTTATTTTTTAGATCGCCTTAAATATGAATGTAAAACCTAAGTTATATTTGTTAAATAAGTTATATTTGTTAAAATTAAATGGTCTAGAAATCCACGAAAGGAATTAAATTAAATTCTTTAATTTTAATTTGGATGAACTTCAATAAGTAAGTAAATAAATAAATAAATATATATATATATGTGTGTGTGTGTGTGTGTGATGTTTTTTTTAATTGATTGATGTCTTGTTTTACTCAGTTAATTTGTATATTTCCTTATTTTATACATGATACTAAGAGTAAATATAGAAAATTAAATTACCTTTTTTGAGGCTAAATGAGATATTTATTAGTATTGTTCATTTTTTTTTTATAGAAGTAGGAAAATATAAAATATATGGATTAAACATTTCTATGCATATTATGCTATATTACAAAACAAATTATGCAATTATTTTCCTTGCGACTTAATTAACGAGATCAATTGACTTTTCCCAGAAAAATGTATTTCATTCGATCTAATAAATAGATGCAGGCAAGTAAAAACTAAATTTCTACATTCCTTATATGCGCGCGTATACGTGTTCCAAGTTGATACTTATTTTTATTCACACCGCTCATCGATTTCATTTGATATTTACGGCTTGAATTCACTTTCACCGCCGACCACTAATCAGCTGTACTATTCCTTTTACATTTTATGGAATATGCTAACCATATGATCGCTATACGTATGTATATGATCTATCGGGAAATACAAAAATCGCATCTGCCCAAATATGCCAATGTATATCGAATTAGTCAGCAATATGTTTTTTATCTAAGTATTGTCTGTTATCTCGATTTGTCATGTTAAACGTTAAATCTGCTAATAACAATATTTTCAAGAATCTGTCCCGCAAAAGCTGCACAAAAGTACGATCGTTTCGTACAGAGTTCTCTTTCTCAGAATTCTTTAATGTCTTCGAAATAACAGTTCCTTTGCACTTTGTTCATATAAATAGGAATTCAGTTTGAGATGAAGATATTAGTTAGTTGCATAAATGAATCTTTTATAATTTCTTGGACCGCCATCGCGTCCTCTAGTCCTGGTTCACGATACCACCTCGTTAGAGAGTCGAGTTATCGGCGACCAGTCCTGGTCTTCGATATTAACCGCCTACTCGTTCGGCAGAGGCGGTCCTACCTCTATGATCCAGGAACGTGTAAATGAAGAGTCAAAAAATCATTTCTGATTTTGCGGGGGTTTCGAGATGATTTAAAAGTATTATCTTCAATTCTTGAATAAGAGGGAGAGAGTCCTAGCACGTCAGTATCCAGAATGGATCTCTATACTTTTTGCTTATCACTGTGCGTGTACAATACTAGGAATATCATCTGGTAGTGTTAATATCTGGGTATGTGAATATTGGGGTATCATCCCCCAAGAACATTTCTCGGATATCCGGATCTTTCGGCTATATTCAATTACTCTGCAAATTATCTGGATACCGTGATTAGTGTAAATGGCTTAAGAAAGCTATTGTGAAAATAACAGGTAGCGAATAGGTATTATCCGAGTATAATCCGTAAGTTCTGGTCCCAAATGCCTGGGCCTTTAAGTATTTTAGGTATTTTAGGGATTATCTGAATATTCGGGTCGTAGCTGTGAACTTAAATAAGTCAGGTAGATCAGTATTCGGATATTTGTGTGGATAGAAACTAGATGTTTATGTTTTTCTGGAATTGTCGTTCCATACTCCCTGCTCTTCTATAAATATTATTAAACAACTTGAGATTTAAATCTGAAGGTAAATCGTGTCTTAGTGTCGAGTGATAATGGTGGTATATTTATTTACACATATCTTCTAAGCAAATAAATAGATAAATATATAACATAACTTTCTCTCTCTCTCTCTCTCTCTCTCTCTCTCTCTCTCTCTCTCTCTTTCTCTATCTCTTTTAGAACAGGACAAGACTGATGTTGGTAGTTGAACTTCAGGAATGGGATCGGATTGGCCTCGATACGGACCTGGGAGGCGGTGAGCTTGCTAGAAAGACGACTCTGGACGACGACTGGCACGGTCCAGACAAACAGACTGGCACTGGCATCGCGGGAGTCGCCAGGAGTTACCCACGGTGACCCATGGTCACTCACGGCCCGCAGACGACGAGTGTTCGCGTTGCTTCCTTAGTCGAAGATATCATTGACAAACGCTCGTGTCTCACAAGATCAGCCAAGTAATTCTAAAGCTGTGTTACTGATAAAACAACATGACCTTTCTGCTTTATCACGGACCACTGATAATCAGTTCTGACGATTGTTAGTTCCTAACAACCCCGTGTTATTGCAATATTACAGTGTTGAAGTGCTGAAGTATCGCAGTGCTGAAGTAATATACTGAAGAAGTGTCAATGATACAATCCATTGAAACAGGTGAAGTTGCTGATCACTTTGCGACTTGCGAAGGATCAAGCTAGAAATCGCTGCAGTTTCGAGCCTGACCCATTTTTTTCCGATAGATCGGCGAAGTGATGTGCATGAATAGATATCATCAATATTGTGTTTTCGTCGTAGGTGAGAAGGAACGACTGAAGAAACGAAAATTACGAAGACGTTGGGCAAACTTAAGAGGCAATTACTGAGACCTAGAGACTATCGATCGTCCGCGACGTAAAATCAAGTTTCTCGCCAAAAGAACGTGAAGATATCGTAAGAAGATATCGCAACCAGGAAAAACGCGCGGCGCATCAGTAAGAAAGACGCGATGCACCGTGAATTTCTGATCTCCTTGATTCAAGTCATCGAGCTCCGATACGATCGTAGCGACGTAGTATCTTGGCAAATCTCGGCACACGCCGACAAAAACGATCATCGAAGTCATCGTTTTTATCGAAATTTTCATGGTATCAGCGAACGAAATAGCGGGACGAATCATAGGACGAGGTCACCCAGCCGCTAAAGATATCAGAGGACGAAGAGTAGTTGGGCACGCGATGCCCATTCCTGACAACGAAACCGAAACGTGCGCAATCGCTGTATCGGCCGTCGTTGATCCAGATCACCGTTCACCAGGATCCGCATCGATCAAGATCACCGTTATTCGAGAATCTCAATTGGAGATTCGCGACTGGATCACCAAGTCTCTAGATCTTGGATTACTTAGATTGTGAGATTTCTTCAATTCACGGTTGAGTTCGAACATCTTCAATTCCATGATCTCTAAATAATTCGTCCGAGCAATTCTGGAATCTTTGTATTGTCACGAGAGAGAGAGAGAGAGAGAGAGAGAGAGAGAGAGAGAGAGAGAGAGAGAGAGAAAGGTACGTTTCTTTTTGTAGAGAACGAAAGAAATTATAAAAGAAGAAACAAAGAGTTATAGAGATTTTTTTTCTTTATGTATGAAGGAGACAAAGAGCAGAAGAAAACATATCGTACGAAAATAATGGGGATATCAGATGTGAAGGACATTCAGTGAACAAGAAACATTTTAATGTGTGGAAAAGAAGAAAAGAAGAAATAGTGAGGACTGGGAGAAAGGTAGCGTGAACGTCGAAAGAGGAAGTAAGATAGGAAAGGATATTAAGGACAATAAGACGTTAGTCTCTTTTCAACGCCATCAGGATGTCAACCTGGTCCGTTTTCACTCTGTCGATTCTCGCAATAATTTTCGGCCACTTTGTCAGCACTAGCTGCGCCGAGAGGATGAGCGGGTTATACGTAGATAACGGCTTCGACCAGACGGTGGTCCACCGTGTGGTCAGCCAATATGAGAAACGCGAGGTCGAGCACGAGATTTTAAACTTATTGGGACTTCCGGATCGCCCGCGAAACACCATCGGCAGGTCTACTCAGGTCAAGAGGTCAGCGCCCAAGTTCCTCCTGGACATTTACAAGAATGCCCTCGGCGAGGACGAGGAGGAGAAGCCTGCGTCGCATCGGCGCAAGGCTGGGGAATTTGGCCTTACCGGGCAGGATCTAAAAGCGATCGATCAGAGCGATGTCATCATGACCTTCGCGCTACACAGTAAGTTGATTTCCAATCGAAGCGGTTCAAGTGTTTATCTCGGTTCTTGGTTATCTAAATATAGCAAACGATATTCTTCCAAGATATTCTTTCAACGATATTCTTACAACTTGAAGGATAAAGGAGACCTCGAGTAAAGGACAATTATTCATTCCTAAATTTTATGTCTTGCCGATATTTTGCTTTGATAAGGTCATGGCGGTCAAGAACTAACAGTGTAGAGGCTTAATATTTTTTAACAAAAATCAGAAAAACATTCAATCAGGTAACGACGGGCATTACGACGACGAAACACCAGGCAATTCGTAGCATGATACATAGTATAAACTTCTGGTATTATTAAGAATAAAGTGGCAAGCGGCCAACTTGCTGTCACGTGAATATAAACGGTTGGCATTTCGAAAAGAGGCGCTGTTAAAAGCAGCAAACATTGAAAATTATTCTCTGAAAGTTCCCTCTAAGGGTAAAATTCGACGAGTAAGGCTAGGATCGGGAAGGGAAAACCCGAGAGTTAAGCTACCTAAGGTACCTTAAGATACCTAAGATACAAAAAATTCTTTCTTCGACACCGACGAAACGTGTCCTTTTCCGCAATCTTGAAATTCCTATTTTCAGATAGTTCTGAGAAAGTTTTTATCGACGCTCTCTCCAAAGTTCAATGAAGATAAATTATAAAATACTTTTTCTTCTCGGGAGGGGGGAGGGCACGTTCCTGAGGTGTGAAGTCATGAAGAGGAACGAGGCGAGGCATATGCAGCGATTTCTCGAGAATCGCTCGATGCGCGGATGCGTAAGATTGATACGACTGTATCATCGCCACGTATTTCTCAGAGTCATTAGGAAGAGTCTGTTAATGAGAATCTAAACCTCTCTATCTACACACATCTCGCGCTTCCTTTTCCTCTTGCTTCTCTCGCTCGTAAACGAGTTGTAATAGAAGTGACAATCAATTGGCGATCAGTGGCGATGTCAGTGTCAATTAATTTGCAGTAACACAATCATGCACATGTATGTAAGTTTGAAACATCGAACGAAACATATTTCCGCGCGAGGGTGGCGAGGTGGTAAGAGGCAGAGAAGGAGGAAGAGGGAACATCAGATTCCTCGGAAACCCGTTATTGCTCCCTCCCCCCTCCTCTCTCTGTCCGTATGTCCGGTTTTCTATTTCGCTGTCGTCCTCGTCGGGAACGGTGAGAAACGTTCTAGGCTGTTCGACGCGAAATGCGGCATGCATATAAATCGACAGCCATAACCATAAGTTGTTCGTTATATGCGCGAGAGAATGGAAGCGCGTAAGAAATAGAGACAAAATGATGAAGCTAGAGAGAAACAGAGAGCAAGAGCGAGAGAGAGAGAGAGAGAGAGAGAGAGAGAGAGAGAGAGAGAGAGAGAGAGGCAGACGGGAGAACACAGGGATATAGGGAAAAAGCGAAAGGGAAGAGAAAGGAGGAAAAGGACAGAAACGATTGATTCAGATTGCATCAATGGCCAGGTTACACACTCATGCACACACGCCATGGACCATATATCCTGTATACAAAGTCTCTTCATCCTCTACCATCGTGTTCTACGACGGGATACCCCTTTCAGAAAGACGAGTCAATAAGTATCTCTCTTTCCTCGCGCGCGAAGCCACGGGCAGGTTAAAATGTCTCAACTTGGGGGCCCGGGCTCGACCCGCGGGTTCTCTCTTGCTCCTTTTTTCCGTTTCTCCTCGTACATTCTTCCTTCTTCGCGCGGACAGCAAGACGGCCGACTGCCCGAAGGGAGACGCATGGTTACGAATTATGAAGATTAGAATGCTCGAGATCGCAGAGATGGATAGATCCGCAGAAAAATTAAATATAAGTGACCCCGGAGAAAGAGAGGGTGCAAGAGGGGGAGGGAAGGAGGAATGATTTATCTTCCTAGTGTCTCCTCGGCATAATGTCGATGTCCGAATCCTTAAACTTTTCGTTCCCATGCTCTGCTTGTCTGTCCGTGATATGAAAAGAAACATATACATGTATGAAAAAAATGATATATATATAATTTTTTTTATACCATGCGTGTGTGTGTGTGTGTGTGTATGGATTCAGAACACGCGTCCGTGTAATAATCTTAATAAATTTGAAATTTAAAGGTCGACGCAAGCTGCTTTGTCGATTGTTTAAAACATTTTTATCAACACGTAGGGACCATAATATTTTACAAAAAGGGAAGGCAGAAAAAGATCGATCTCGGAAGCTTTTCTGTGCGTCTTCAATGATTACCGAGATAGCACAGAAGGGATGTAGCTTGGCCAGGGTAGCTTCATCCCTTATTCTTGCGTCGCAGTAGGTAAAAGAAAAATAGGTATCTCTTAATTTTGCCTGGTCATTCAAAATGGTTCAAAGTGGTCACTCGCGACCATGTGTCTTGTATAGAATACATACTGACATTTCGATGCAAATCGCGCGTCAATGTCCCACTTAGCACTCTACTTATTATCCGAAGCATTAATAAAATGGGTGTAACGCACTCTTATATCTTACTCTCTTCTCACACATACGTACGTAGATGTAGACAAACACAGGCGTGCATGTGTACATACACGCATCCACGTAAAGAAACGTGGAAGGGGAGGCTATGGGAAGGCATAGCGCGACGGCAGTGTAAAAAACAAAAACGCAGCTCGCCATGGAACGTTCCAGGATGGTCCCAAAAGCTATTTGGGACCACCCCGAGAGTCGAGGAGGTCCGGCAATCTGGTGCGGTTGGAATGCGACCGTCGGAACGAAAAACAAAACAAATTTTTATGTCCTCCCCTTCCCACGTCGCTCTCACAGTCGCGTCCCTCTTCGGATCTCGCCGCCCACTTTGGCGGAGGCATTAGGCATTACTTAGAGCCTCTTGAGTCTACCGTGAAGAAAGTATACCTCTCCCCTACCCCCTTTTCCTTCGCTCATAGGGCTGCGGCTGCTTTGATGGTAAAAAAGAAGTCGATTTCACGCTGCGAATTGTCCACGACTCATTTCCAAGAGGCCTCCTTGGGAGAACTCGAAGGGGTCCGAAGACCCCCGTTATCGATCGGATCCTTCCTCGTAGAGCTTTCGGTTTTCGGTTTTCGGTGACGACGAATAGTGGAAATGTTATCGCCTTGTTGAGAAAAGAAACTAATCGGCTTTTGCATCATAAATCCGGGTGGTTTTGTGAAACGGTCCAACCGAACTTTTAGTCGCTCTTGGCGACCATTGATGGCATACTTTAACGCTGAGTTGTTGACAGTCGGCGTTAAGTCACACCAGATAAAAAATTCCCTTTCAAGAATACTCGTTAAGTCTCGTTAAGGGAAGCAAATACGATCGAAAAGAAAGGGATAGGTCTCAATGAATCAGAGTTGATAATCATTATTCATTCGACCGCTCTTGGCGGTCGGTTGATTGGTATCTATCAGTAAAATACCAAGGCACAAAGATCATTTTTGGGAAAAAGATATGTGTATAAATATAGACACTTTATTCAAACATTGTGCAACATCACAAGCAATTGATCTTTAGATAGCCATTTCTGTTCTGATGCTCTCATCGCGGAAATATTATTATGTACGTTTTAGTATAATATATACTTCAATGAAGGTCAACATTCCAAAAGACGTATATTGCGATGCGCACGTAAGATATCGGTTTTGTTGTATGATCACTGTTGTTAGCGATCGTTTTTGATGGTTCTCGATCTGACCGCAGACTTGTAATTTAAAATAGATCGTCACGTCCCCGGGGTAAGGCATGAAGGTGGGAAGAGACTTTGGTTCAACGTGTCCGAGGTCCCACCTGGAGAGCACATAATTGCCGCGGAACTTCGGTTATACCGCGGCGCGGACATGAAGAGTCATGATCAACATGAATCCTACACGATCACGGCGTATCGGGTGTTGAAAACGGAGGATGGGTAAGATGAATTATACATATACATTTATACATTTTTACAGCGTAAACGCGCGAAACAAGTCAAGATGTATCGCCCCAGGTGACTTAATATGATATCACGATGAAACTACTTTGAAGAGCTATTAGGAGAGAAAAAGTTAAAGAATATTTTGAAGGATATTGTTACCGCCAAGATGAGTTAAACTATCGGGAGGCAGATGGGTGGGTAGACGGCGTTTTCCAAAATTCTCAAAGTTCAGTACAAACATATATATTTGATGAGATCGCCTATACGTTCGTAATAAATAATTACAAATTTAACCGCGTGGACAATACAGAAACAAAATAATATTGCGTGCAAATAATTTATATTCAAAGGAATAGCGATGCATACGAAGAAAACATATCTGCAAAAAAAAAGAATATTTTAGAAATCTCACGTACATTACGATAAAAGGGAATTTGGGACTGAAATAAATCCCAGGAAAGAAAACTGTTCTCTCGCGTTGCTCGCTCGCTTTTGCCGCAAGGACGCTCAGGTTAAACCAATTTCGTGTTTCTTTGGGCATCCTCCGCGGTTTTTGACATCGTCATCGTGTCCCTAATTAGGAGGTCCTTAATCCTTCGCCGAAAAAGTCTCAGGTATTTGTTCTACCTGTAGAGCGTATACTCCAAGTAGCCATCGAGCCATCCTTTTTCATCCTCGACTTCTCCATTCTGTTCTTTTTCTCACGAAAGAATGGATCGTCTTGATTTCTACTTAGCTCTACATATACATAGTAATAAATTTATGCGTATCGGAAAGATTATTTTTTTAAAAAGATTTTCAATTTTTACTTCACGATACATTAAACATCCTCGATACTCGGTGCAATTACGGGGATCAAATTTTTCGGTTAAAAAATAAGGATTATGCACGCATAAAGCAGATAATTGGCGATCAATTAAGAGCACAGTGCGATTTGAGTGTGACCAGTAGCCAGAGGGCCACATACGACCATCATCCCGCCCGAATGGAAACTGAATCATAAAAAGAAAAGCGTGGTGAGTTAATCCGAGAGGGCAAACCTCCTCTACGCTGCCGGCAAACGGCGACAGTCTGTCTAGAGACGCTCTATCTAATAGAAACGCCGCGCCGTCACACAAGTCATGAGTCACGAAACGCTCCATCGCCGTTAATACCTGCCGTTTAAACGCCTAATGCTTTCGCTCGCATTCCTTATATTAATTTGAAGAAAGAAAGAAGACCACTCCTCTCGCGAATTCTCATTCTCCTGTATTTTTGAGTCGCATCTCTCGAAACTATAATCCACGAAGGTCCCTCTAGTGGATTCGTGAATTCCTCCCGGATGCGGTGATATTTGTTACTTTTAACGCAATATGTAATATATAGAGAATTTCTTATGTCGTATCTTGTTAACCTATGGATAAATATTCAATTTGATCCAAGGTCATCACAATAGCGTGCGCGTCTATCTAACAAATTTATCAAAGGAGAATATCACTCTCCTTTTAATGTCGCTTTGAAGTTTCCTTTCGGCGATTCGATAGAAAATGTTGGAGCTCTCATTAAAGAAAAAAGCGATTTAACCGATCTCAACTGTTTCTCGAACGAGCTCGATGAAATCGGTCATTATACTCACACGCCAAGTTTATATCGTGTGCACAGACACCCAGTTACTTCAGCTGTTCGTTCAACATCTCTCTTTCGCGACTTCGATCGCTTAACTCTCTTGGGCCTGTTAATTTATGTATCAAGCCTGTGTGACCGTCCCCGCATATTTCTCTCCCCCGAAACTTGGGCACTACGACCTGGGACTGACCGATATACAGACCTCGACAGGAAACGCTATTCCGTAAATTGAGGTAAATTAGCCGTGAAGACGGGCTAACAGGCTCTCTTCGTGTTCCTCGTCTCTTCTGCCTACGCAGTTACGATCGACCTATCTCTCTCTTCTTCTGATCCTCCTCGCCAGTTCTTTCAGCTTCTTCCGTCAAAGTCAAACTGTGCGTGACGCATCCTCCACCTCCTCCTTTTCCTCCTCCTGTCTCTTCTTCGTCGCGAGACAAGCTGGCGACTCGTTGCTTTCGTAATAAGAGCTCTTCACGGTACATCATTATAAGTATGAATACGGAATCTCAATGATAAACGTTGATAAATGTTCTCGTGTATGTATGTTTGTGTATGTGTGCGTGTGCGTACGTGTGTGTGTGTGTGTGTGTGTGTGAAAATTGAGAAAAATTCGTCTCGAGAAAAAATCGAGAAAAAACGTCCCAAATTAAAATGATGAGGTCGATCATTTTTTAATAAAGTAGGATTGAGAAATAAAAGTGTGCGCTATATATTATTATTATTATTAAATTAATATTAAATTAGTATTAAATTAATATAAATAAATTTGTAGTTATATTTTAAATATATTTTCTTTCCGTACATAGTTTCTTTCTAGCCAAATATTACAAGTGTTTTATACACAGTCGATATAATTCAAACATAATTCAAACAATAATTTCTTCAAAAGTTTTCATGCGACTAAATAACGGATGGTTCTTACGATATTAAATACTAATTGACCCAAAGTATTCAACAGCTCAAACTTTCTTCGCGTATCGCCTTATCTGAGAAGGAATATTGTTTAAATGTTTTTATCGCACTCTTGACTCATTAAATGAATAAATCGATTTTATTCTTCGTTCTATTGAGTGAGGAAGTCATCGGAGCTCGACCTAAACGACACGCGAATCTCACAGCCCATTCAATTACGATAATCGGTCCGTGGAAAAACGATAAAAGCTAGTCAGCTAAATGCTGCGAAGATCGTTTGCTCAATGAACAATGATCGGCGTGTTTTCTTGCTGAAGTCCTATTGACGCGAGACACGCGCGGCTTCGTGATTAATTAGAAATTACAATCCGAGGAATCACGACGCAGCGTTTATGCCGAGACACATTGCACGTGGCACGAACAGTGTTGTTGAAGATACAATATTATCTTTCCGCGTGTGGATTATGCGCCTATTGATTGATATTAAATGATAGTATTCTTCTCATTGCATAGTATGTCAGTAGTGTGTCAGTAGTTACTCGAATACTCAAATATCCGAGTACTATGTGGACGTCGAACTTTTTGGTATTTTGATTCAGAATTATAGCAAGATAAATATGATCGTTCTGTTTTATCCCTAGAAGACGAAGATTGAAATACGTCGATTCCATAAACTCCACGACAAGCAAGCAGGGTTGGTTATCATTAAACGTCAGCGAAGCTCTCGAACACTGGGTGAATAATCCCGATGGCAATCGAGGGTTGTATCTTTCCGTACATCTCACCAAAGGCTCACGTAAGCGACTGTTTTGCTATCCATTATCTTTTCGTTAAAAATTTCTAACCTTAAAGTCTACCAAATTAGCTGTAAGCTGATTATTATTATATAAGCTAATTATAGCTTTAAGCTATTATTTAGTAGCCTCAAAGGCTACCCTGAATGAAACGAGCTTTCAGCTCGTACGAATTATATTATTTTGTTTTGATCTTATGAAATGTTAAATTAACCGCTGCAAGCTTTACAACTTCTCTACATTTTGTCTAATACTCAATAATAATAAAACATTTAATTGCATTCGCTTGACGTTTTTGATTTCTGAAATAAAAAAGTATAATATATACTATGTGGTGAAATTTTACTCATGATTCAGCATTAACGTGATTTTCTTTGATGATAGTTTCTAAGCGTTAGAAAAAATTAGGAAGCACTTCTCCGAGATTCATAATCAAACTGATGAATTTTCTTCATCGGCAGAAACGGATGTTTCAGCTAATGAAATTGAATGATGTTGATAAAAAAAAAAGATTTTTTTACATGAAAACATTAAAAAAAAATTTACTTGTGCTATGAATTGAACAAAAAATCTTGTAGATTAGATGTGCTTTTATTTCAAATTTCTCAGTTGAACTTCTCGGAAATCTCAAGTTAAATATAGGAGCGGCTTCCGGCTTGATATAAACACATACGATGTTTGTCGAGATTAGATTACGAGCAGAGCGTGTAGGAGGAGTTCCGATTTTAGCCTCCAACCGGAAGTACACCTCTTTTCACACACGAGAAACATGATAAATACAGCGACATGAATAGTCTTTTCAATATCGAAGGTTAAGGACCAATTTTTATATTATACGTGATACTTAATATAGCTCTTTCGTGTGGTTTACTTTGACTTTCAAGATATCGGATTATCTTGATGCTTGCATAAAAATTACGATAGAACATACGCTAACGTCACAAATAACATCGAATATTAATGTGAGTACAAATATACCACCACTCAAGGCGTACAAATGCCTGCTCAGCCGAGTGTATGCATTTTAGTTGTGTGTTTACACGTGATGTACGTGTGCGCATATGTGTGTGTGTGTGTGTGTGTGGTTTGTTATTCGCCGCGCCTAGATTATTTCGTTACTTGCCTCTCTCTTTCTCTCTCTGTCGCTCATTTCGTGTTAGCTTCTTTCCTTTTTCCTCTCGTCTCGCTCTTCAGCATGCGCAACCGGTTTACCTTTGATCGTTCAATATAAAACGCAAGATCAGAGAGTCACATGCCTCTCACGAATCTTTACGCGTGATCCCCCCTCTCTCCCTTTATCTCTCTCTCTCTTTTACGTAGTAATGCAAGAATACATCACCTAACGTCAGCTAATTTCGTTGTGAGTACATTCATTTTACATTATATATGCACGTAGCTACGCGTTAACAAATTTCTTAATTCTACATACCTCGGTCTCTCGGAATGTGCGAGTAGAGAGGAATTGTTTGGAGACAATTGTGATAGAATCAATTTTCACGAAATCAATTGCGAATTACAAATCAGCCGGAATACAAATTTACGTTACATACTTCTCACTAGTGTCCAAGTAAATCGATACTGAATGAGCGGGGAAAATAATTCGACCGAGAGGACTCTCGATGTGCGTGATAGTGTCTTCTTGATTGCTCCGAGAATTCCGTCGTGCGCGTCGTGCGTCGATGCATTCCTTAAGAGCGCGCGAAGTGCAACAACTACAAGCGGCAGGTGTCCGCTGCAATCACGGCAAATGCGCATTCCTGCCGGCCGATTTACTAGCTTTCTCGGATTCGGAGTGCACGGTGTACCAATAATGGTGAATACGTGCAAGTGCTCGATCGATTTGCACTTGTCGATTGTCCGCCGTAACGGAGAGGCCTTCGGCATTGAAGTTGAAATCACGCACCATTCGCAATTTCGCCGATTCGCAATAATTCGATCCTCAAGGTTTTTCGAGGAATTCAACATTTCTTTGACACGTCATACATGCATGAGGAAAAAAATAATAAAAATAGCGGAATGAATTTCGCGCGGTGAATTTATTCTACATCGCGAAATCGCTTTTTAAAAAGATGCCCACGTGCGCGTATGCGAGAGGATTATTTGAGTATTTTGTAGACTCACCCCCCCCAATTGATTCGAGTAAAACTTCAAAAAAATAGCAACGTGTGTGCGTTGGAAGTGAATGTCTAAGATAGACCAGCTTACTTTACACGTCGAGACTCTTGATTCTTAAGCGTTCAATATTCATGAAGGTTGACTATTAATAATCCCGGGACGCAGGCCATTCTAATAAACATGCAGAGGCGCAAATCCACGATAAATTCTACTTACGAGGATTATTCGAATGTGCGCACATTTCCGTATCGTGAAGCAACAGCCGTGTAGCCGATAACATTCTTTTTCCTATTCGATAAAAGTATGAATAATCATCCGAGAAATGTGATTAGTTTCTTTCGTTCATTCACTTTCTCCATTAATGCATCATATTTCTCTTGTGCAGTGCACGAGATAAGGGCGGAAGACATCGGAATCGTCGGATTCCGGGGCGACCCCGACAAACAGCCCTTTTTAGTGGGCTATTTCAAGAGCTCCGGCAAAAGAGAATCCAAGGTTCGGCAGAAACGTGACGCCAAGAGGAAGAAGAAGAGCGAGTCCTCCAATTGGGATTATCAGAACAATCCTTACACTGGTGAGCGATTGCACACGGATTACGTTGCGCGGCACTTAACGATTGTTAACCCCTTAACCGTTGGGCAATAAAAATGCTTGTATGTCCAAAGTGATCTTGACGATGAACTTAATTGAATCATAAACAAAATACTTTCCGGAGGTTTGTCGGGTTGCTAAATTTGCTGAATTTTAGATCAAAATTTCACAATTCAAAATGACGGACCAAGTAAACTTCTTCGATTCTCATAAAAATTGTTAGCGAAGATTTCTCGAAGCCGCCATTCTGAATACATGAATTTTTACTTTGAATTTGAAATCAGCGATTTCGAAAACCTTGAAATTTTTATTTCTATGCAAATCGAACGATCCTTTGAATTTTCGATCTGCCGTATCTTAGGTCCTCCATTTTGAATTTCGTAATCTCGATCTCGGATTTGAATTCAGCGACTCTACAAACGTATATTCTAATTGATCCGTTTTATGCGTAATCACGTTCTTTTTTTTTTTTGGAATGCGCGGATATTTTTCATCAACCGTTTGGGTTACTTTTTTCTCTGCGGATATTTCCGTCATTAACAGCTAAGGGGTTAACTGGGATGTACTTCGTAAGACTTGACTAATCTGCCACGGCAATTAGCCAGACTCATAAGTTGAGAAGATATCTGAATCCACAAAACGATATGTTCGCAGAATCCGGTACGCAGCATCACTCACGGACTTGCAAGATCCAGACACTATACGTCAGCTTCCGCGATCTGCAGTGGCAGGTGAGGCTATTGGAATCCGCATACCTTCGCTCGACTCGCCTGTTTCTTCTTCTTTTCTCATAATTTGCTATCAATATTCGTCTCACAGGACTGGATCATCGCACCGGACGGGTACGACGCGTACTACTGCAGCGGAGAATGTAATTTCCCGTTGAACGCTCACATGAATGCAACCAATCACGCCATAGTTCAGACATTGGTGCACCTGGTGAGCCCGGGAAAAGTGCCCAAGCCTTGCTGTGCGCCTACCAAACTGTCGGCCATCTCCGTGCTATATTTCCTAGACGAGAGCAACGTGATTCTCAAAAAATACAAAAACATGGTTGTCAAGAGTTGCGGCTGTCATTAAACTATCTTCTTTGACTAACCGGTAACACTCGTCAATCGCTTAGTTAGTCTATAATCAATGCAACAAATACTTTTCCGCTGATTGTCGAGCTCTGTCGTATGGACCGAATGGTGATCTCTCGGGGCTTAAGAGTGTTGGTTTCCAGAAAATCCAACAGCAATAATATAACCATATCGAATGAGCTGTTAAAAGAGACGTAGTTAGCAATTATATATTATAATCTTATTTTAATAATATAAAGGTTGATGCATATTAGAGTTAATATGTAGGTTTATCGAATTAGACAAATTTTCAACAATTACGACGGATGAAAAAGTTATTCAAACAGCAAGATTTATTGCTTGCGTATAACTGACAAAAAGACGTAGATATTTTTTTCTTATTTATTCGGGACATATATTAAGAGGACGTGTATAAAATAATATAACATCATAGTCCATATTTAGAAATCTACCATAAGATATTGATGATTTGTGCGTTTTTACGGCATTCTTCATATTGACCAAAATACATTGTAATGACATATGAATGTTATATGAATATTAAAATTTTCTATTTAAATCGACGTTACCGTCGCAATCGATTTAATCGTAGTCCTAACTAACAAAGGTCCCATCGAGAGGAAAATATTAGTACCGATATTTCAATAATATTTCAAATATCGGAATCCTATAAATATCATGCATAAATACGTCAAAGTAATTATAATTATATAAACCTAAGAGTCCAAACGCTAATATAACATTATGATTCTTGATTAAAAAATAAAAGAACGATAGACCTGACAAGAAAAGAAACGATTTAGAGAATTGACTTAATTTGTAGTAACAAAATCAATAATTTTTATTCATGTTAATGATTACCAAATCTATATTTATAGCATAAGATATGGGTGCGCGCAGGTATATTTAAATTCTAACGTAAAATATTAACAATTATAAACTGGTTAGTACTCAGATGGACAGACATGTTGGCAATAGCATGTAGATACCATTGGAACGGCATAACATGTTTGTAATATACTTGTTGTAAGAGATACGTATTTATTTTCCCATACTTTGCAGCAAAATATCAGCTTGTTATATTGCTGATTGCATTCTCTTGCCGACACAATACGTGGTATGTTGCCGCATCAATTTCATGGCATCAGATTGCTCCTTTTATATGCTGTTACAATGTTTCTTGTGTGAGGACGTATCTCTATGTATTTATGCTGCTATTTTTAATTCTCGAATTTAATTTCTATGCAGACAATATGCCGAAATTTATTTGTTTGGATATAGTTTACATATATATATATATATATATATAAATATAATATTTTATTAGTGTATGTATAAAAACCAACCAATATTGTATGTTAATTTGTATTTTACATTGTTTATTGTAAATATGTAATTTTTGTATCGTCCTTTGTACATATACCTTCTTTACCACAAATTTTATATATCACAGTATAAGTAAAATAGAAATATTTACTGTCAAATGGAATCTCTCTATTAATTTAATAGTGTTTATATATAATTTTTCGAGTAATTACGTCATTGTAAAAAAAGAAGAGGTTATACATAGATAAAACTCACAAACATGGTTCATGGTTTTTTACAAAAAATTAAATTTAATGGATTTTATAACATGATATATTTTTATGAGAAACTGTGTAATTATAAATGATACGAAAAATAATTATTAAAAATAAGAGTAATGTGTGCAAATCTTATATTTTATTAAAATTAGTCTTACAACTTCTTACTTTTGTTTATTTCTATTTTTTCGGCACGATGATAACAAAAATCTCTCTCTAATTATATATCCCTCTTCTATTATTATAACATTTATAAAAATGTAAAAACACTAAAAAGGAACGGCACTTTTTATCAATTAAATATATTTCTAATATAAGTAGTATTAACACTATTATTATTATCTCTGGATATGATGAATGATAATTTTATAAAAGTTGCCTTTGTGCAAAAGATTGCCAAAGAAACATATATTGATATTAGCACCATGCGCCTTCATAATTTTCTTAGGAACATTTAATTTGTCTGTTATTTAAAATAATTAATACTAATTAACAACATATTTTGTCACATAACTAATTAGTCATTAATTTTTCACACTAATTTTTTTTAATGTAGAGTTTAAAGAATGTACATTATAAATAATAAAACATTGTAAAATTGAATTTTTGGTATATAGTAAAGTTTACGTTTTCTCATGAATAATAAATATTAAACCATTATTTTTTGGAATATTCTGCATATTTATCTCAAGATAATTAAGCCACATACATATGTATATGTGTGTGTGTGTGTGTGTGTGTGTGTGTGTGTGTGTGCTCTTCTTACTAAAATCCATATTTTAATATTGCATGTATAGTCCATTTAATTCTTAAATTAAAATTAACATTTCAATCATAAAAAAATGCTTTTATTGCATATAAAAGATACATATAAAATATAAATATATTTTTATCACTAGGCAATGAAAAATATACAAAATTTTGCATACACGCGTATAAAATTAATAAAGACAATTATATTTGACCTTATTAAATATAATTTTTGTATTTTTCATTGATTTCATTGATTGAACAACAATATTTATTTAAAAAAGAGACATATCAAGATAAAATAATTAGTAAATGATAATCTTGATTTGTTGTCAATATAACTGAGCACGAATTAATTATATTTCTAAATGTGAATAGTAATTTACATTTTGTGTTGTTATATTTTTATATTTTTGGTCATTTAATATTGAAAAAATGAACATTGAGCACAACGTAAAAAAGAGGAACATTAATCTAATATTTTAAAATATTACTCGTACGAAGATCTATCGAACTCTTTTATTTAATACTTATCAAATATTATCAAATACTACGAGATAACATATGATTTTTCTAAATATTGTAAAAATGTTTTAAAATATGAGAACAATAAAGTTATTCGTATATATAATGTTAATAAAAATTATGTACTAGATCATATTGCATTTTACTGAATATCGATGTTTTGTTAACGTTGTTTTTTACTCATTGGGTATTTATGTTATCGTGTCATTTTATTTTATTTTCTTATCTATCTATCGAAATATTGTACATTACACGTTGAGCACAATGGCGACATCAGTGCCTTAACAATCATAAAACTTAATGTTCGGAAAAAAATGATCATACACATAATTATGTAAAATTGCATATAAATTATATATATATGTGTATAAATATACATGACATATATTTTATATATCATATATTAAATACATGTCATACACATATATATATATATATTATTTATATTTATATATAAAAATATATATAATTACTTTTTCCCGGGAGATCACCAATTATCTTGTAAGCATAACTTCTCATTAATTCTACTCGTACTAGTCACAACCATTGGCTTATCAACGTTATGAGAATAAATGTTATATATTTGTCAGATTGAGAAAATATATTTACATTCACAAGCAAACTTATAACTCTATTTTTTACCGCCTCTTCTTTTGCGCAAGCATCACAAGTTGTACATGACTATATCCCTCTCTCAAATCAATCAACCTAAAAGTATAAAAATTTTACATATTTCGTCTTTTTTGAGACAATACTAAAAATAAAAATGTTATTTAATTCACGTATTTACGGTTTACCTATCTGTTTCCCTTTGGTGTATACTTAGTCTGTCGCCTTTTTGTAGATAGGTGACTACACTCGTATGGCACGTTATCTCACTAGTTGCATGAGAAGTAGCAGTGATGCATGTAACGAGCTGCTTTGCCTCAAACATGCCTTCAGAATTTAACAATACGTCATACGAACATTTTTTTGATTCTCCGTAATAAAAAATCTGTAATGGATATTTTTGTCCATCATAACAGGGAAAATTTTGCAAACTTTGATCTGATAAGTACTGGGTAGACGAAGATCTCGACCTGTACAGAGATTATGTATAAACCACTTATGGTAACTTCGATCGACATATTGTCCTCCACCAAATGAAACTTAGTAAAATCAAAATGGCTACTGGTCCTATTGTTTTTCTTCCATGGCCCAATTTGTACTAGGAATCAGTTTTTCGTATATCAATATTTTATAAATTTTATACTTATTTTTATTGATATTATAATAAAAGTGAACTATAAAATTTTAGTAAGTCCGGAAGGTGTTGAAACGATCAGTCTGTGTTACTATTTACTTATTATTTAGATACCTGTATCGTAAATACGTTGTTCTGGTATTGCACCAACAAACGTAGCTACCAACGGATCTATAAAGTGGAAAAAGCTTCTATTTCTTTGCTTTAACACTCTTTTTTATGTAAATTTGGTTCAATTAAATCAATATTAAACATTGAATAAAACTAGCTAATTAATACTAAGCAATACATGTATAAAAATGGTATTTTAATTAACGAAAAATAGTTAAATATCCCGGATAGAAATTCAAAATAACAATAGCATTGCAAACGTTTAATGCATAATTTATGATGCAATTGTAACAACACAACATGTTTGAAATGCGTTTTTTAAAATATATTCATTTATTGCGTTATAAATTTCATCATATAATATTGAGTTATTTATGCTATAATAATTGCGATTGAATTGCATTTTCTTTCGGAAAAAATAAGCACAATTGTCATTCATATCAAAATATGTAGTAATATTGCTGCAATTTTTATAGCACTAGATGTCTTGTTTATACCGGCAAAATTCCTTCTTAGTAAAGCCAATATTTTAATATTATATGCAGACGCATCTTAACGATATTATGACGAAATATGTATACTTGAGATGTTTTAAATACGGCATTATATTTGTCCTTTATATGGACCAATTAAACTCAAATAAAAATCAAATTAGGAGTTGATCAAAATCTTATTTGTTCCAAATATTAAAGCTAATTTATACTCAGTCTTGGTTAGATACATATTAAATATTAATATGATCTACATGTGCATCTGTACCAAGTTAATCTAATAGCAGGATCATATTTAAATTGAATTTAATTTGAATACATATTAAAAACATACTTAAATTAAATTACTTTTTACTTTAATATTTTATTTTTGTTTGAATTTAACTTGGTCCATATAAAGGACAAATATGAACTACATTTAAAATATATTTAACTGGTTTTCGCGGAATGTTTCTTTTTACTAGAGGCGCAACTAAGTTTCCGGGTCTCACACATGGATGACGCTAACAACACATGTAGTCGATATACATGTCTGAAGTTGTGTTTTTTTTTATAGCTTGGACATTTGTTAACAGTAACCAGTCGTAATACCAACACATATCGCAACGCAAAAATATTTTTTCTAACAACGAAGATGTCGAGTTTTGTGCCAAATAAACAGTATTTGCGGGAAGCTCTGCTTTTCTGCTTTAACTTGAAAAAAAGTACAGCTGAAGCACGTCGTTTGCTTGAGGAGGCCTACGGCGAACATGCACCATCGAAAACTACCTGTGAAGATTGGTTTAAACGCTTCAGAAGTGGCGATTTCGACACTGAGGACAAGGAGCGCTTCGGAAGACCAAAAACAAGCCGGAGGACGCCGATCTGCAAGCGTTATTGGATGAAGATGATACGCAAACACAAGATCAACTTGCGGAGGCATTAAACACGACTCGCCAAGGTATTTCCAAACGTTTACATGCCATGGGAAAAATTCAAAAGGAAGGAAAATGGGTGCCGCGTGAGTTGACTGAGAGACAGATGGAAAATCGAAGAGTCACTTCCGAAATTTTGCTTTTGCGGCATGAAAGAAAGAGTTTCCTGCATCGAATTGTTATTGGCGATGAGAAGTGGATATATTTCGAGAATCCCAAACGCAAAAAATCGTGGCTTTCACCTGGCGAAGCATTGACATCGACGGCACGGCCAAATCGCTTCGGAAAGAAGACAATGCTCTGCGTTTGGTGGGACCAGAAAGGAATCGTGTATGAGCTGCTGAAACCGGGCGAAACTCAGTCAATGGGCATCGCTACCGACAACAACTGATCAATTTGAACCATGCATTGCTCGAGAAACGGTCAGAATGGGACACGAGACACGAACGAGTGATATTGCAGCACGACAACGCGCCGTGCCATCGCACTTCCATCGTCCAGGACACCATCAAAACGCTGAAATGGGATCTGCTACCGCACCCGTCGTATTCGCCAGACCCGGGTACCTATTATGGAACTCGTCGGAATCGATTCCGATCGAATTTATTCCGTTATTTCCTAGATTTCTATTGTCTTTTCTAAGGGAAACGGAATTATTCCGATCGGAATCGATTCCGACGAGTTCCATGATAGGTACCCTGACCCCTTCCGATTATCACTTGTTCCGGTCGATGGCGCATGGCTTGGCTGGGCAACACTTGGCCAATTTCGAAGAAGTGCAAAATTGGTTGGATGAATGGTTCCGGTCCAAAGACGCGTCGTTTTATCGTCGCGGTATTCATGTATTGCCAGAGAGATGGCAAAAATGTGTAGCTAGCGAGGGACGATACTTTGAATAAACCATTTTTTGTATTTCTCTTGAAATTTTCCATTTTTCATTGATCAGAAAAACCCGGAAACTTAACTTGCGCACCTAATAAATTATGAGGAATTAGTTGAAGAATATCAATATATTTGTTGTCTTATATTTAATAGAATAATACGGGATATCCGAGGTCTTTTGGAAAAATTGTGAAGATTAATCAGATCAAACTAAGAAAAAAAGTCGAACACCATTTTGCAAATAAGTACGCAAATTTTCAAGTTATCAATTAAGAGAGTTTCTAGATGTGATCAATTTCAATCATTAATAACTTAATAAACATTGCGATTTTTGCAAAATGGTACATGACTTTTTCTCAGTTTGATTTGATTAATCTTCACAATTTTTCGTTTCCAAAAGATTCCGGACACTCTGTATAAAAACCCTGTATAAAAGAAGTATAAGATGAAATTGTTAAAATAATTAATAAGTATAAGATGAAATGATTAAAAAAATGACATACCCAATCGTCTGAAACTGCGGTTGGGTCTTTTCATATTATTCCCTTTTTTATTCTTACCATTATCTCTTCGTAATCTTTTAGTCCGCGATTCCTTCTGAGAATTTAACATATCAGTATTGGTCTTGCCATCTTTTGTCATTGTGAGACTTGGTATTTCGGAGGTTTGTAAAATTTGTATCAGATCGCGTAAAAAATATTGCATCTTGGTAAGATTGAAGATTGAAATATTTTTATTCAATGATGTCATAATATTATCTAAACTAGCATTGGAATTCAATTCAGTCATACTTTCTTCGTTCTGATGATGTACCGATTGGTTTAAGACAGATGAAATTATTTGATTAACATATGTACCAACCTCGCTGTTGTCATATATATGCTCATCATTTATATAAAACTTAAGTAGATTAGAGAGTTCGTGAGTAGATTTAATTAAATTAATGAAATCATTAGAATATGTTGTTTTATCAAAGCATATGTGATTTAGATTTCGATTGAGCATATCATATTGACGCGATAATTGAACAATGTTGTAGTTCAATTCATTCATCTGAAATATAAAAATATAAAAAATGTTAAATTTATTTACCATCTATCTGAATATTTGGCAAACTATCCAAATTTATAATTTCTAAGAAATAAGAATTATTATCTCTCTTTACGAAATAGTAACGTTTAATTAGTTTAAACAATGAACGTAATTTTGACTGCAGTAAGATTATTAAAGTGCACATAATAGCCAATTTATGTTATTTGTACGTTTCATGTTAAATAAACTATTGATAAATTACGTGTAGCATTTATGATATATGGATATGTGTACATTTGACATGTTAAAAAAAACTAATGATTAATTCTCAAAGTTCATAGTATAGCTATTATTATAACGTGATCCACATTTATTAGGATTTCTATGTTTCTGTCATGAACATATATTGAAACGTGTATGCACTATTGTTGCATTTATAAGATGAAGATGAAGATTAATCGGATCAAACTGAGAAGAAAAGTCAAGTACAATTTTGCAAAAATCGCGATAATTATTAAGTTAATGATTGAATTAATGATTGAAAATAACCACATTTAGAGGCTGTTTTAATTAATAACTTGAAAATTTGCATACTTTTTTGCAAAATGGTACTTGACCTTTTTTCTCAGTTTGATCTGATTAATCTTCGCACTTTTTCGTTTCCGAAAGATCACGAACACCTTGTATATATATACACGCATTATATATAAATCTCTCTTTTCCAGTTTATATTTACACATTTAACAAATTTGCTCTTACCTGTAACTCAAATTGTTTTCCATTCATGTACACACACCTTATTAGAATGATGAGAACGGCAATCAATGTGCCAAATTTACAAATCTCTGAAACTTTTCCTCGTACAGTGGTATGTTTCTGCAATGTTTTTGAAACAGTAATCTCCATATCTACGTTGCATTGTATGTTTGAGGTGTTCTTTGTGGGTGTAACTAATTCGACATCTGTTCTCGACGACATTTCAGTTTTCTCCTCTAAACATCCAATTTTTTTTTATTAAATCTCCACAAATATTAATAAACAAATTTCATAATCGATTACTTATCACAAACTAACGTTACATGAACGTTTGATCGTAGTGTATTTTTATAAAATTATACGCAAATTAGATAACGTTAATTTTTAATTTAACATAATAACCGCATAATTTTTAATTAGCAATGTCCTGATCTAGCGTGAAAATTTTTCCTGTAATAATATTATAAATGATTGTAATCATGCTATTTACATGCAATTTTTTTTAGATTTTTTAGATTTTCTACATAAATAGTTTCTAACTTTGCAAATATGGAAAAGATCGGCTTTAAATTAATAAACTATCATTTTTTCGTTATAACTACATGGTATTTTTGCGACATAGTGCAACTACTTTGTGTTATCTTATACAAATCCACCGATAACATTTGAACGATATTTCAATCAACTTTAAGATTAGCAAACAAATAAACTTATCAGATCACACAAACAATTTTAAAATCAGATTATTACATTCTATTTATGATAGTGTGATAAACAGATTATATATGAATAGAAATAAAAATGCTAGATGTTAATATTCATAATTATTTTATTATTGATTAATTGCTACTTATGCAAGAAATTTTATCTACATTGTTATAATCTTCATTCTTCGTCATTATGTCATTGTACAATTGAGCATATTTATAAAAAATTTTTAACGTATTATTGAGATATTTAATATTGTGTACAAAAGTAGTCTATAAATAAGATTTTTTCATTTTAATTTTACTTATAGAACATAAAGAAGGAATTAATTAAATTAAATCTTACAATGTTATCGGCTAAGTTAATCATTTCCAACACCGACTGTACGAGAAGAAAGAGAAATAGAAAGAAGGAGAAACTAGAGTGAAGAGGGAAAAGAGAGAGAGAGAGAGAGAGAGAGAGAGAGAGAGAGAGAGAGAGAGAGAGAGAGAGAGGGGCAAGTGGTCCTTGTCGATAAAAAAGCGGCAATCTCTTAAAGGATAGTTGTAATTATATGTGCTGCTCAAATGCATGTATACTTTTATTAGAAATGAAGAATTTAATAACATAAGTTATACATAAACATACGCTGACATACGTTTTCCATACAACGTGTCTGAATCATTGCGTGCGAATTAATTTTTCCCGCTTTAATAGGAAACCTCACGTGCGAAAATGTGACGTCACTAATTTATGATCAAACATCACAAAGGCCTACTTTGTTCCTTTCTCGCTTGCGATAATGAGCGCTTGAACGTCTTTCTTGATGTCAATATCAGTAAGTATTAGTAATAAATTGAGATTTTAAATATAAACGAGTTTTTCTAATATTTTTTATATCTAAGTGCGAAAAACAAATCCAGAGAGATCAATATGATTATAACAATATCGTTCGAATTGCTCGATTAGAAGCACGTAATGATCTACCAAGCCATATTTCTCTTTTTGTATAAAACTTACATCTATTATTATATTGTCTTTCTTAGTCATTAATATAAAATATTTTAATATGTGATATTTCATGTTGTAAGAACGAAAAGATTGAAGACTAAGTCCGAACCGCACTCCACGGTAACTTCTAATAGACTTCATATAAATCTTTCTTTTTTACTCGATATTTTATTATATTAGGTTAGATTAGATTAGGTTGGGTTAGAAAAAGTTAGGTTAGGTTAATAAGAGTAGAAGATAGAACAAGATTAACAACTAGATAAGTAGATACTAAATAAAACTTTGAGAGTTTCTTGATAAGTTTTAGGTAAAAGTAAGAATGCAGTCTTTCTCTCTCTTTCTCTTTTTTTTCTATCTCAATCACACTATTTTTATATTTAATACATAAAAATATTTAGATTTATATATAAATGAGGAAAAGAATTGAAAATTTATTTTGATCTTATAATATGTGTATTAAAATAATTTCTATTTTTTAATTAAAACTCTTTAGAATTCTTTAGAATTCTTTTAATCACACATTCCTCAACAATACTGGTACCAATAAAAAGAAACCAGTTTTGTAATAAATAAATGGTTATTATTAACAATCTGTTTTTAGTTGGAAATTAATGTTAATGACTAAACTTACTACAGATATTTATTTTAAACGAACGTTACAAATGTGATGAATTGTGAAAATAGCTCTTTTATCAAAATTTCTTTCTCATATGTCACGTGTGTGTAGTAGAAAGTTTTTGGAAGAAAATCGTTACTTTTCAAGAATATTATATTTAACAGAAAATTTCAAGGACAGATGTCAAAGGTTTAAACGTTTAAAATATCGTACAATTTATAGAATTTTATAATGATCGGAGCAAGTAAACAATATAAATAATGTTTATACTTACCTGAATAACGTCTCTAATTTTGTGCATGGACAAACCACACGACACGTTCGAGAACGGGATTACCACTTCACTCCAGGCATACCGTCTCCGAATGGAGCGTATCAGTTCTTTTGTTTACTTCTCTCCCATAGCTGGCCAAAACGATAGCAATGCCACCTTGCGATGGGCAATGCACTACAAATTGTTACCAATGCTTGCTAACTACAAGGTTGAAGCAATGATACATGTATTTCAGTGAGCACAAATCATTGATGGAATATTATTATAACGATATTAAATAATACGTAACATTCCCAAACATACAGTTTTTAACATTATATTGACATCATCAAAGACAATTTTGATATTTGAATATTTTCAGGACATTAGAAAAGAATTGTATCGTCTTGTATGTGATATCTTCGAAATATATTTTAAATAATATATTTATAATATAAAAGAAAATATATGTAACTATATATTCGTAACTACACAAGTTTGTGAAAGAGGATGAAGGTTTAAAATCTCATGTTCAAAACTCGTTTTCAAGGCTAAAGATCTTCCTGTGCAAAAGTGACCTGAACCGCCCAAACCTTACGATTCCCCACACAGAAATGCTCTTTCTATATCTTTCTTTTAAAATTGGCAAAATATATAGCTATTGGCAATCCAGTAGCTTCACATATCTTATTATATTATAAAAAATTTCATCAATTTAAAATACTACTATTATTTATGTTAAATCAAATGGAAAATAATTTATCAATAATGATATGAGATACGACGATTGATTTAATTTAAATCGAAATTAAATTTCATAAAAGTGAATTATTAATGTTCCACAATGCAATGATTTTTCGATCGTAACTTCTGACACATTTATAAACGTTATATTTTGAGGCAGAGACATTTTATCGTACTTTTGTCACTCGAACTTTCAAGCATCACACACATATATTCTTTTATTAACGTCGTATTACAAAATATTCTGGAATCGCTATTAATTAGTCGTCATGGGATGCTCTGGTCAAACCATGTAATGAAATATCTCACGCGTTAGTCAAGTACATATAATGAACTGGGTCAAAAATCTACGGAGAGGATAAAGTCTATTTTATTCGCTAGATTAATATAATATTAACATTAATACAATATATTTCTCTCTTAGTTACGTTTATTTGCACTTTTCTTTTCCCTTCGGAGTGTTTGAAGAAAATCTATTTAACTCAATGTGAGCTTAGCTCTACGTCATTCTACCAAGAAAGAAAAAACTTGTTTCTTTCTTAATTACATGATAAACTGCAATTTATAGACAGAGATTTACAATTTACTTTAAAGGAATGCAGTATGGACGCGCGATAATGACAACTGGATGTCGCTAAAAATTAGATGTTGCGTTACTGCAACATAGTTACTGTAACATTAGATGATTCGTACATTTAGTCATGGGATTTCCGACTGGACATCATTCGGGCCCGCCGCGAACCCGATGCATTTAATTACTGTTGCCTGATAATAGATCTGACACCGCACTACTTAATGCAATTAGTCGTAACTGTCGCTAGCAGTATTCGCAATTAAATTATACCTCGATAGATCGATGATATGAATGCAACAGAAACAAGTGACTGAAATAACTTCAATAATAATAGAGCGCACATTTTGCTGGGATTACTAACTTTAAAAGGCATTTATTTAATCATTCCAATTTATCTCAATAAACCACCATGCATCCTTAAGCCCAGACATCTAGGCGTGATGTCACGATTGAATTATTTAATTTCTCAGCAGTATATGTGTATGTACAGCATACACAAACGTTCCAGGAAAAGATTCTTCGTTGTGAAATTTTATCGTTGACTATCATGATGTCATCACATATAGAGAAGGGATAGGAAGAGCAGAGAGAGAGAGAGAAAGAGAGAGAGAGAGAGAGAGAGAGAGAGAGAGAGAGAGAGAGAGAGAGAGAGAGAGAGAGAGAGAGGAGAGAGAGAGAGAGAGAGAGAGAGAGAGAGAGAGAGAGAGAGAGAGAGAGAGAGAGAGAGAGAGAGAGAGAGAGAGAGAGAGAGAGACGACGACGACGACGACGACGACGAGGATGAATACGTGTGGATGTGTGTGCGCACGCGCGTATATATAACTAGTGCAATATTTATTTACTTTATTACATAATATAACAAAGAAGTTACTCTAAAATAAACGTCAGTTTGCATCGAATACCTGGAATTTGATATTTTCAAAAATTGTTTCATTTTAAAATAATGGAAAGTATGTATATCGATGTGTGTAAAAAATAGCTAAAATAGATGAAAAATAGCTTCTCATAGAATTAATTTTGCAACTGTATTTCGTTTGAGTGGGATCTCAATTTGAATCCTCTTCTCTAAAGATTTATCGAGAAAAGAAAAGAGATTTATAATTGTCGATACCGGAAATAAAAGAAACCCACAACTGGGATAATCCATTTTGAGTAATCTCTTTGCTTAAAAGCTGAGATGTCTAGTTTCCCGAGACAGTTGTATTAATTAAACCAGATATATAATTCTCTTCCACCATAATAGTCAAATAATGAGAGAAAAGAAAACATATATTAGGAAAGTGGTCACAGAGATTGTCTACGTGTTGTTGCATCAGAAAGTTTCGTAATAAATAATAATACAATCCATTGTTGATTTTCGCAGTGGTTGATTTTGCACTACTTGGACATCAAATTTTGCTTCTCATTTTTCTAAAGTGTTGTCCACATCAATCACTCGATACATCGAGTGCTCGAGCATTTGAATATCAATTTATTTCTTTTTCATCAGATTTATTTATATTTACCTTCTTTCCTTGTATTTCAGTATGAAATTTGAATTCCATTCCATATTATTATATTTATAATAAACTTAATATAATAACTTTATAACATATTTTTTTATGTTGGTCTTTGAGAAACTTGACTTGAAATCTTAATAAACATTTCTTATTACCACCGCTATCGCAAATACTGTTAATAATGGCGTCATTTCCCATCCAACGTCCAACTTGGTTTAACACCGTAGTGTAGCATAATATCGTACCGTCCGACAAGAGCCGAAGGCGCTGCAATGATCAACGTGGATATGTTTCGTTCTCTTCTTCAGTATACTCGTGTCGCTCGAAGGCGACGGATGTACATTGTTAGTTAAACCACGCGACTGGTGGGAGCTCCATAAATGCCTCCGTAACTGCAATTTACATTATAAGGGCAACTTTTTGCTTGACGAACGCGTGTTTACATCCAATATGCGACGTGAAACGTTAATAACGAGTGACAAAAGTCAAGACCATCGAAGCGACCAAAAGTATTTATGAGATCAATTATTTACTCTGATGTTATCTTTACTCTTGATGTGTAGTTAATCGTGTATCTCAAGCATATTGAACATTGGAATCTGTGGGAAGTGAATTTTACAAATGTGATATCGCTCATTGGTGGAGTAAGTAACGTTAATCATTGGATATGAATCTCGAGGAATGTAGTTTAAATTAATCAAAATAATAAAAATAATCAACACGCCAAATTATGAAGTAAACGTTAGAAAATTAACACGACATTCGCTCAATGACAATCGAGCAAAATAGAAGATTTCAGATACAACGAACCGGTAATAAAGGAAGCTAAAAAGATATTGTTCACCAACTAATTAGAAAATAAATCTTTGAAGTTCTACATTGTGCGGTTATTGAGAAAATGCTGTGTCTATTCGTTCATACCAAAGGTCAGAATTAACAAATATGTAGATTTCGTAATAATTTGAGGTAACTTTGTTGAAGTTGACGACTCGATAAGATTGCTTTAAGTGGAGAATTTTATCATATCAGATTAGGTTAGTGGCAAGGTGTAATCTTTCTATTATATTCAAATTTTGTGTTTGAACATCTTTTCTAGTGTCAACCTTGGTCAAATGTTTTTGTGCTCGTGTTTCTGAGAAACTTTTTACCGCTGCATCAGTATTCCTTCTCAGTCTGAATCTTTATTTCCAGATAAAATATTTGCCTCTTGTATTTACACCCGCCGCAGCATGAAAATGCGAAAAAATGACAGAGTCGAAGACAAAAGAGAGGGAGAATAAGGAGAGTCCTTTCGCAGTTATCTGCCTTTAGGGGCGAAAAAAGAACTCGCCGGACAGGTTTTAAAGCAGGACGAGACCGGTGCAGGATATTTAACGTCCTCGTAGATCGTAAATCCTTGAAAATGTACAATCAGCTGAATTGTGTCTGTTCCTCGCCAACACGGACGATTCTTTTTATAGATTACTTCCTCCTCCTCTCCCTCCGGCGTTCTTCTTTTGACATAATTTTCAGGCCGATTATCTAAACAAAACGCAGCTCTTTCTAGGTTGTATTACAGCGCAGTAGTGTCGTTCAATTCGACAAGGAAAAACGATCATCTTAACGAGTACAATTGGTTGAAATGCGATTAGCATATTCCTAACGACAATTAAAGTGTTTATCCGTGTAAATACAAGCTGTAATTTCTCGCAATAAAACAATAGCGCGAATAGATCTCTCGGTGCGTTTTTAGCTGCCAACAACAGTTAGCCTCGGTTGTGAGAATATCATCTGATTAAACTTTAGATTATTGCTTTGTTCTTGACATTATAAATAGCTTTGTCTATAAAGTAACGATAGAGCACAAACGTTCTATGTGGAATGATACGGATACATATTTACGTTTTATAAAGAAACAGCAGCATGGAGACGAGCTCGTTGACGAGCATCAAATGTATTAATCGCATTCTCGTCAAAGTGTTCTTATCACACAAAATGACAAAGTGATCTCCTAACGTATCGTCGGCTCGATAAGTTGCGACCAAAGTCCGAATTTCACGAATTAGCTGAGCTCTTCACATTTTTCACCGATTCTATTTGCCACATCGCGATTAGTTTCAAGAAGAAAAGTGATGATTTCATATCTTGACCAGCTATATCGCATAAACTGACTGCACAAATGTGTCGTACCACAATTTATAAACTAGAGATTTTATTTTCCATACGAGAAATTTCCTGACCTTAAAACACACGAGCTTATCAAAAATATACTCTGTGATATAAGTATCAATCTTTATTCTCTTCTCCGGTGTAAATATTTGATAAGTGTTTCTCAGTGTAATATGAATTGTGTTAACGTCAAACATTTATATTGAAAATTGCGGCCGATAAATTGAAGTCAATTCCAAAATTGGTTCGAATCAATTGTCCAAAGCCCGAAGTACTTATGAATCTTTATACAGGTTAGGCAGGTTTATGGATATTTTGTATAATACTTCAAATAAAAGGTTTCACGTTCTATCATCATATAATTTGTAGAAAAGTTATATATATCATAAAAGAAAAACAAAGAAGCATTGATGAAAATCTTCATTCTGAAGAATAATACATGAATACTTGATATATTCGATCTAACTTCCGAGTTGATATTTAATACGTTTTACACGGAACTGAAATTACGATGCAAACGAAATAATAATACAAAATGGAATGTCACTAAAAAATAAAACAGTTAAATATAACATGCGAAAAATTGCTGCAAGCAAAGGAAACGGATTACGGATATCGTAATGTATACAATGAAGTGTTACAGATGAAATAATGTAGGCAAAAAATGTGCGAGGAAAGTCCTCGCGAACAAAGAAGAATCTACAAACAACAACGAAATAGTAAACAACAAAGTGACCTTCCTACTGAAAATGAGATTTCTGAAAAATTTACTACATGAGATCTTAATTGTTTCATGTACATGAGGTCTCAATTGAGATATCACATGAAAAAAATAAATAACGATATTTATTTTGATTGAGATATTTTTCTCAGTATATATATTTTTTTTCAATATATTGAAATATTACTACTTACTTTTTCATGATTTTTCATATGATATCTCAGTTAAGATATCATGAAATAATTGAGATTTCCTATAAGAAATTTTTTAGAAATCATATTTTAGATCTCAATAGAAATTGTTCAATAAAGTTGCTACTGTCAAGCATTGGTCATTGCGATCGGCCAAATCTAGAATAAGCCGAATATTTTACAAATTAACTGCACTTCGGGCTTTGATCGTAACAGATACAACATGAACTGTATCCTTTAGGCGTCATCATCAATGAGGACGCACATAATCATATAAATCGTTGCTCCGAAGCCAGCTGCACGCGGATAGAACGACAATTTCGACAAATCGACCCTCGAGATGACGTCGATGCTACCGGAAGAAAATAGCAACTCAATCAAAATGAAGCAAAAATTGCTGAATGACAGACCCGTGAAAGAAGAAACGAGGTCCTTCTTGAGTTTCTCGCGCGAAAACTTAAGCATCTCACACTCCGACTTAGAGCAAGGATTTAACAGGTCGCGACTAAGGCCGACCAGGAATACAATCCTGAGTGTGGCCGCCATCGTGATCGCTCTCCTTTGCCTTACCATTTTAAGTTGGAAATTGCGATGTTTGACGGCAAACATGCACGAAATCGACCAGCTAAAGAGAGACGTCGAAGAGCTGAAGCATCGCTTTCTGAAGCAGAATCTTATGAACGATCTGAAAGCGTTCGAGGAACAGGTAAGAATGCATTGTTATGAAAGTCTCTGGCTTCAAGTCTCCCTCATCGGTAGAAAATGGAAAAAGTAATTTAAATTTCCTCAACGAATCGCTTCTTCTTCTCCTAAAGCGGTCTGCTGACCGCTCGTAACCAACAGTATATATTACTCACGTTTTCAATACGCTATCCTCACTAACCAATTTGATGGCTAACAATTAGCATACAACAAATAATGTTTGATGTCACATGTGAACGTACGTTCTATTCTCGCCCAAACAAGTCCACCAACGAAAGATTTTGGACTCCTTTTCACAATCTCAGCCCCTTCCGGCAAACAGGCAATACACAAGTTTTGTGTTTGTGTCCGAAAGAAATTTGTATTAATTATAAATATGACAATACCTTCTGCAAATTAAGATCCCAAGTGATTAATATTAATGACGTAATCGCGATCGCCGCCGGATTAACGAGCACTTCAAACGTCAAGTTACCATCTTGGTCGCATGGCCGCTTGAGGCATACTAAAACAGGTCCAATTATCTCGACGACGTGAATAATAGGATAGGAGGGGGATTTTGTTTATATCGGCATAAATAAAAAGTAAGACAAGGGTGACGTAGGAAGCATGATTATAATTCGTTTCAATGCTGCTTGTTTGAGACGAATAGCCGCGAACTGAGTCTGAGAGCCTTGATGTTTTGGCCTTTTGATTCCTATTACTTGCCCTAAAAATCCATCTATTTTACGATTAATATCAGAGACAGTTGAAAAGTAATAATATACTGCTTAATGAGAAAATAAAAGTATATACGATGTACTCGATGTGACGGCATTTAAGTGGATTAAAGAACGGGCTTAGCAATTTGTTCTCACTGTCGTCGAGCCTGCACGGAGAAAACTAAACAAGTTATAAGCTAATTTAACCTAATCTAAGTTATAATCAGGTCGTTGAACTGCTCGTGTAGATCCTCATATATCTGACATGCGCGCGTGCCTTATCGCTGTTGTTTTAATTTGACCTTTCCGCTGCGATAACCTTATGCGTGAAAAAAAAAATCTGACGATATTAAATGAGCTAATTCGTAAATCTGCAGATTAAGATCGACAATATGAATCGGTCGGTCGGTTATCGAGAAACGCTCAAATATCATATAAGATACATTAACTTTGTTTCGCTCCATGTAACGCTCCGCACCTTTAATAAAATGCAGCTGCAAAGTGTGTATCTTTTCTGTCAACAGCGGAACGTCGAGATTCCCAATGGGATTCCCCAGTGCGTAAAACATTGTGCTGCTTTTAGACTCGGCAATTACTTCGTCCGATGTTTAAAAGGAAATCATACTGACAATCGCTTATTACGAATGCGGTTCCTCGTATCGAATTATTTGCCACTAATGGATAATTCCGATCTGACTTTTGCAAATTTTCGTGCGACGGAAAATTTCCGTTGCGAACTAGTCCGTGTAATTTAACTTCCTATGATGCACACGTCAGAGACACACAAGCGTATTTTATGTTCCGCATATTTATACCATTATAAAAAATATGTTCACTAACTGCTATAAAAACTGTTATAAAAATATGTTGTTATAAAAAGTATAAACTGTTATAAAAAATATGTTCATCACAACTTTTTTCTCTTCAACAAAATATGCCATGTAATTCATTCAAAATATACATGTAATTCATTCAAATATACATATACATATAATTCATTCTAAATATACATATAATTCACAAAAATACTAAATATACATATAATTCATTCAAAATATACATGTAACGGTGTGTGTGTGTGTATACGTTTTTTTGTTTTTAATTTTACATATGGAATAGTATATTTTGTCGGTATCATAATAAAAACATATATTGCAGTTATACGGCGAGAAATCGAGCGAAGATGATGATCCGGGCGAGGCAGACATTGATTATGCGGATTATGACACCAATTACGATGACGATAGTTCTACATCGCATGACTATTCCGGTGAATTACCCGGAAATCAGCATGTTCCCTTGATTTATGGATCCAGACCATCGGACTTCCCTGAAATTACATCCACGCCAGCACCTACGTCCCCGAAACCTCACACTAATCCTTTCCTAATATTAATGGAGTTCTTGAGCACAGCTGAAACGAAACGTGGACAGGAATTGGAGAAGAATATGCGAGAAAATCACAAGTGAGGCCCTGACGTTATACACCTTACTGAAAACTTCCTAAATTATTTCATATAATATCTCAATTAAAATATCGTATGAAATAGTTGAGATCTCATATAGAAAATTTTTCGGAAATCTCATTTTAGATTTCAATAAAAATTTTTCGGAAATCTCACTTTAGATCTCAATAAAATTTTTCAGTAGGATATTTTCTTCCAATAAAACAACCTTGTAAATATATAGATTTCCATCTTCCAAATATTTATAAAGGTCCACAGATGCACATATATTATATAAACACTTTGTATATGAACTGATATGTTAATTTATAAGAGGAGAAGGTAGTATTATGGATCTTATAGGTATTATGGCCACTCTCCATATCTCCATTATTAGATAGCAAATTCCAGTTATTACTTATGGCACCATTTGTTTAGTAGTTTTGTTTAGTAGTTCGTCGTTAGCGCAGTGACGTTAATATATCAATACACAATAACTAGCACTTTTTGTAACATATTTTTACTTTCGAGAATTTCGAAATGTTTTTCAAGGTACATTTTAGCATTCAATTAGACATGTTTCCTCATGATTTTTAAGCTTGAGCGTATTATCACATGAATATATATACAATTGAGTATTTTGTTTGTTACTTGACATTTTATTCGGCTGTACATCTTTCAAGTTAGATTTGCAAAGTTAAATGAAATGGCATGACATTTTGCTAATGTGACCCCATAAGAGTACTGATAATTATTATCTCTTTTTCAAGGTTTTTATACCAAAGTAATTATTCGATAAGTCGATTCTAATCTGTAATCTGTTACATTTGCGTTTATACTACACTACGCTGTCTGTCTGTCAGATTGTATATCTTAACAAGTAAGTCAATATCCACATTAAAAATTCGCAGTTATACTCATTATTATTTTCTTTCTAAGAGTTTAATTTAAATAAATATATAATTTCGTAACTAAATACTTTATGTTATTTTAAACAAAATCAATTTTTTGTATCAATTTTAGTGGGAAACCATATTACTACCCCGTTTTCTCGCCGATCCATTATACTGTTGCTACATTTTTATAAATAACATCCTAAGTAATAAACATTATGTAAATTTAAATCTATAATCGATTAAACAATACAAATATGACAAATATAATCATTCAGTTCTCGCTTTAAAATATTGATTATTGACAAAGTTATTGTACAAAATATGAATGGAAGGCCATAATAGCATCTTCTCCGCTATTTATTTCATCATACATTTCTTATATCTATATTTATGTATTATATATATATACATATATATAGTATATATATATATATATATATATTATTTTACATTCATTTTGTATAGAAACATTGAGCAGAAACGTTTTAAGGAGGAACACAGGATACGAGTGAGTCATGAGGAGAAGAGCGGTGACACGAACAGCACCAAACATAAACATGATGTCTTCACCTCGAGCACAGAATATTCGAAGCCTGCTCCTCAACAGCAGGACAAAAATGTCAAGCGGAAGCGTTCGGTGAAAGAATATATGGTTACCGATCATTCAACAGATACATCGAATTACGAGCTCAACGACCAGCATCACAGCATCACGTCGAAAGTACACTCTCACGTGAACGACGGAAATAGGACGAATAACAATTCTGGAACGAATTTAGCAGCGTGAGTACCTATGCGAGCGTATAAAGCGTGTAGCAAAAACCAGGGTTGGAAAGTGACTCGTTACTTATAACAAAGTTGCAGTTACAATTATTTTTTTAGTAATTATAACTTAACTTGATTACTTTCTCTTCTCGATAACTAATAACTAATTTAATATCGTTACTTATTTATAATTAATGATTACTTTATAGCTATAATTTAAGGAGCACGCTTGATTTAGAGGAAACGTTTGATTTAATTTTTTATCTCACAAGAGCGAGAGAGAGAAAGAGGGAGAGAGAGAGAGGGGGAGAGAGAGAGAGAGAGACTGTCATTTATTGAATATCAAATAAAATGATACATAATTAAGTACATAATATATAATAAATTAGTAAAATGTGAAATGTAAGATTTTTGTGGCTTAAAACATTTTCCTCTGACGATGAATTACTTGGAGATACACCACGTTCAAGAAGATCCTTCGTTATTGGTAACGAAGAGTTGTTAATTATTTATTCGTACATCAATTGTAACATTTTTTCTGAAAATTTCTGTCTTTGTTTAATTTTTAACGTACAAAACCGCAGAAACTTTTTTGGTTACCTAATAGATACTTCTACAAAGTAACTTTTCCAACCTTGACGAAAACGCACGAACAACCTTTCAAATTGTGCATGTTACTCTGTATAATCCAGGTCGACCGTTTCTTGGGACGTACATCCCCCGAAGAAGTATCACGCCCACGCACGTCTAGATACGTCTTCTTCAGTGGACGATGAGCGATTAAGCGAAGAAATTACGCATCAACGCAGCAGCAGAGAGAGAATGGGCCATGTGCGTGGTAGAAGAACCAACTGGCGGAAAATGGAGCATCGTGGTGCCATGAAGAACAAAACGGGAAGCGAGATTCTCGAGGCCGCTCAGGTGAGCAGAGTGAGCAGTTTTTGCAAGAAAATCGTACGAGCGTGCCGTGCCGGGTACTTCGCGGTATTCGGCGACAACATAAATAAGCCTTGTGGTTGAATCAGAATTACGAAGTGGCTGCGACGGAACCTCCTCGGAAATTGACCAGGCGGCATTTACGCGCGCCACGGCAGGTCTACGCGATTCATTACGAGGCGGACTTCAATCTCTTTTCAACGTTGGACGAGAAGGACGACAATGGTAAAGTACGGCACCACAGAGGCATCTTCAAGGCATGGCGGCCGAGCGACTGGGTTACCGAACTCGGCATGAATCGCCACTTCACACTCTCCAGTGAAGGTGAAATTACTGTGCACGAGACGGGATTGTATCTGGCATACGCACAAATTCATTACGTGGACGAACACGATGATAACGGCTTCCACTTATTGGTGAACGGCGAACCTATCCTACAATGCATGGTAAGACTCGGAAAACGGGAAAAGCGCTTCTCGGCCGATTAGAGCTGAAAGGCGCTTCTGCATAAAATTGAACAATATTCAGCAAACATTGAATTGATGTAACAATGTTGTATAACAACAATTGATGTATAATGTTATAAATACAAGGTGTATAAAAAGTGCCGGGACGGTGAAATATCATAAAAATTAACTAAATTTAGAAAAAAATATTTCAAATAAAAATTGTAGGATTTCAAAAGATTCATTTACTGACATTATGAGTTTGACTTTGGATGACGTCGCCAAGGTCGAGACAAGGTCACCTTGAATTTTTTAAATGGGACTCTTATTTTTTATTGCATATTCTTGTAGCCCTTCTTCAGACCTTTTTAAAGTACTATAACTTTTTCCACTTTGAGTAAATCTTTTCGAAGTTATCGAGCTTTTTATGATAAGATGTCCAGCCAGCGGCTGGAGCAATTTCGTGACTTGTATTTCAGACACATATAATATTAAAGTAGTACTAATGTACTAAATTTATAACAGCACTAAAATTCACCTTCGAATCATTTCAAATTAATTGCAATGAATTTGACTTGAAGTAAAACACATTACTTGTACATAATACGCGTTGTTTCATACGGTAAAGATAAATGATTTTTCTTTCTTTAATTGAATTATCGATTTTGTTAATTAATACAAATTCCTGTTTATTGGATAAATCTGTGAAAATATTTTCGCTGTCATAGTCTTACAGAACTGAACACGTCAATCAAAATCGTCTTCGTTTAGCTCATGAACAAGTCATATTTTGTAAGGGCGAAATTTATTCCTTTTTAACCCTTTGTCCTATAACAACGAGTGAGACTCGTGGTAAGATATTTGGGCCAAAAACAACGAGCACGAGCCTGACTCATGGTACTTCGTTCGGACCAAACGTAAACAACACGAGCCTGGCTCGTGGTATTTCATTCGGGACAAACATAAACAACACGAGTCAGACTCGTGGTTCAGTTGTTCTCGATATTTTCTTACTTTAGTTACGTGTAATTCTTCGTTACGTTCACACGTTTAGGTTATAATTCTCTAAAAGAATTAAACAACCCTTATACCTATCATGTCAGTAAAAAGAAAATCTAATATCGATGATAATTCCTTTCGTTGCGCCGAAATATACATGTCATAAGACGCATACATTTTGCGCAAGTTCGAGCACACGGCTAAACAGCTAAATGGCTCGACGCGTGACCGACCTTCTTGTTTATTGCGGCCCGAGCGATCGGGAGTTAGCGGGTAGGACAAGGGGTTAATATCTTATGCACAGACATAGGATTTATCTCATGTTCTTGAGCAGTTCTGCGGACAGAAGTTTGTGGATTCTTTACGAATGATTGTAAAACATCCAGTGACTTTTCTTCATTTGTTGCTGCGGCAGGCCTTCCTGTTCTAAGACGATTTTTAACGCTTCCTGTTTCTTCAAACCTGTCTTACAGTTCTTTCAACAGTTGATTTCGAAATAGGAGTATTCTCATCTCGAAAAGTTACATTGAAAAGATCCTTTACATCTTGATCTTAATCTATCATCCCAGCCCCTCATCATCAAGACAGATATTCTATCGCGTTCAGTAAGATGTTGCATTTTAACTGATGAAAATTATCGAGATGGAAATTTTGAAACGAATGAATAACTATCAGCAATACTTTAAAATGAACAAAATGGAAAAAAATGTACAGAAATAAGTGAAATAAAAATTGAGGAAATCCTTACTAAAGCGTTTGAGAATAATGTTAATCTCTAAAAGAAAAAGTGAAGTCTAACGAATAAGCTAGGAAACAAAAAGATTTATCCAATAAACAGAAATTTATATTAATTAGATAACAAAATCGACAATTAAAGAAAGAAAAATCAGTAAAAAAAATCATTTATCTCTTCCGCATGAATTAACGCGTATCATGTACAAGTAATGTGTTCTACCTCAAGTCAAATTCATTGCAATTTATTTGAAGTTATTCGAAAGTGAGTGCTGTTTATTTTAGTGCTGTTATAAATTTAGTAAATATATTAGTATTACTCTTTAATATTACATGTGTCTGAAATACAAGTCACGAAATTGCTCCAGCCGCTGGCTGGATATCTTATCATAAAAAGCTCGATAAATTCGAGAGGGCTTACTCAAAATGGAAAAAATTATAGTGCTTTGAAAAGGTCTAAAGAAGGGCTACAAGAATATGCAATAAAAAGAAGGGGATCCCATTTAAAAAATTCAAGGTGATTTTGTCCTGACCTTAGTGACGCCACCCAAGATCAAACTCATAAGTCAATAAATAGATTTTTTGAAACACTACAATTTTTATTTGAAACTTTTTTTTCTAAAATGCTTAGTTTTTATGATATTTCACCGTCCCGGTGAAATTTCTTATACACTTTGAAACGGTGAAACTTTTTATACACCCTGTATATATAGGATGTCCGAGATTTTTTGAAAACGAAAAATTGTGAAGATTAATCAGATCAAGCTGAGAGAAAGAGTCAAGTACCATTTTACAAAAATCACAATAGTTATTAGGTTAGGATTGAAACTGATCGGGCTCTTTTAACTGGTAACTTGAAAATTTGCGCACTTATTTGGAAAATGATAAAGGACTTTTTTGTCCAGAATAATCTAATCTACAATTATATGACGGCTATTGTGTCTAGCGATAGATATGAGTATACTAAACTTTAAACCCTGAATTTTAAACCTATCGCTAGGCACATATAATTGTAGATTAGGTCATTCTGAACAAAAAGATCCTTTACCATTTTGCAAATAAGTATGCAAATTTTCAAGTTATCAATTAAGAGAGATGTGGCCATTTTCAATTATTAATAACTTAATAACTGTTGTGTTTTTTACAAAATGGTACTTGCCTTTTCTTCTCAGTTCGACTTGAGTAATTTTCACAATTTATCGTTTCCAAAAGATTCCGGACACCCTGTATAGGTGTTATTGTAACATTTAAATAATAATTTCTTGTACTCAGCAATGCGAGTACGATATAACGCATGTTGTACATAACAGTAACATTGTTGAGTAGGAAATATAAAATTGATGTAATGTTATTCAATGTTCACCGGGTAACAATTGTTAAACAATGCGAGTTTCTACGCACCACGATTAAGTCTTATGCGTTCATTGCATTTAGACTACAAAACAATTCGCACCGCGAGTTTTCATTTGCGTTTATTATATTTAAATTATACTATTGCAATTTTGTACGTATAATTTATCAAGACGTAAGACATTGTAAAATAATTTTCAGGTACATACGCCAGGTATAGGGCACAAAAGCCGCTCATGTTTCTCCGCTCGAGTGACCTTTCTCCAAGCAGATGATCGTCTAGTCTTGAAAGAAGTTGGAGCAGCCAAATTCGCACTTTTTCATCGCGAAAAAAGCTTCTTAGGCTTAGCAAAACTTGGTGAGATGAGACCGCAGCAAAAGCATCAAATGTAATAATTGATTTACGATATTCGTCGATAGCACGACAATCGCTTTAAATATTTTCGAATTATTGATAATGGCAAAAAGATGATAGATTTGCATGTATAGAATTTTTACTCGTGAAAGTTAGCTGTAACAAAATTTGTCCCTAAAATATAATATAAAATGTAATATGTACTTTCAAATTGCGAATAACATTACTTCTCTTGGCAAGTTTTTCAAGTTTTGTGCTTCGATTTAGTTTCTTTTTTATGTTATACTTGTAAAAATCTATTTATATGTATCGAGATTATTTCACACTGCATGTTATTTTCGTTCGTATATATCAAAATACTGTAATCTATTTTTAGAAGATGAAAACGTATATGTTTATATAAAAATTGGAGAAATGGAATTCATATTCTTTCTGTAGCATGTTTGATATATAATATGTCATTAGAACATTTTAATCCTACGCATTGTCCTATATCTAGATATTTATGTGTCACAACTATTAGGAGTGTGATTTAGTTTTAAAATATTTTTTCTCAAAAATTGATTTATTTAAACAAGACAATGACAAAAAATGAATACCTTAATCAAAGTATTTTCCTTTGTTTTCTATAATTTTTTCAATCTTTCTGGCAAGAGATGGATTCCGTGACGATAAAAAAGTTCTTCTTTGGAGTTGATCCAATTTTTAACAAATGTTCGCACTTCAAAATTATGAAAGTGTGTATTCCATAGAGCATGTTGCATTAACCGGAATAAGTGATAATCGGATGGAGCAATGTCTGAAGAATACATAGGGTGCGGTAAGACTTTCCATTCCAGCTCTAATAGTGTTTGCTTCACTGATAATGCAACATGAAATCGAGCATTGTCGTGAAGAAGGATCATTTTGCGTCGTTTACTCGCAATTGCTGATCGTTTTTGGTCCAATGCTCGCTTCAATTTGTATAATTGTTGTCAAAAACGATCAACGATGACAGTTTCATTCGGATTTAATATTCATAGTTCATAGTACACAACACCTTGTTGATCCCACAAAATATATAGCAATACTTTTGAACCGTGAATATTGAGCTTTGAAGTGGATGTTGCTGGTTGGCTTGGATCCATGATCTTTTTCGTTTGGGAAATAGTTTCGTTATCGAAATAGATCCATTTCTCATCCCCCGTAACTTGCATTATATCTTATTTAACTTGTATCAATAAGATTCAAGATGACTTTGAAGCAAAGTTGTTCTACATATTCACGCTTGGTGTATACACACACGTGCGCGATAAATAGAAATGTATGATGCACATTTTATCTTGCTTTACTCAAAGCAAGTCAATTTTTATTGGCAACATTTTTTATTACAAGTCAAATTGACGGTACAATATAATTTCGAGCGAGGACTTCCGATCGGGATTAAATCACCTGGTGTGTCCATCAAATCAACGATGAAATTCGGTCTCATATGTTTGATCGGATAAATCGTCGATCGATCATCGCGCAGAGGAGATACTTTTTCTGTTTTATATTTATCATCGTGTAAATGAGCGTCTGATTTGTTTGATAATTTCAAGGAGACAGACATAGTTATTTTCGAACGGTATTCATCATTTTCATCGAAATAAGCGCGGGATGATTTCTCTTCGTCTGAATCTTTAATCTGCAAAACACTCAATGAAATAATATCATGATGAAAGAGAATACATATCTCGTTCATTCAAGCAACAAATATTACTCGAGGTACAGCTATTTCAATCCACGATATACCGTATCCTCCTCGCACGAGAGCGGCTGGAAGGCATATTCTATCAGCTATCACCTTGAAAAGCAGAGCTCTTTCGAGATAGGAGCCTACGCGAAGTTGCCCAAGTGGAATCACGCTCGTCCCTAAGCGTTGCTTAATTTCTTTCAAGTGAATTTCCACCTGATGAGGGATGCATTTGTTCTCCGGGTCGAATCCAGACAGTTGACGGGCCACAAATTGCGCCAGCGTTTTCGAACGTGAAGAAATGTACTGGATATTTGTCAATCCAATGTCCAAAGCTGTCGCTCTGTATAATCGTATACAAATATACAGAGTAAGATATCTAAAACAGGCCGCCTGAATAACTTTCAAAGTATATAAGATAGAAAAAAATGTTAAATACAGTAGTTGTAGAGTTTTAAGTAACGCATCACACAACGATACTAGTATATACTTGAACAGCATCATTGAGGTTACGGGAATTTTTTAAATGGAAATCCCCATTTCTTATTATATTATCTTTCCTACCAATTGGTGGGTATACCAATTAATTTGAACAACTTTTGTTTGAAATATTTTTTATTTGTCTAATTTTTTTTTAGTTATTTAAAGGAAGCTTAGTAACTTTTTCAATAGTTGGTTTACGATATTTCAGTAACTATTTATCGGAAGAAAAAGTATCTTAACTTTTGTTAACTTGATGATTTTGAAATTTCCGAAAGTCATCAAGTTAACAAAAACTAGGCACTATTGTAACAACACATTCTTGAGACCAAATAAAGTAAAAAGTCTAGTATCATTTTTTCTTTCGACAAATAGTTATCGAGATATTGTAAGCCAAATATTAGAAAAGTTACCAAGTTTTCCTTGAATATCTCAGGAAATATTAGACAAATAGAAAAATGTTTCAGACAAAAGTTATTCAAATTAATTGGTAGAAAAAGATGATATAATAAAAATGATATAATAAAAAAATGGGGGTTTTCATTAAAAAAATTCAATGTGACCTCGTAATATTGATGGCGCTGTTCAAGGTCATATTAGCATTGCTATGTGGTGCGTCACTTAACATTTTACGACTTCTGCATCTAACATTTTTTTCTATCTTGCATATTTTCAAAGTTATTCAAGAGAGCCTGTTTTAAGTATCTCGTTCTACTCGTATATAGGATGTTTAAAAAAATGGATGAGAACTTTAAGAACAGATAGTATTCACAAAATAGAGGGAAAAAGTTTTAATAAATATGGCTCGAAAAAATAATATTATTGGAGTTATGAACAATTATTTATTTTAATTAAAAAGCAAGTGACTTACTCACTTCTAGTGCCATACATGAAATGCATTTCTACTATTTCTTGATTAATACCTTGTCATTCTTGTCACCATACTATGAAAACTTTGTGATAGCTTTCTGCTATCTAACTATTTACTGTTCACAAGAATATGTGACTAACAATTGCTTGATGAAGAGTGTGTATAAGTGGGAAGGAAATGGTTTGTTTACATTCTGAACAAGAGTGACTTTTTTTAGAGATTCTTTTAAAGCATGGTACTCTCTTCATTAAGAAATTATATAGACAAGTTACGTCAGATAATATAAAAGCACAAAAAGCGAGTAAGTCGTTTGATTAAATTAAAATAAGTAATTATTCATAATTCCGACAATATTAATTTTTCAACCCATGTTTATCAAGACCTTTTTCCTGCATATTGTGAGTATTATCTATTCTCCTGTACCCTTTTTTCCTAAACATCTTGTATATTAGTTTTGTAGAATTGGTAAGTAATTGAAAGATTTATGAACCATCCTAAATCAAATTGTTTCGAATCTCTACTGACACATTTTGTGGTTCCATTATCGAAAGCATATTTTTAAAAAGTTCCACATATTCGATTAAATATGGATCGTGTTGTAATCGTCCGTATTTTAATTCAAGCTGCGAATTTATATCTCCTGCAAACAAAAATATTCTTTTTCAAGTTAAATGTTCCTTTCTAAAGAAGTCTAGTTCCTATAATCATGTTTTGTACAATTGGTAAGTAATCGAAAGATATATGAACCATCCTAAATCAAATTGTTTCGAATCTCTACTGACATATTTTGTTCCATTGTCGAAAGCATATTTTTAAAAAGTTAATTATGTTAATATAAAATTAAGTAAGTTAGTATGGTAAATATGAAACATAAGGTACAAAGTACACAGTATGTTCTAATGCTATATTTACCATTAAAGAGTGCAGAAATATAATGAATTCTGATTGGATTTAATTTTATTATTATATTTTATTTTGTATATATATAGGGTGACTCAGAACAACTTAGTGCCCTTGAAATGACATGAACATTCTTGAACAAATTCTGATGATTTTTCCGCTTGCAAAATATTATCCGAAGCTTAATTTTTGAGTTATAAAAATAAATAATTTGCTTATCACGAGTCTGATACAGAAGGTGAGCAGGAACAGCACAACTCATTGTCAGATGCAGACGTTTACATTGAGTGCCTAATGCGATGAGCTTACCGATGCATGCAATAATATTACACATATTTTTTTTATAACTTCCGTTGATGATCGTATCGAGTGCCGCAAGAAAGTGTGCAAAGTCGACATGCGATTCTTTTCTTCATTGACGTGTATGATTGCACAGTAAAATGCAATAGTTGGCGGCAATGTTGTCCGGTATAAGTAGATTAATGTGATCGCTAAGCAACAAGAATTAATACAATCGTAAAAGCGAGTAAAGCAATTTGAATTAATTATTATATCAAATTAATTAAATAAAATTTTATAAAACTTTATAAAATTTAATTATGATTAAATTAAAATAAATTGTTCCAACATTTAAGGATAAAATATTTGATTACGCAAGCATTCCCAAACTGGAAAATAAGTTTTGAAAATACAAAAAAGAGAAACGGAAAATAAAAGCAAGAAAGAGTCTTGATCATATTGAGAAGCATAAAGTATTCTTTTTTTTAAAAAAACCAACAAATTTGTACTCCTGTGTAAAGATTATTTATCTTAAGAATGACAACTTTTACCATTTGTTCGTTCCCGTAATATTAAAATTTTATTTTTAATTTTACAATCGGTTTGATCGTGAATTGCGGACTTTCCTTTGTCTTTGTGGCGAACAAAATTAAAGAGAACAGAGATTAACACTCCATCGATAGCAGTCTAACGAGAGTTATAAAAATGATATATGCTATGTTATTACATGCATCGATAAGCTCATCATATGAGGCGCCCAACACAAGTGCCTACGTTTGACGGTGAGTTATGCCGTCCCTGTCTACCTCTTGTACCCGACTCGTAATAAGCAAATTACTTATCTTTATAACTCAAAAAGTAAGCTTCGAATAACATTTTGCAAGAGGAAAAATTGTTTTAGAATTCATTCAAGAACATGTGATTTCAAGGACAGCAAGTTGTCTGAATTACTCTTATATTACCTTCAAAAGGCACTTCGTTTTGTAAAGCGCTTAATGGTGTTGACGGTCGTGAGAAGTTTACTGTGTAAATAGGCTCTATCGGAGAACATTTAAGTCGAAAAATCTCATCCAATGCTGGGAATCTGGAAGAACCAAACGCGACAACAGTAATAAATTAATTTTTTACTAATTTCGTAAATTGGTAACTATATATAACATAATATTGTAACATAATATTGTAAATTTACTTACGGGCATATGCTTTTTCGTACAACGTAAAATCCATCTTGAGTAATATCGTATAGAGACAAACGTCCCGTGAAAGTAAATTTAGCTGGTAAGTGTGACTTGAAGAGCGTCTGTATGCAACTATCCCATGAAGAGATTATTCTTGCGGATGAGCGATTATTTAACATGCTGCAATATGTGATTATACTGATTAGTACGAATATTCAATAGATCTATGACGATTCCAAAAAAAATGTAAGAAGAAGCAACAAACTTACTATTGTAAATATTTGCTCTTTATAAAAGCGTCGGCCACAACTAGATCTGTAGAAATCGTTTGTATCATTTGTACCGCGAAATTTCTTACCGGGATCGAATAAGCATCAGTAATGAGAGCGTACAATTTTTCGGGACCATTTGCTTCGAGGAAATATCGCTTTCCATCCTTTTCCAAGCATAATATAGATAGTAGATTGCAGCAAACGATCTTAAATTCGTCAACATATGAATAAGTTGACTGCAACGTTAAATATTTTTGTGAAAATGGATCTCTTAAAATTTAATATGCTATATGAATACATGAAATGCTGCTTTTACCTCGAGAAACAAGCAAAGTGTGTTAATAGTATTAAAATTAATCAAAGAATTTCTGTGAGATGAATGACGCGCCACGACAATCAAAGCTTTGAGAGCTATAATGTAAGTTTCTATGGGAGCTTCTTTTTCAGATTTTTTCATCATTTGTAATAAATAATCCTTAAAAACAAAGAAAGGGTATATTTTGACATTTGTAGACAAATATAATATTGTGAAATTGTATATAAGATATATGAGGTTTTGTATTATTACTTGTCCATGAAGGTTCAAAAAAATATCGCAATTTCTAACATCGCTCGCTAATAATTGTTTCAGCCCGTAAATCGCAGTATGTTTTGCGGACCACTGTAAGTCTTCTTTTCTCAATATATCTAGAACGGTACGATTTTTCTAATTTCCTACTTTATATATAATATTATATAATATATAAATCTATTATATATTATATAAACTATTTTTAATTACATTAATTGTATAACCTAAAATATTTTCAATGGTTTTCTGGCTTGCAAATTCCTCCGCAGCGGGATTATAAAGTGCCATTTTTCCAACTGCGTGACAAATAATCTCAACTACATCAGATTGTGTTGATCGCTCTAAAATGTCTATTAAGTATCCAACCATTCCATGTGAATGTAGAATCTATTATAATGATATTATAAATCATACATACATATATACATACATATATGTACCTAAGTTTTATTTTCTTTTAATTTAAGATAAATACTTCGTTTGTATTACATAATATTACTTTTCTTCCATCCGAAGTATTTGCAATATGCGTGATGATTTTAAAAGTTTCCGTAAAAAGTTCAGAACTCGCTACTTTTTCTATGTAGTTTAATATTTGTTGAACACCTCCACTGTTAATAAATTCATTTACAATTGCTGGATTCTCAACAGCTTGATTTAATATTTTTAAGGCTTCAACGTGTAAATCGTTCCACTTATCATTCTCCATAATAAAGCAAATATTAATTAAAATTAAACGAAATTTAAGCAATCAAACGCAAAAAACATGAAGAATATAAAAGTACTAAAATTATGTGCAAAGATTACTTACTTTTAAGAAATTTAATAGAGTTCTAACTCCGTTTGCTTGGAGGAATGAAGATTGTATCGCTTCATCTTTATTCATGGCAATTATAGCAGCAGCTATATTTAACGCTTGTTGCTGAATCTCTGGATACGATGATTCAAAATGTTCAAATATCAAAGAAAGGTTAAGTTGCTAAAGATAATTAAAAATTGAATAGAACAATTAAAAATTGTGAGATCTAAAACGTATTATTAGTATTATTATTATTAGTTATTATATTATATATTATATTATACTATATTATTAATATTATTAGTATTGTAATTCAGTAACTGTAGTAAACCTTGGATTTCAAAATTTTATTTGCACCCGCGGGATCTTGCATTAAATTATATAGAATGTGTATGCTATTCTTCTTTATATCTGGATCTGGAGATTGTATTTTTTCAAAGAGAAAGTTCATGTTTGGACAGTATTCTACCAACAGCGCTGCACCGTATGGATCTTGGGATAACATTACAAGTATCGCGGAAAAATATTCTTGCATGAAGATATCTTCTTCAGTAGTTAATAATTTTGCAAAATATGGTAAATAATTAAATTCAATAAAATAGGTTGTCATATCTGGTACCGTTATTATTTCTACAAGCAGCTTTGCAGCAAATCTATATTTGTGTAAAGTATAAATATAATTTAAATAAGAGAATATATAATAAGTATGTGTCGTTGTAATCGATATATATCTAGAATATAAGAAAAAATTTATGCGCCAATATATAAAAAGAATATTTTTTGACTATATTTAACGTCCTAAAAGAAATAATTTTGTATATTGTACATTGTATTTTTATATTGTATTATTTATATTGTCCACAAACCTTCGAGTAAATATATCTTCATGTTCAATAATAGGAAGAATATTCTTTACGATGTCGAGATCTAAAAGCATTTTTATATTATCCTTTGATTTGTTTGCATACTGTGACAATGCTTTCACTGTTGCTAATAGAATAGATTTTTCTTTAGATTGTAATAATAATATTGCTGTTTCTGCATCCTTAGCTTCGAAAGAAAACGGGTCAAACGGATTATGCTCAAATACTGTTTCTGTCTCATTCTCGTCATCCTTCTTTTTAGAAAAAACATTAAAAATATGTCATTTCTTCCTTAATAAAGGAAACGCGTTATATAGAATCAAAAAAGTATTATATACGTATCTGATTTTGCCTTATATAAATCCTTAAATACATTATTTTTAATCCTTTTACATAATTTTGTAACGCAGAATTGTTTATGTAATAGAAAAAGCTCCTATTGCCATACGATTTTAACCTTCTAATTCAAATAACGAGTTTTACCAAATCTTACTTTTGAATCTTTTAGCCGCATATTATGAGGCCGCATATTAAAGAATAATTTTCTTGGCAATAATTAATAATTAGTTAAAATTATATAATTACTATTTAACAAATTATCCAAATTTAAACATATTAGAAAGTTTACAACGGCTGATAACGGCTGATAATGAATTCTCTATAACGTATTGTCCTTTCTTTTTCTAACCTTTCATAGACTATCAAAACGTAAGGGCTGTATTTAACAGAGAAAATTGCTTTGCAACTGTTGTGATATTCGTAAATTTTGTTGGCGTACGCTTTCGAATTCCGCCAAAATTAAGAACACACACAGATTCATGAAGTTTATAACAGGTGCAAATGACTTTTTTCTGTTGAATGCAGTCAATGTGTTCGAAAATAAGACAGAAGATAGGACGTAAGGACGAAAACAAGTCGTTTGATTTCTGTTAACACTGTAATACAGATACTTTGGATAAACAAAATCACTTATAAAAATCGAAGTTATCAAATTTTTCTATGATGGTTGTTTTCTTTCGGGCGTTGATAATTAAGTTTTCAAAATTTTCGTCTTCAGATGAAGATAATATATACTTCAAAGCCATATCTTCCCCAATAAATTTATTGCTTACTTTTTGTATAGATTATTTTCTTATTATCTATCGATACTCAATAAATTGCGATTGTATCAACATAACTCTAGAAAACTGAACGATATTTTGACCTTGAAGTTAGTAACATTACAGTATTAAACTTCATTTATGTTCATTAAGCGTCCGAAATTTAACTTTAACTACAATAACTGAAATTTATACGTCGTTGAAATTTGGAGCGTTCCTCGAGCGAAAATTGAAAATAGCCTTTATTTAAAAAAAACCACTTAATATAAATGTAAATACATATAAAAGATAAATTTGTGTTAAATATGACATGACATTATAAGAAAGTTGTTCTTCCCGAAAATTACGCACATATAATCATTCATACAGATTATAATTATTTCCGGCATTCACAGCGCTCTGTGCCAAAAACTCACAATGCATTTCCACTTTCTGGCATGTGGGAAAATAGAAAAAAATTAGTTTAACAGCAATATCGTCCCGGAACACTTTCGTTCTCCCTGAAAATTGTTTGCATACCACCACACTCAGACAGATTATAATTATTTCCGGCACTCACAGCGCTCTGTACCAAAAACTGACAATGCATTTTCACTCTCTGGCATGTGGGAAAATAGAAGAAAATTAGTTTAACAGCAATATCGTCCCGGAACACTTTCGTTCTCCTCGAAAATTGTGTGCATACTACCACACTCAAACAAATTATAATTATTTCCGGCACTCACAGCGCTCTGTGCCAAAAACTCACAACGCATTTTCACTCTTTGGCATGTGGAAAAATAGAAAAAAATTAGTTTAACAGCAATATCGTCCAGGAACACTTTCGTTCTCCCCGAAAATTGTTTGCATACCACCACACTCAGACAGATTATAATTATTTCCGGCACTCACAGCGCTCTGTGCCAAAAACTGACAATGCACTTTTACTCCCTGGCATGTGGGAAAAGAGAACAAAAATTGTTTAATAGCAATCGCGTCCCATATTAAACATATGAATTTGTAGCTCATGTATCAATAGTTATTAAAAAAAAAATAATCACTGATACATGAGCTAAAAATTTATATGTTTAATAAATGAAAATGTCTGAAACATATGTGTACACACACACATACACACACACACACACACGGGGGGGTGCAAGGGGGGCTTTCGGCCCCCCTTCCGCACCCATCCCGTCCTGGTTGCGCGTAGAAAATTGCAAACCCATCCGAAATCTTGCTCATCTGTCGCCTCCGTGACAGATTTCCTAACCTAAATTGTTATCAAATTTAACAATTTATATCTTGCTCCACAGAGCAGAGCGACGATTTTTTCAAATAGAAAAGTTGTTTCTCTTGCAAAAACGCGTCGATTAAATATTTCTTCGTCGATATCGGAGGTGGGAAGGGGGGTATTCTGTATAATCACCATACTTTTTGTGTTATGATTATACTATTATGAGTAAATACGTTTTATAATCTTTAATGTCAATCCTCTTGTTTACATACGCTTTGTTTCACAAAAAGAAGGAGAACCGGAGACATAATATTTCACTCTAAACAGGCGGAGGTGCCAAATATCCCACCACGCATCGTTAGAAAGAGATAGACTGCTCTACGAAAACATGCTACCTCTTTTTAATATTGAACATGTGCAGACAAAGGAAACGTTGCGAATGCGCGGTCTATATATTATATGTCTATGGCGCACACGCACTCCCTGTCTTCTTGCGCCTGCGCAATTTCTAAAAAGGCATAAAGCCCGTTCTACATTAGTCGCAAGGCACAGAACGCAAGTCGCAAGTCGTAGGAATTCACCAATTACAGTCGAATATTCTCTTAACATTCGACTATGATTGGTGGATTTCTACGACTTGCAACTTATGTTCTGTGTCTTGCGACTAATGTAGAACGGACTTAATGCAAATATTTGTACAAATTATTGACGCAAATTAAATTGTCATATGATCTATTAATTGAGTTATATATTTTTGGAAAATATTATATTGAAAATGAATGAAATGAAAGCAATTAATACATATAAATTAAAAATATAGGATAACAGGAAAGTAATTATATACAAGTTACAAATAGAGAATGCACAAAATAAGGAAAATAATAAAACTAAATTAAAAGTAACACAACGATTATGAAGGTAAAAGAAAAACAGGGACGCGTACGCAGTCCCACAATCAAAAAATATGCGTAGTTACAGAAACCACATCCAACCATCCAACCGCCACGGAGGCGAACAAAAGACTTGACGCTGCCACTCGCACGACTGACAAAGATGAACTCTAGTTTTAGATAATAATAGCACTAATATCGTGCTCGAATGCAGCCTTTACGGTATCTCGTCAATGGTTGTGGTGATAATTCACTATCAGTCAACGTAAAACCTTATAACTCCACTTTTTGGAACTACATCGCAACTTTCCCGTTTCGCTCATCCACTAAATGTGAAATGTACAAAGAGCAATAAAGAACAGACCCATTCGGTAGTAGTACAGGTTATAAATATCGATGTTTGTGGATAAAGCAGAAAGCCCACGCATTCGAGTCACTTAATGCAGCCCAAGACGAATAAAAACAATGCAGAATTGACTTTAATAATTCGACTCAAAATCGTCAGACGTTCTCTCTCACATCGTTTCTCTAACATTCGTAAAAATACTCGCGATAATATATAAAGATGAAAACTACTAACGTAGTCACGAGTACTAACGAGTTTCATTCGAGATTTAGATCGTTAGGTTCTAAATCTCGAATGAAACTCGAGTTTGCGGTGCGCGCTGTACGGCAATAAGGCAACATGTATACGCGGCTCGTCGTTCGGAAGTGCATGCAGAGTAGGGTTTAACGGAGGGAAACTAACACGATGGCGATGTTGAGTTCATTCTGCTCTTTGCGAGGCAAACTGTCGACAGCCGGTAAGCGAATTCTGATAATCTACTCGTAGTCGCGTTGCATCGCAAGATCTCACACACGTCTTCGCTGTAGCCGCCGACGCACGTACAAGTTGTGCGTTCGTGACCGAATATATCGCTAACAATCTCGGTCTAAGCGCTTTTTCTTTACATCGATTACAATTTCCAAGTTTTAGAAAATTTCTGTGGAGATCTAGATAGAGCATTGGAGAAAGAGGACAGAGGAGGAAAAAGGTCTCATGTTTGACAAAGCGACCGCACATCTGAAAGAAGGTGAAGGAAGAAAGAAAGATACACGATCCCAGCGAACGATTGTATCGTCATTAAATTTCGCTTGCAAGTGGCCCTTACATGCGAGAATAGACAATTTGTAATCGGAACTCTTCGTGTTACCAGCGAATGCGATGAAAAAACATTTGCGAATTTGACCGGAATCTTAACCTAGCTTCATTAGTAAACATACACACAAAAGGATTTTTGTGTGCGATAATAACATTTATATATATCTACTTGACAACTTGTTAGAAAAAATGTCACAGACATTCGTCACACGTTTGATCAATCTTTTGGAGGATCGCAAAACCAAAGAGGCTGTGGAATTGTTCACAGCTGAGAACAGTTTGGCCGTCGAGGATTCTCTGAGCGAGATTGTGAGCATCGCCAGTGGTCATCTTACAGAATCCAACGCACGCTCTGAGCAAACATTATTTGAGTGCTGCAAGACTATATTGAATATCATAGCAAAGACATATAACCCCAAAGAGACTGTATTGGAGTTCTTGCAGTATGTAGAATGTTTGGACAATGACGTTAGATTTTATGCCCTCTTAGAGCCATTGGGTATATGCATGATGGGAGCAATGGACAATATCAGTATTATTGAATGGACTGTCAGCACAATTAAGTCATATGTTGAAGATTTACCTGTACCTGGCGAGATCGATCAAGAGGTAATCAGTTATAGAATCATAAACGTATTGGAAAGAATCGTATTGTTCTTGGAACCATTGGTAGAAGAGGCAGCTAAGATAAATTATGAACTCGAAGAGACCAGTTTGTTCGGAGATTATCTTTTGAGTCTTGTTATTACTTTGTGTGGAAAACCCTTTTGCTACTTGAACGAAAGCATTGTTGAAACTGTTACGTACAAAAAACTTTTACACAAGATCATGGCATTAACTGTTGATCTTACTGAAGATATATTTTATTTTTTGAACATAGTTAGCAATCGTTGCAGAAACATTATCCGCAGCAAAGTACAAAATGAACATACTGAGGATTATATGCGTAGTATGTTGTTTGAGTTGAGTCATAATGTATCGGACTTGGCTTATGCCAACTTTTATTTTTACATGATTACCGAGGAAGAAGTGTGGAAGATGGCACCACAGGTCTACAATCCTTATTATATTTTCGAGACATGTTTGTATCTTTTCAAAATACTGCTTAGTGCCAAACAGGAGATTTTAGTCTCAAACGGATTGATTTTCATGGAGGATATTATAAAGCGCATCCGTCCTTGCTCTGTGCCTTCAGATGTGTTGGAACTGAAAATATACAAGGATCTGTTCCAGCTGATTATTAAAGTAATGATTTATAGTAGTGTCGATACAGACCGTAAAAAGGCAATGCATATTTTCCAAAAATACATTGAGGTATTTAACATGGAAGCTAGGTATTCAGTGATCTCGCACTTGTACGAAATCAGTGAGCATTCCGGTGTGCTGAGCTTGATTATGGGTATGTTCAAAACCTCCATCATAGAGTGCTTGAATTCAATCCCTCGGGATCCCCACTTCCTCGGCAGAAATATGGAACTGATGTTGAGAAAAATCTGCAAGTTGCCGCATGGGAGCACGTCGGATCTGGTGGAGATATCGGATGAGGTGATAACCGCGCTCAACTTGTTGCGATTCTTGCTTATCCGGGATAAGAGCAACGAGACCGGCATCTGGAATATGATGGACGTGATCCAACGCGACTACCTGAAACCGCTGAGAGAGGGAATAGATATGTGCAAGATACATTGGAAAATAAAGGCGAAGGACTTGGAACTACAGAGGAAAGGCAGCTCTAAAAACGACGACGTGGGAAAGGACACGGAGGTGACACTGACCGTCGGCGGTGAACGATTGCCGGTTATGCCAATCGCGGATAAAATTGCGTTCTGCAGTCAGGCGATAAACGGACTGGATATAATGGAAAGCATTCTTATCAGAGTCAACGAGTGTATGGACGAATACAAAGCCGAGCAAGCGAACGAATGTTTCACTGAATAGAAATGAAACCAGTCGTGAAAAGATACTCTTTACTGATGATAATATGTTGCTATATAATGTGTCGTGTGTATGCAATTGAGCAGAAAAGTTGATGAAGTAAAAAATTGTATGACTGATACATTTGATGCTTAATAAAAGGTTTTTATCGTACGCTTCCTGCGATATGATTACCTGATTAACTGAATACTATAAAATTCATAATTCGTTAAAATTCTTCCATTATAAAACTCCATCTACTTCTCCGATATACACATGTCCACTATAGATAACTTTAAAAGTAGATATCGATTTTACTAGGTTTTAGACGTTTATGGACTTCTAGGGCTCTGCTGGCTGATCAGTTTGAGAATGATACTGACAAAAAAGCGGAGCCGCAACAAGCTGCTCATGAGGAAAGCGACGAGGAGTACGAGAGAAGTATCAAAACAAAGATACTCGACGTGTCTTTGAAATTTGTTCCCGACTTGGGCTGGAGCAAACAAGCCATCAGTGCTGGTAATTCGGAGATTTTTCATGTTTCTTTTCGTTGATTTGCTATTCTTCTTTCACTAATAGCTCCAAATGTCACATGATTGTTTGAGAGAGGACGCTTCTACTCATTTTAATCCCGTTCTATCCGTATACAGGCTTTGTCGTGTGTTGTGACATCCTATACGCAGAATGTTCAAGAAAAAGGTCCAGGACTTTAAGGGTAAGTAGTACATACAAAATGGAGGAAAAAGTTCTAATAAACATGGAAGGAAAAATTAATATTGTCGGAATTATGAACAATTGTGTTTTTTTTTTTTTTAAGCAAATAGCTTACTCGCTTCTGGTGCTTTCATATTTTCTGATGTAATCTATCGGTGAAGAGAGTACCATGCTTCAGAGGAATTCCTAAAAATAGTCTTCGCTCTTGCTCGGTATGTAAACAAAAACACATATTTTCTTCCCATTTATACACATACTTCACCAAGCAATGCAAAATATCTGTCAAATAATTAGAACAAAGCTGGGGATTTTTGAGAGTTCGCAATCCTGTGGTACGAAAATGTGAAGCGTGTATAAAAGTAGCACATATAACTCTTTCGTAAACTTTGTAAACATCAGAAGCGAATAAGTCACTAGCTTTCATGTTTCTCCATTGTTCATCACATGTTTCCTCCATCTTGTGAGTATTATCTACCTTTAAAGCCCTGAATCCTTTTTTAAACACCCTATATGCTATTCATGCCAATAGAAATAAATTCTTTTCCAACGTAACATTGAGATAAAACAATCTAGAGCAACGTTGCTGTAGGTGCCGAGTCGATTGGATACCCAGGCGTGACTCATGGGTTGTTTCCGAACGGCGGTACGGCTCTAGTTCAACATTTCTACTCCTCGTGCAACTGCAAGTTAAACGAGATCTTGAAGAAAGAGGCGCTGACCATTCAAGACGACCCATCGAGGCCGCGGAAGACGCCTGAGCAGCAGATTCGCGACGCGGTCGAGACGCGGCTGAGGATGTTGGCGCCATACGCGAAAACGTGGCCGCAAGCGATGGCGATCATGGCTCTGCCGCCGAATGTGCCAACCGCATTGGCGAATCTATTGACTCTGGTCGACGATATCTGCTACTACGCCGGCGACAGATCCGTCGACGTAAGTTATCACTGACATTCATTCGATAAAAGGTATCCGGTTACCGGTTATTTAGTCTACAAGTTCAATTCGCGTTACTTCTCTTCTACTAGTTTAACTGGTACACCAGGAGAATGATGTTGGCGACCATTTACAAAACCACCGAATTGTACATGCTACAAGACATCAGCGAGGATCATAAAGAGACTTGGCTGTTTTTGGACAGACGGATAAAGGACGCCCTTCAGATATACGCGATAGTTTCCAATTCAACCGACAAGACGTTGCCGGACCAGACTCTGAACCGCGCAACGGAAGCAGCCACTGCTGTTTTTATAACGGTAAATGAAATATGACAGTTTTGCTTTTGTCTTTGTTTCCCTGTATGCGCTAAATATTATGATATCTACAAAGATAATCATTCCTCTATTCTAGGCGCGGAATATACTTGGATTGAATTGGAATAGATAAGCAGCAGATATGTGCTTAGAGAAAGGAAAGATAATTAATGTTAATAGTAAGATAAGCGAAATTAAAATATTTCCTAGTGAACTTTTTTCTATTCGTGTGACCTGATCTCATCCGTGAGTGCCGAGAAGAGAGAAAAGATATAGCAAGATAATGTAGTTATGATTTTACTTTTCACAATATATATTTTAACAAAAACCTGTACAGTAGAATAAATTTCGACAAACTTAAACTACCTCCATGCGAAATATAAAGGTATATTTTTGAATCATCGATTGTGCAGCTAATAACGTTCAACGATTAGTTGAGAAACGTTTTGTTTACCCTGCAATATTGCTATAAATACAGTGTTTAAAGAAAGGGTTCAGGACTCTAAGCACAGACAATATTCACAAGATGGAGTAAAACAGTCCTAATGAACTTAGATCGAAAAATTAATATTGTCGATATTATGAACAATTATTTTAATCAAAGCAAGTGACTTACTCACTTTTAGTGCTTACAAAGTTTATCGAAGATTTTCTACATGTTCCTCGTATTTCTACACATGCTTTTCATCTTTGTACCATAGAATCGCGAACTCTTAAAAAATTCCGGCTTTGTTCTAACTATTTGACAGGCATTTTGTATTCTTTGATGTACTTCATCTCTCATTTATGGGTGGAGAAAATACATCATGCTCTTAAGAAATTGCCGTAAAAAAGGTCCAGGAAATTTAAAACAGAAGAATGAGGTGGCCATGAGACTGGTCTACCTGGTCTAATCCATCTTTCACCGGAAGATCTTTTTAATTGTTAAACGAATAACATCAGAAAATATAAAATGCCTGTCAAATAGTTGGAACAAAGTCGGGGATTTTTGAGAGTTCACAATTTTATGATATGAAGATATGAAGTATCATATCTTCGTATAAGATATGATGTATAGGAATAGAAAAGACATGAAGAAAATCTGTAAACTTTATAAGCATCAGAAGCGAGTGGATCACTTGCTGGAATTAGAATAAATAATTGTTCATATCTCCGACAATATTTATTTGTCGATCCATGTTTATTAGGACCTTTTTCTCTATTTTGTGAATGTTATCTGTCTTCAAAATCTTGAATCTTTTTTTTTAAACACTATATAATCGTCCGTATAAAAATTCATAGCTAGGTTTTGTTCCAGACGTCGGATCTTATCTCGTCGGATTCTGCGCATGATGACTCACGCTTATCACGAGTTTATCACGAGTTCGTGATAAGTAATTTAGCGTGAATTGTAGGATTATTTCTAACTTACGCTAAATATAAAATATATATTTTTGATTCAATAAAAATGACACGAGTGTAACAATTCGTTGGGAAAATAGGCAAACGCGGTATTCGTCTCTCACAATTTTCTCATAGTTCACAATACATTGTGAGTCGAATAAAAATATCTGTGGCTCAGTGTAATACCGCGTTGGTAGAATCCTGCAAATCAAAACCCAGTAGGACTCAATACTATTGGGCCTTGACTCACAGAATTCTGGCTGGCAGCTGAAATCAATATCAACTGCCAACATGTATCTCATTCTCTAAAAAACACTTAATAAAAATAATTTTGTCGTCTGTCTTTGACACACTTTTCGTCCGTATCATGCCCATTATGTCCAGTAATGCGATTCTAGTATATATAACTTGACACTTTCCGGCAGAAGCAACTTGTGTATGTTATCCAGACTAGTGTTCTGACGAATGACGAAACGGCACAGGTACTGCAAACTCTTTACTTGCGTGAACCTGCTCACTGGTTTCGTTAATCTAACGGGAAACGACGGATATCCTGGATATCGCGGCCTCGAGTAACAAAACACAGCCGACTGGCTGAAGTTCATTGAGTGGTTTATCAGGGCAGCCACTGAGGTGAAGCCCTCGCTCTTATGTTGATAGCACAGTGAAAATAGACCACCACTGTGTTCCATACGTGTATGCAATATTTTCCCAGATGACTTAAAACTGAGCGTCAAGACATGTCTGTGGATAATTGCATTAAGATATCAGAATCAAGTATCAATGGAACAATACATTTGTTGATTAGATTACTTTGTATGCTAGTCACCTGTCGTCGGATGAGTCTCGTACCAAAAATGCACCATCAGGTTCAGATATAAGCTTGGCATCAGCTTGATCTGCTGATATGGGGCCCCAGTACCATCCATACTTGTTCAAGTTGAGCAGCTCCTCTGCGAGACTAGCTTTAACTTCATTTTCATCGCTTAAAGTTTCGTTCGCGTCGCAAGAAACATCTGCTATTGCACTAGGAACTTCAGCTGTTGTATCTAAACAGCTAGGTTGCGCTATTATTGCATCACTAATCTCACTAGTGATATCACATGTTGCTTTATCCTCTTGTGCTGTAGAAACTATATCAAGATTTGTGCTAATCTCATAGGATTGTCTGTTCGATGGAATTTCTTGTTGGCTACTTGAATGTTCTTGTTCCTGATGAGAATCAGGAAGCCCTACGACAAGATCAACTGTAGATACTATAGTGCTCTGATTTGTAATATGAAAAGGACTGGTTGTTTCTGCTTCTTTATCCTGAAAAGGAGCAACAAGTAAATGTAAACAATGTGATAGAAAAGGTTAGAGTCAGAAAAAAGAAACGATACAAAGTACAGAGACTATTCTGAATACACAATCAATATGCTGAGTACAATTCCCTAGCTAAAACGGCATTATATGTGACGTTTATAAGAAAAGAAATGAAAAAACCAGAATTTAAAATCAAATGATCAGGTCAATATCGGATTAACGACAAACAAGCATTCAGAACAAAGTCTAAGTACAAGTCTGCGTACTTTTGGCTTGGACCTGCACATATTCTTAATCTGCAAGTACTTCTTGATATTCCTGAAGAAGGAAGGTGTAGTGAATGACATTCTGCCACTAGTAGTGGCGGTCTTGAATTTGTGTTCCATCTGTGCTTCGTTCGTCGCATCGACGTCGTCATCCCTTGCCTTGCACTCTTGCCGCGAGTGGTTTCCTCGCGATGATTCACGTCGCCAGACAAACGTCGCAAGCCTTTCGCTCGTTCCGTGCCGTGACTTTCGTCGCGCACAATCTCGCTCCGCACTCGTTGCATTCGTAATCACCTCGTCCGCGTTCTGATTGATCATGTTCCGACGTGACAGTATGTTTTCTCAAAACAGCCACGAATCCCACGGAATCGTTGCACCTGCTATCGTTCTCCTTGTACGACTTACACACGCCATCTACTCCCGCGCGACTCGTTTACGTCGATCTTCAGCATAAACAACGGTATCAGTGGAATTCGGTATCACGGAATTATCTCAACTTACATTACACACACACACATATACCCATGCGGCCTGTCAAACTCGTCATGTCCAGCGCGTCGCTGGAAGATGTCGCTCCTTCTGCTTACCAATCCCGCATTAGGATATCTGAAGCAGCCGATAGAGGACAACTCAATCAACTTATGAACAACATGTCAGACAATAATCTTACATAAGTAGTTTTAAGTTATAAATTATAGGGGAGATTTATAATAAAAAACCTTATATTTATTTATAGTATACCTTAGAACACACACACATACATACGCACACATATATACTAACAATAAGTATAATTCCAATCCTAGCATATTAAACATTTTTGTTTTGATACATTATGTACATACTGATATATTATATACAGGGTGTTCTATTTTAAATGAGCCAGACAAAGATCTCGAAAAATATGAAAGATACTAAGAAACGTTTTAGACAAAAGTTGTATGGTTTTAAAGTGGACATAAAACAACTATATTATTTTATTTACAGATGGCGCCACTTTCGAGATTTAAATGAACCAGACAAATCTCGAAAAATATGAAAGATACTAAGAAATGTTTCAGACAAAAGTTGTATGGTTTTAAAGGGAACATAAAAAGCTGTATCATTTTGTCTACAGATGGCGCCACTTTTGAGATATTCACTGATCATTACTTTTCTTAAATGGAAATCTAATTTTTTTATTATATTATCTTTTTACCATTTTTTATCACCAATTAATTTTAACAACTTTTATTTGAAACATTTTTTTATTTGCCTAATATTTTTTTAGATATTTAAGGAAAACTTGATAACTTTTTTAATATTTAACTTACTTTAATTATATCTTGCTATTTGTCGGAAGAAAAAGTGGTACTAGACTTTTTTATTCTATTTGGTCTCAAGAATATATTGCTACAATAGCGCACTGATTTTTGTTAATTTAATGATTTTGAAATTTTCAAAGATCGATAAGTTAACAAAAATTAGGGCACTATTGTAACAATATATTCTTGAGACTAAACAGAGTAAAAAAGTGTAGAACACATGTGTTATATAACAGTTATATTGTTGAGTAGGAAATTACAACTAACATGCACGTTAGATGTAATATTGTGTTTGTTGGGTGGAAACCCTAATATTTTATTATATTATCTTTTTCTATCAATTAATTTGAACACCTTTTGTCTAAACAACTTTTGTCTGAAACATTTTTTATTTGTTTAATATTTTTTGAGATATTTAAGGAAAACTAAAGAAAAAATGGTTCTAGACTTTTTACTCTATTTAGTCTCAAGAATATATTGTTACAATAGTGCCCTAATTTTTGTTAATTTATCGATTTTTGAAAATTTCAAAATCATTAAATTAACAAAGGGCGCTATTGTAGCAATATATTCTTGAAACCAAATAGAATAAAAACGTCTAGTACCACTTTTTCTTCCGACAAATAGCGAGATATCGTAAGTTAAATATTTAAAATCAAGTTTTCCTTAAATATCTAAAAAATATTAGGCAAATAAAAAATGTTTCAAATAAAAGTTGTTAAAATTAATTGGTGATAAAAAATGGTAAAAAGATGATATAATAAAAAAATTAGATTTCTATTTAAGAAAAGTAATGATCAGTGAATATCTCAAAAGTGGCGCCATGTAGGCGCCTGTAGACAAAATTATATAGTTTTTTATGTTCCCTTTAAACATACAACTTTTATCTGAAACATTTCTTAGTATCTTTCATATTTTTCGAGATTTGTCTGGTTCATTTAAAATGGGACACCCTGTGTATATGTGTGTGTGTGTGTGTGTATATATATATATATATACTTATATATATTAAGTAGGAGTGGAAGTTGAACATAATTGAGAAAATGATTATTTTAATTTCGTGAGTACATTGAAGTTTGTTCAGTTGGTATTATTTATCATATAAAAAGTACTACTTATTACTTAGTAATTAAATAATATAAGGAACTGCAATTTATTTTAAGTTCACACAAAATTGGATTTCATTCCATACTTAGATCTTTGGAAAACCACACACACACACACACACACACACATTTGTATGCTATTTAGATATAATGTTAGTAAGTTGAGGATAAAGAGTTTTGGTTAATAGTAGATTTGAACAGAAGTAAAATAGTGCAAGATTATTGTATATAATAAACAGAAATATCTTAAAAGAAAGAAGAAAGGAAATAATGCTTATAGATGTTGTCTTATCAAAGTTACACGGATAATACTAATACTAATACTAAATGGGATAAGAATTGTATTAGAATAAATGTTTAAATAAACTTATATCTATGGATACCCATTTTGTATATATACATATATGTGTATATATATAAACATGTCAGATTAAATATATATAATCTGACATGTTTTTTTTTTATTATTATGAATGTTTCTTTTAATCAAAGAAAGGAAAAAATATATCAAACAGAAGGAATGACACCTTCTTTTCGGCTAATTTTGTGAAAGATACTAACGTAATACACACATGCGCGTGCGCGTGTATAATAACAAAATTTCTTAATTATCGCTTATTCAGTCGACTTTCATTTCGAGCAAGAAATTAAGAATCTGCGATACTCAATTTTTCTTGACCAGATCAAATATCGCAACGTGTCGATCTCGTTAGATTAGCACTTTGTAAAAATGGCATCGTATACGATTTGTAGAAAATAATTAATCCATAAATTAATAAGTCGCATGCATTACTCAGAAAATATTGTATAATCAGTCATGAGTCATGGTTTCAGTACGGCGCGTTTTGTTACAACTTTATCTCTGATGTAATAAGAGAACGCTGAAACAAGGAGATATTCTCTCCCGATAATTGAAGTCAAGTTCGATACCAGACTCGTTAGGGTCGAACAATTTTGTCAGAACAACAGGCAGCAACAATTTAATCATAAGCGAAAGATTAGACGGCCCCCCTGAACGACATACCAGATAAAAAATGACGTTATGCAATCGATCGGAACGTTTGACGCGATCGCTATAGAAATGTGCTTCCTAATAAGTCTTCGTTATTTATAGGCGCACGAGAACACGACGACGACGACGATGTCGTGAGTCGTTGGGATGTTTCAGTCGACGACATCGTCGTCCATAAATATAACGGCTTGCTCTTTTTAGTTGAGCCATATAGCGGCGCATTTTGAAACTTTTTTTTCTCTTAACGCAGATTTGTCTCACTCTAATGCGTTTCTATCAACTTTGACTACGGTTTAGTGAAAATTCGACTAAAGTTAATTCTCAGCTCAATATTAATTAATTTCTACGAATGCTTTCTCTGAAACGTTTAGCTAAACTTACAACCTGTATGATGCTCGAAATATCCTTAACTCGGAAGAAGCAGAGAAGCAGTTGATTGTTTCAATGGTCGTCCTGAATTATGATATAAATATCATATCTTACATATCTTTCGGAAGTGTCTTTTTAGTGTCAAAGTGTCTTTTGATGTAACGTTAAGAAGCATGTAATTAATAAAAATGAATGAAGAAAAATCAATTTCTTTCAAAGAAGCAACAGTTAATTTTAACGGATTTGGTATTAAAATATAAAAATGTAATAGAGAGAATAAAAAGACTGACCCTCTAAGGCCAAATATTTTTTAATTAAAAAAAGGGGTAACCCCTAAGAATATTAAATTTATTTATTTCTAAGGATATTTCGAGTATCCTGAAACATTCGTCACTTTATTTCATTAACATTTATCACGTAACAGATGTAGGTTATGTAACTTTTAAATACCAAAGCGAAGCTTCTTACATTTTATTTGTTACTATATTTTAATCATATTAAACGGTCAACATTGGCCGTTTAAATTAAACTCGATTTACATATGTTTAAGCATTGAGTTATATTACTGGTACAAAACTAATATTTAGGTTAACTTTTCTCAACCGGATGTTACCGGCGATAAAATTTTTGAACTGATAGAAACGGCCACAACGGGAACAGGAAATTCAGCTGAAAAGAACTTAAATCAGGTCGTGTTAATTACGACCGAATAATCGATCGAACCGACCGATGTTCCGACCGCTCTTATTTCTCGCTGTCTTACGCGGGAAAATTCTACGGAGAATCCAGATCGATTCGGCTCGCTTTCCTCACACTCGCGTCGCCCGGCATTCTTGCTGAATATTTTCCCAAGTTTAGCCGAACTAGCGCGAGGACGCGAAGTGAGCCGCGTATCGCAGGTGCGTGCACGCGCACGTGCGCGATGCCGAGCAGATAGTGACACACTTCGATAATCGAAATCTCGTCAGTGCAGTTTGACGGAGGCCGCGGGGCGGGCGGCGAATGTTGCATCACCGAAGCACGAGCGGTCGCGCGTCGTCTCGTCGCCCTTATCGCCCCGCGCGGCGCGGCTCTAATCTCCCGCGGAGATGATTATGAACGGTTTTGTTTACCAACGGCGCGCGGCTTCTCGTTGTCTGACGGCAGGCCGGCCGGCCGGACAGACAGACAGACGGCCGAGAGCGGGCGCGGCTTCGACGCCGACGGCGGTTAGTGGTGGCCGGCACACGGAGCGCGCGCTGACGGACCGCGTGGTAGGAGGCTGCCGCGATTCAATTTCAGTCGAGGCGCGACAGGCAGACCGAGCGAGCGAGCGAGCGAGCGAGCGAACGAGCGAACGAACGAACGAACTTGGCTGGCTGGCTGGCGAGTGGACAGACGAGCGATCGTCGTTAAGAACTAGTCGGGGTGCTCTCCTTTCCACGCCTCGATTTTCGAGTTCTCGCTAAGGAGAGACAGAGACAAAGAGGAGGCAGTGCGAGGGAAGGGGAAAGAGCGAGAGCGAGAGAGAGAGAGAGAAGAAAATTCGCGCGCTCGTGCGCGCGCACTCAGTCTCGAGTCGTGCGGTGCTTCGTCGTCGCAGGTGTAGTGTACACACACACACACGCGCGCGCGCGCGCACGCGCACACAAGCGGATACGAGGCCCGCGTCGCAGGCGCCCTTCACGCGCCTTCGTTCTCCCCCCCACCAGCGTGCACTGTAAGGGTAAACTTGTTTGTGCGTGTAAGTGTGTCTCCAGCATCCAGTCGGTGTTTACGTCGCGCACTGACGTGCGTGTCGTCGCTTAGCCGCGCTGCCCGGCCGATTTCGCGCGATACACTGCCGATCACCCGGAGGTTTGTTCGCGTTTGTTATTCGGGGGGACTGTTATCACGAAGACGGCCCGTTAGACGGTTTTCGCCGATCGCCGAGCGCTGATCGGTTATCGTCGCCGACCGGCGACGGTGATTTTTCGCGGGTTCCTCGCGCCGCTTCGATTGTGCAAAACTTCAGGCCGGTGCGGCGGCCGGCAAGTGATACAAATGGCGGTCACCCCGGCACATTACGACGGCTCGTGCGGACGGAAAGGTGGTGAGTAACATCGCGGGGGGGGGAAGGGGGTAAGTTGACGGTCTCGTCGCGGAATGCTCGATGCTTCGGCATGGATTCTCGCTCGATTCGTGCGATCACGATTACGTGCGTGACGGTTTGGTGACGACATTGAGGAAGGGACAACTGCTCACACCATGTCTGCCATGAACGGTAGCTGCTTGTGAGAGAAGGGATTTCGTCTGCGCCGTTGTCGACAAGGAGAATGGAATTCGGGGGCTACAAGGGCACCGGGCCCCGCGTCAGGGTGCGCCGGCGTGCGGAATTGGGCAGACGGCTCACCAGGAGGCTGTCCATCGTCGCGAAGATGCCCGCTGCGATTCTCAGCAGAGCGAATCCGCCGGAACCGAGACCGGTCGAGATCACGGCAATCGCACCTGACAAGACGCAGCTCACTGTGAGTGAATCCCACTGCTTCTCTTTTATCGAAAGTTCGTGTCCCGCAATTTCCGCAGTGTCGTCTATGACTGGAGTTGCCAGATTTGTAAATTGGTAGGGAAAGAGACGGCTGAGAATTTTGGGATGAGCGAGAGAAAAGGTCAGATGGAATGTCTGTCATCTTTCCGAACGTCAATTTTCTTCAACTGCATGTTATACTTTTCAGTAATGATCTACGTAGGAATCTAGGAATCGAAATAGTCGGTGAAGAGGTGACAAGATTTGCACGAGGAAACACGAGGAAAGATTGTACATGCATGCAAATGCTGAAGCAATTAAATTACTCGATCAGAACAATATTGTGAGGAGGCTTAAGAGAGCCTTTTGAATTGATATGAAAAGTAATTATTTAGTAATAACAATTGCTATTATAGTAACGATAGAGGCAAACAACCATTCTAGGATTACCATTACAGTGGGAATATCTCTAGTATTAATTAATAGTAGCAAAATTAATAGTAGCACAATTAATAGTAGCAAAATAGGTCAAAATAGGCAAAGATGAAATATCGTTAGTCGAAAAGACTAGATGCATTGTGACTATAATTAGAAAAGAAATGATATACTTTTCATACAGGGTGTTTTAAAGAAAGGGTTTACGGCAGTACTCACTTGAATTGAAGGAAAGAGTTCTAATAAACATGAGCCGGAAAATTAATATTGTCGGAGTTACGGACAATTTTTTTATTTTAAATAAAACGTGACCTACTCGCTTCTGGTATTTTTGTATTCTCTGATGTAATTTGTCGATATCATTTGTCGGGGAGGAGAGTACCATGCTTTACAGGAGTCCTTAAAAAAGTCTTTTTGCTCGGAGTGTAAACAAACCTTTATTTTCTTCCTATTTATAAACGCTTTATCAAGCGATTGTCAGTCACATATTCTCCTGAATAGCGAACAGTTGCCGAGAGCTGTCATAAGGTTTTCACAGTACGGTAAGAACGACATCGTATTATTCTAACCAAGAAAATAGTAAAAAGATATTTCATGGATGGCACTAAAAGCGAACGAGTCTTGCTTCGATTAAAATAAATAATTATTCATAATTCTGATATTATCAGTCTTTCGATTCATGCTTTTTCCTCCATTTTATGAATACTATCTGCTCTTAAAGTCATGAACCCTTTTTTTTAAACACCCTATATATGTATTTTACATATATTACTGATAAAAGTATATTGAGAAAAATGTTACTAGATATAGTGACTATGATAAGTCATTATGACGGCACATCTGACGAGCAAAAAGAAAAAAAATCCTTCGATGCAGCAGGAAAGGACAAACAGCGTCCTTGGCAGGACATGAAAATTTTGGCTAGAAAAAAGCACAATCTTCCTTGAAGGAGGACAACTTTACGTATGATCGAAGGATTCGATGAAGTTTGCGAGTCCATTCTGATTTACTCGTGGAATTGGACTTTGCCGAGAAACGAGTAAATCATTCGATTAAAATATGACATTTTACGAACCATGCCTGTCATTCATTCGCGCGCTGTGTAGCTTGGTTTTACTTTCGTTAAACTACTGCGTTCGAGAGATGGACGGGATGTTGTTTCTTATTGCGAGTCGGTCGTCGGTCAGTCGTGAAATTGACGACAGACCGTAAAAAGTGGCGATAAGAAAGACCGTATCGACGAGCAAACTGCCGCGGATCAAAACATTACGTTCCTTTGATGTTACGTCTAGCAGCGAGCGAGGAAAGTTCCACTTGAAGTGTACGCTGTGAATTAGACAGCTTTACATTTGAGGGTAGGCGTTAGTATTGCTGATTAACGATATTAAAATGCGTAAATTACGTATCAAGATTGTGAGGCGTCAGGCTGACGGCTCATACACGAGGCTTGACACTTGACTGACGATATGCTAACGCATATCTGTATATACAATAGCGATTATGCAATAATAGCAATGTGAATCATCGCTAATTGTTCGCAAGATAATCTATCTCGAAACTGAACAATTTTTACATGTCAAGTGAGATACCGTGAGAGGAAAACGTAGATCCGTCTCTATTCGAGTTTCCTTGGGAATGAGTAAATTGATCAATTAAAATATTCCATGAATTATGAATTTAATGTTTATTTTTTAATTTTAATTTTTACTTTCGCACCGTGTATCTTCGTTTCACCATCTTTGGTCTTACAATCTCTCGTTTTAATCGTCTTTAATCGTCTTTCAGTTTCAAATATCATTCCATTGCTTGCAACTACCGCGTGAGAAAGTACGTTTCCAATATAGTTATAAATAGAATCGATCGGAAGTGCATTCTTCGAAGTCCACCGGTGGACACTGTCGCGCGATTTTACACTCGTCGTCGTCGTCGTCGTCGTTGTCGTCGTCGCCGCGAAAAAACACGATCATAAATTTGAATCAGGAAGCCAGTGTAAATTCCAAGGCAGAGAAATCGAAACACACGTTATGGACTTCGGCGATTAATGCACCGCCACGTACATACGTACTCTCCTGTGTGAGCGCTACACATAATGTACGAGAGTAAGAGGTGTTACCTTCGGTATTTAATGTTCGCCGTAAAGGGAAACTCCGCGCGTGTCTCGCTCTTGTCTCGCGGTTCGCTGATTCGCGCCGCTTTCGTGCGCGCATTGTCAAAGATGGCCGCGTTGAAAAATCCGCGGCTGCAAGTCGCTCGCGGAAAACAATGTCGTTGCAAGCGACACGGATGTTACAAACGACTAGAAAAAAAAATATATATATATATATACAGGGTGTCCCATTTTAATTTAACCTTTTAACGCCTATTGCTAACTATACTTACCAGAAACGCATTTAAAAATTCATAACTTAGTGAAAAAAGGAGATATTTTCGTTTTCTTTGCCGTGCACTGTAAAGGTGAATTCTTCTTCTAAAAAATGGTATATAGATTGTATGTAGATTCGGTTTAGTCTGTTTTTAGCTCAGTTTTAATGATATGTTTTGTCAAATTCCAAGTAGGCATAGTTACGTAGCATTGTTGCTGGCATCTAGAAGTGCACTATAAATGAATAGATTGGCATCTGTTATAATTTTATACATTTGGAAGCTTTCTCAGATGCAAAATGTGAAATTAAAAGAGTACAGAAATTCAAAATGGCGAATCCAATATGGTGGACACGAAAATCAAGAAATCAACCTATTTTCGTGAAACCCGGTGACCTACAGTTTTTTATGCGGCGAAAAATGAAGGGACGATTGACTATCTAAATGGTGATCTATAAGATATTCTTCTGAAATAGTAAGCTTGACGCTCTGAATGATAAACTTCACTCACAAATATAGTAAAGTTTCAGCTCAAAAATGTCAAGCTGACTATCAGAGTTATGTCGTATAGATTACCCTTCATTTTTCTCTATATAGGTTGCTCATTTCGTATATGCTTTTAGGATCCAAGTCATATTTGCTAATAAACAAAAAACGAGCGATAAAAGAACCAAACAAACGAAAAGCGGAAACTTCATGTACTCATTTATTATATTCCATTCCGGGTAAATAAAGATCAAGTTCTGATTACGAGTTTTATGTTTCGAGGAATTTTTCCAACCAACGTTAGGTATGATATAAAATTATTAAAACTAAAAAAAAAATTTAACCGATCAGGAGTATTTTTCGCTTCTGGGAGTAGTTTCTGCTTGGAAAGATAATTGTTCGTAGATATAAAATTGTTATTTTTTTTTATTATCACTACTTATAGTCTCAGTTCAAAAAAACTCAAATTTTATTCTTAAAACATTTATAAAAAAATCGGGCGTTAAAGGGTAAAACAGTCAACTTATGGAAATCATGAGGTTTTAGGAAAAAATGTTTCTTACGAAAGTTTTATGATTTCGAGGGGGACGCAAGGTGGTGCCATTGGTTTGACCTTGGACAGTCGTTTGAAGATTATGTGAAGGTCGCCTTAAGTTTCTCGAATAAAAATTCCCATTTTTCATTGCGTATTATAGCTCATCTCGAGACCCTTTCAAAGCACTGTAACAAAATATTTTTCGAGTATTTTTCAGTATTTTTCGAGTTATGAGGCTTGAAAGTTACAATACTGCCGGCATTAACACTATCAGAGGTGTACCGTGCAGAGGTGAAATCAGGTGGGGCTATGTCTGCTTGTACAGACATCGGGATTGACATCGATAATGCCATTACTATCGCACTCATCGATAAAAACACGTTGTCAGACCGAAATTTTTATGGTCTGGTCGTTCCGATTGAAGAAGAGTTGTGACAAGCGGCCGCAAGTTCAATTATCCAGAACGGTCTCTTGGAGAACGAATTGTCTCGCATTTGTCAGGATGTCAGATTACTCTCCCATTGAAATATTGTCAATATCCTGACATATCACCACCTGCTTTGACCTTTACATCTTTGGTAGTGCTAATGCCGGCGATATTGTAATTTTCAAACCTCATAACTCAAAAGGTACTCAACGAGAAAATACTTTGTCATAATGTTTTGAAAAGGTCATGAAGTAAGCTATAAGAATATGCAATGAAAAACGGAGGTTTCTATTTAAGAAATTTAAAGTGATCTTCATATAATTTTCAAACGACTATTCAAGGTCAACCCAATGTGGCACTATCTTATCTCCTCACATGAGTCATGAAACTTTTGTAAAAAAAAAACATTTTTTCTGAAATCTCATGATTTCCAGAAATTGACTATTTAAATTAAAATGCAAAAGGAAGAATCACTTTTCCACTCGTATAACCGTACGTGAAAATTTCTATTCCGAAGATAATATCGCGCTCTCACTTTTCTAAGCGAAATCTGTCAAATGCTTTCGCGTGACGCGAGTAAAAAGCAAATGAAGAGGATGCACGCAAATTAATACGCTGTGTGGCGTCGTTTTCACACCTGCTCCTCGTTATTCACGCGAGGAAGTCGTTTTATCTAGTCATCAAAAGGGGAAATAAATCTCCAGCCTCCCAATACGCTGCCGTCGTTGCCGCCGCTTCTCTTGCTTTTCCGTGGCGA